TGGAATGGATATTCATGACCAGCGCCTTCTGAAGCCGGTGCCTTTTGCAGGGGGCGGCTATTGAGAGGCCGGCTATTTCAAGTTGAAGTTGTGAATGCCGTTTTCTAGTATAAAAACAGAAGGCCCGTACCGAAAACGTTCCAGAGACCAACTCAACAAGCACCTGCAGACGTCTATCAATCCAGCAAATCACCAACACTGTCTTCCCACGAAAATGCAGATTAAGGCCATTGTTCTCTTTCTCACAGCCACGCTGCTTGGCTCTGCGGTAGGATGAACGGCAGTGACTCAATAGACATATTTGCGAATCGCTAACTTTTGATTTAGAGTGCCTTCTGCAGCAAAGATGACTGTTGTTTCAAGGACAACGTGGCTCGCGATAAGCACGTAAGTTCTATACCCCCCTCGCGTGCTTCGTTGTATCTCGTTACTAAGGCTAATTGTGTAGAACGGCGATGCTTTCTACTGCCTGAACGTCATGCACGGAGGACCTTGCAATGCCGACTGCTGTACTCTTGATGGATACGGACGCTCCTGCTAAGTTTCGACTTGGCGATGGAGAGGTCATCAAGGAATGGTGTTGCCGGATTTAGGAGCCGTGGTGCTGAAATTTTCGTCGAAACCAGGCATCGGTGGCAGTAAAAAAGCCTTCAATCTAGAATTTCTGCTTGCTCTCACATTTGGGCAAGAGTGTTGTCTAGGTGTGGAGTAATACCTAAGTTTGGAGTGCATTGAGGTACATGCCCTCTATGCTTGTTTAGTATGCGTCTGATGATTAGACTCTAGCAAATCATGATGACATAAGTTCACGGCTCTGTGTCTTGCTGGCAATGAGCATAACTGCGCAGTCTCTAATAATACATCTGTGTGGAAACTTTTGATTAAGTAAATCGTGATTCATAATTTTTTACTCTTAAAATTGGGAAAGTTGAAGCCTTTCCAAGATGACGAGACGAATGGAAAGAATGACTTTCTGTAATAATACCTGAGATCACCGACTCTAAACCCATAGTGGCTCTTGATGGAGATCCGCAACGAGAGTCTGAGAGTGAGTTCCGATGAGGTAGTTGTAGAGATCGAGATTTTGACAGTTTAATACTCATTATTCACCTGTGAAGAGCCTTGCAACTAAGATTAGGTAACCAACATGAACCCTCATGAGGGCATCTTGATGGTACGTCACGATGTGGGTAGCCGTGAGTTTGTGTGATTGGACTGGCGATTGATAGCCAAGATAGCCCTACGAATACGTACCCTGTCACGCCTGTGCAGATAAGATCAATCTGATAAATCCGAGGCTCCGATCGTCCACATCCCGACTGACCTTCCCCATATGAATGCACCTGCAAAAGTGGTTACACTTGCATAAGCGAGAGAGGGTCGCTCCAGCAGTGGTGCGACTGTGCGACAAAGAGTTGAAGAAAGCCGCCGAAGAACGGATGTTGACTCGGTTCATACTTGATCCCCCACTACACGGCACATGCGCGGCTGATTCTTTACATCATTCCATAGCGAAAAGGACTCCGAGGCCATCACCCCACGATCACTATCTTGCCTACCTGACGTACTAGCAAGGACTGACGAAGAGCCCTGCTGGCCCAAGATTGCTTTGCTGAGATCGAGTTTCGCGGTCTTTGAAATTAGAGTGAGGTCGGTGCTGCTGGTTGCGCGAGCTACTTCCAATATTCCCCTCAAACCCCGCAGTCAAAAACGTTGGTCCAGCAAGATGAGTGCATCATACGGCACATTGGTGGTGGGAGTCGACGTTGGAGGTGAGAGACTTTTTAAAGAATCCCAAACCTACAGAGTAACGCACAATTGTACACGTCTTGCGACTAAATATCTTCACAGGCACCAACACCGACAGCGTGCTCTTGGATGTCTCAAAGTCCAGCACGGATGCTGTCGTCGCATCTCACAAAGCGCCAACAACGTCAAACGTAACTCACTCCGTCCAGGCCACCTTGAAAGCTCTGCTGGATAAGTCAACCGCGGACCCCGCCAATATCACCGCACTCGCCATCGGCACGACGCATTTCCTCAATGCCATTATTGAGAGAGACACGTCTCGCGTGGAAAAGATTGCCGTCCTCCGCTTGGCATCTCACAACTTTTCGACGGGCACCCCACCTTTTGCGGACTGGCCCTCGGCATTGAAGCGCATCATCAACGGCCACTCGGCCATCATTCCCGGCGGCTGCAATATTGACGGCACCCTCATCGGCCCCATCGACGAGGAGTCTATCCGCGAGCAGGCGAGGCAGATCAAGTCCAAGGGGCTTGAGAACGTCGCAGTCATCGGCATCGGATGCAGTACCGACAAGGACTACCACCAAGAGGATGAGGTCCGCAAGATCCTGCTCAGTGAGCTGGGCGAAAATGTCAATATTGTTCTCTCCCACAACATTGCCGGACCAGGACTACTCGCCCGCGAAAATGCGACGATCCTCAACGCCTCAATTCTAAACTTTGCGCAGCGCACTATCAGAGCCTTCATCGGCGCCATGCGTCGCATCGGTCTCCAGTGCCCGCTGTACTTGACCTCCAACGCCGGTCACCTTCTGCCCTTCTCGGAAGCCATGCAGGCTCCCATCAGGATCTTCTCCTCAGGCGCGACAAATTCCATCCGAGGTGCTGCGTTTCTCGCAAGGGACTCGATAGACAAATCAGGCAGCATCGTCGTGGACATCGGCGGCACCACGTCCGACGTGGGATACCTGCTGAGCAACGGATACCCCAGATTATCCAAGAGCTACACGGCATTGGCCGGCGTCAAGGTGAATCTGGAGATGCCCTCCGTCGAGAGCATCGGTCTGGGAGGTGGCTCCATTCTCCATAGCGCGGACGACGGTTCCGTAGCTGTTGGACCTGATAGCGTAGGCCACGACCTCATCACCAAGGCCCTGTCCTTCGGAGGCGATGTCGCAACCACCACGGATATCGCAGTCGCATCAGGTGCCAAGATTGGCACCACAGCTGTTTCTCTGACGAGCGACCTTGTCGAAAAGGGCAAGGCACGTATACGTAAGATGCTTGAGGCCGTCATCGACCGCGCCAAGCTATCTCCCGAGCCATGCACCGTCATCCTCGTCGGCGGCGGCTCCATCCTCTGCCCTTCAGAGCTTACGGGCGTTAGCAAGGTCGTGGTTCCCGAGCACGCCGGCGTCGCTAACGCAATCGGCGCATCCATTGCCAAGATTTACGGCTCCGCTGAGACGATTGTCCACGGCTCGGACATCCAGGGCGGTATCGCGGAGGTTAAAGCCCGGGCTATCCAGAACGCAGTCGCCAAGGGCGGTGACGAGAGCTCCGTGACTGTCCTCCATGAAGAGATTGCGGGTGTTCCCTACGTGGAAAACCAGACCTCCATCAAGATCGAGGTCGCGCTGCCGGCAGACCATAAGCGGGTGTACTCGGAGATGGTAAAAACGGCCGCGCCTGATCAGCTGGTTGACGAGGAGATGTTTGAGGAGACCAAGAAGCACGAAGCCGAGGACGCGGAGGATCACCCGGAAGACGAGGTCGTTGATCTCAAGAGCTACAAGCCCAAGGTCGAATCCAATGGCTTGTGGACGCTCTCCGAGACTGATCTCAGGTTCTTGTCCATTGGGTGTTACATCCTGGGCTGCGGCGGCGGCGGTTCTCCGTACGCGCCATACTTGCAGCTGAAGCAGTTGTTGGCCGAGGGCGAATCGATGAAGATTATCCGGATCGAGGACCTCAAGGACGACGAGATGATGCCGCCGGTCGCCAGCGTCGGCACGCCTGCTGTGAGTATCGAGCGGCCGGGCGGTGACGGAGTATGGCACGCCATGCAAGAGATGGAGAAGGAGATGAAGACCAAGTTCGAGAGGCTTATCGCCACGGAGATTGGCGGTGCCAACGGCGTCGCTACGCTCATCTGGGGAAGCTCGCGCTACTACGACATCCCGACCGTGGACGGTGACATGATGGGACGCGCATACCCGCAATTCGAAATGGTCTCGCAATATATCCACGCCAAATCCGTCAACGAGCTCCTCCCCGTAACTCTTTGCAGCGGCACCGGCCACAACGTCGTCATCCCCGCCACCCAGACGGACGAGACCTCGGCCGGCATCGCCATTCGCGACGCCTGCGTGGCCATGGGCTCCGCCGCGGGTGCCGCGGGACGTCCGATTCCGGGTAAGCTGATGCGCGAGGTGGGTATCCCCAACACGTACTCGCTCGCGTGGCGTCTGGGACGTGTGGTCGCGCTGGCGCAGCAGGCTGGCACGGTGTCGACTGTTACAAAGGACATTATTGAGGCTGCGGGTGGGCCGGGGACCGCGCGGGTGTTGTTCCAGGGTAAGATTCGGAGCGTGGAGAGTACGTTGACTGCGACGGCACATAGTCTGGGCAAGGTTACTGTTGAGAGGCTTAGTGAGAGTGAGATGGAGACGGAGACGGATCGTATTGGGGAGGGGTTGAAGGAGGTTGTTGTGCCGTTTATGAATGAGAATTTGGGGGTTCTAGGCAAGGGTGAGAGTGGCATCGAAACGGTAAGTCAATCTCTCCCCTTTGTCTTTATCTCATCAAGTCTTGGGAATTTCCATACTGACATTGTCGCGTCTAGGTCCTTGCTACCGTACCCGACCTCATCTTTCTCCTGGACACGTCGACTGGAGAAGCCATCGGCGTCCAGGAGTACCGGTACGGTCTCAAGGTCGCCGTCATGATCATGGCGGGACACCCGCTCTGGGCCACGGAACGGGCGCTCGAGATCGCGGGACCGAAGGTCTTTGGGCTGGAACACGACTACACCCCGACGCTGCGGTACGTGAAGCCAGTCAGCGTGATCGAGGAGTTCCGCAACGGGTGCGGTGGGGAGAATTGCACGAATTGCCAGTATAAGTGGTGATACAGGCATCAGGGAGGGCTAGAGTCGCCTCAGAGGATAGAAACAAAACACAAAAGTAAAATGGCTATGTTTTTTGGATCAAGTGATCAAGACTGTCCCTCAAGATCTGTAATCGGAGCGCTCAAGGTATTGGCGGCCGGTCGGTCCAGTCGAACTCCGTCACGCCGTCAAGATACTCCAGCTCTGAACCTGCGAATATGTCGTTGCCAAGGTTCCCCCAGAAAGCCGTTTCACCATCTAGCACACTTAAAGGCTGCCAACCTTGTTGCTCAGGACTCATGAAGCCAGGTACCTCTGTCGTCACCGTCGCCGAGCCCGGGCCGGCCGCTGTCGTCACAGGAGGATCAACCGGGCTCGAGAGCGCTGGATCGACCACCACAGCCACCGGCTCAGTTCCACAAGCACTCTCACCATCCACCCCAACCGGCAGGATCTCAGGCTGCTGTCCTCCTGCATCATGTCTATGCTGTTCCTTCGTATTCAACGCAATCCGGACCTTGGCCCTAGCCTCCTCCGCAAGCTTATACGAAGCAGACATATCCTCCAGAGCGCCGTCAAGCACAGGCAGCAACGTGTCTTTCATCAACTGCGGCACCCCGCCGCCACCCCTCTGGCGCCTCGTCGTCACCAGGACGGCGTTCGTGGCGACGATGGTGGCGCCGACGAAAATGAGGGGCGCGTTGCCTAGGGTGTGTTGGCTCTTAAAGCGCTGTAGGACGTCGGCTATACCTTGCGCAGAGGACTGGCATATCCTGAGCGACTTGATGATTGGGTTGTTGGAGGCTGTCTCGGGAGTGTCGTCGTCGTTGTCGACCAACTCTGCCGTGGAGGGGATGTGCCGGACGGATGCTAGGAAGGGCAGATTAAGGCAGATGCGGGTGCTGTGATAGAACATGCTGGTGTGTAACGTCAGCTCAATGGTACAACCCTCACACAAGGGAGAAAATAAGCTTGGAGCAGAGCTTACTGCAGAATCGACACGTTGGGCTGTAGTATATCCTTGTTGGTGAACCACTTCTTCCATCGCATGTTGGTGGGCAGCGCCTCGTGCCACGCGACCAACCTGGCGTTGAGCTTATTCAGGGAGACCTCATTCCACCTCCTTGCGGCTGGGTCCTTCATCTTCTTGGGGGCGAAAGTCTGGGATAGCATGTCATGGACTATGCGGGCCAATTCAATTTGCTGATTGAAGAGTAGTGTTAGCTTTGGGCCCGCTGGGCGCATGGTCTTGAGGAAGCCGAGGTCGTGTGAGAAGAGCCAGTTTTCCCAGATTGGGGGGTCGTGTCTGGTGTCTTGTGTCAATGCATGGAACCAAGGTGGGCAGTTTGAAGTCTTTGAATGGGGTCTGGCAATGGGACGTACGGTAGAGGTTCGCTGATGTTGACGTCGGCGTCGTTTTCGTACATGAATGTCGGACGGCCCAAGAATAGGCTGAACATTCTGTAAGAGGCAAGATGTTAGACCGAGCAGCTTGAAATTCATATAGATGTCTCACTTGTCCGTCAGGAAGGATCCCCAATAGATTCGGCGTCGGAACTCGTTGTTGAATGGGAATGGATTCGCCTCGTTTGGCTTTCCTTCAGGTCCCCAATGCGTAGGGTCTCTTTGCAAGCCAAGGTCCTGGCCCATTCTGAACGCCATGCCTGGTGATATCTAGATCAGATCACAGTCCCAACAACCTGATACTTCGTGGAAGACTCTCACCTGTGTACAGCCACGACTTGGACATGTTACTCAAACCGACTTCGAAATACGCAAGACACAACCAGGCCTGCACCGAAGTTGGCCTAGAAACACCCAACTCATCTGTGGTCAAGATAGTCTGCGCCGTGTCCGCGAACTCCTGTGCCCTGGGCCGGATTTCCGGATCCTTGGACATGAGCGCACCCAGGGCGGCACACGCGTAGATCAAGGGCGGCGAACAAAAGTTGCCGTCGGCAGGGTTGTCTTCAAATTCTTGGACGAAAGCTTCCCTGTCGATGAACATGAAGAGCGGATACTGCCAGAAAAAGAAGAGGCCGATGCAGAGACGCATAGTCTGGTTGGTTAGATTGGCCTTATCCTCGTGGAAGGCCGAAGGTTTCGAGGCCGTGGAGGAGCTGGTTGGGTATATTGAGGGGCTGACTTCGTTTTGGAAGATGCTTGTCGGGCCGTGGTAGATCATGGACCCTGGGGGGGGATTAGAATACTGATAGTTGCCAAGAGGCGATGGAGACCCCAGCATTGAAGAGAACGAAAAGGAAAGGGACAAGGAAATACCATCAGTCATCTCCTGAAACGAAGCCTTGGTCATGGCCTCACTCAGCGCAATTTCATCCGCCAAAGGTAGGCCGGAAAAGGAGGGCACATAGTCCTGAACCTCGAGGTCGTCGAGGATCTGGTTGCGCTCGTCGCCGTCGGCGGCCTTGAGGTTGCCAAGCAGGCTCTCGAGCGAGGCGATGCGGGACTCGAGGGCCGCGACGTACTCGCGAGACACGGGCGGCCGCTTGAAGTCGCTCTCGCGGAATTCACATTTGGCGGATGCTGTGGAACAATTTGTGCACGGAAAGGTGCGGGAGCAGCGGATCTATTTGCGTTTTCGTGGATCAGTACGGTCTCGGCGCTGGAAACGGCACGGGTAGCGGGGCAGACGACTCGGTCGGACGAGTAACCTCGAACAGACACGGAGCCGGCGCGGGTGCTAGGTACCCGGGCGAAAGCCGGGAGTCGGGGGAAAGTAGACCGGGGGAAGGGCGGACTCGGGGGAGGGAAAGGGGGGAGCAAACACGGAGAGCAAAAGTACCTTTCTCTGTTGGCACCGCTTGCACCTTGCATGCTCGTTTAGCCGATGGTGGTCTTACATCATAACTTTCTTTTTCCCTCCCAAGTCTCGGATGACTTACGATATTCGTTTCTGGTTCTTCTCCATCTTCGCATTCCTTGGCGGAGAAGGTGCACCAACCTCTCTCTCTGCTCTTCAACGCGATCGGGAAAAAACAGCGTCAATGGCGCGCTTTGAATGGGATCGACCATGTCCATTTGCGGGACAACTAACGGCTTAGTCACATGACACAGAGTTCAGACCGTTGTAAACCCCTGGCTTTCTTCAGCGCTTTCTACTGAAGAAAGACAGGGTGCAGTATGTCTGGCAGGGCCTTGTCAAGACTTCAATGGGTGCTAGTATCTCGTACTTAGGCAGACATTTGGAATTCACCATTTACGAGGTGAAATAGGTAGTCTCTGATTAGTCGGATAAGATTTATCGCCAGTTTCTTTCTATAGATATTCTATAGATAGAATCAATCAAATCCTTCAAGATCCTGGCGGGGCCATCGCACTCAGTGATGACTGGGGTTTCTTCCGTGGAAATGAGCATCGCCGGGGCAATAAGATCCGTTGGCGATCGGAGCCGAAGTTCTGCTGGCTCCGAACTCCCGGAGCGCTTTGGAATGGAAAGGTTTAGGTCCAAACTTGGTCAACTAATGTAAGCCCGGAGACTTTAACTCAAAGGCTTACCCATTGTTGCCTACAAGAGTCTCCGAGAGTCTGTTGCATTGGCCGCTAGTCCCCGGCAAGGGGCGAATATTTTGGCAAGTGGCTGTTCGCGAGCGGTAACAAGCCATGCGCTTCTAATATCTTGGAGCAAACTGGATCAGTAATCGTTACTGTCAAGCCAAACAGCATGATATTCCCGTTTAAGATTTTCAAATTCCAGGATTCAATGTGTCTCGGCGGCGTCCAAGGCAGGGGAAAGAGTCCGTGAAAGGTTCCCAGCTGGAGCTTTGGTCATGCGAGGTCGTGTTGAGTCGTGTCCGTAACACTTCCAGCTTTACGTCTTCACGCGTCTATGCTGGAACCTTGGGTAGACTCTACTAGATTCTTCTAATCTTCCAAAAGACTTGCCGCCAAGACCTATTGATCTTCACAGGCCGATCGCGGAGGAACTGCGTCGTTTCTTGACAGCACAAATCAACTCCCCACCCGTACAGTTGCAACGCCGAGGGCCCGGCCGAGGACCGTCGGAAATCAGGACGGTTCAACCCCGCATGCCACCCCGCCATCAAGCCCGTATCTAAGCTATCAGTGCTATCACGAGGATGATGCAACCAATACACATCTTCTCGCGATCTTGGCCACGTATTGCATGCGCTGTTCGCCGGAACAACTCTTAGACTGAGGGGTTAGGTATACTAAAGTTGCTCAAAGTTACACAGCGCCGTACAGAATACAGAGCTTCCTGTCTCTCTAGCGTTGTGTTACCTACCTCACTGCAAGGGCCAATAGTTCAACTCTCACAACCGCTCAGCATGACGACTTCAACACACGTCGTCTTCCAGAATGGAAAGATCTTTAGATCAAACAAAGCACCTGCAGGTCAACGTTCTGAAGCCGACTTTGCAGAAACGCTGGTGATTAAGGATGGCATCATCAGTTTTATCGGTGACGCCTCCGCATCTGAGGTGAAGTCCGCAATCGACGCCGGCGCAGAGGTCCGCGATGTAGGCGGCCACACTCTCCTCCCCGGCCTCGTTGACGGACACATCCACTTGACGCAACTCGGTCAGGCACTTCTCAAGCTGAGCCTCGCCCACTGCAAGACTCTCGAGGACATCCGAACCACAATCAGAGACCACGCCGCCGCCCACCCGGAAGCCGAACGCATCTTTTGTAGCGGATGGATGCACTTCATGACACCCGAGGGGCCCCTCGCCTCCCTCCTCGATGACCTCGACCCCCGACCCATCCTCATCACCGCAAAGGACCTGCACTCGACGTGGTGTAACACCGCCGCCCTCAAGGATCTGGACCTCGAGAACGAGCCCGACCCGCCGGGCGGCGAGATCGTGCGCGACCCGAAGACGGGCAAGCCTAGCGGCCTGCTCTCCGAAGCGGCGAGCATGAAGTTCATCCCCCTCTACATGGCCCGTACCTCGACCCTCCAGGATCGTATCGCTGCTATTGAGACAGCCATAAACGACTACACCGCCGCAGGCTTCACCGGCCTCATCGACATGGCCATGGAAGAGGACGGCTGGACGGCGCTGCAGGAGTACCGCAAGCAGGAAAAGGCAGCGGGACGCCCATTCCCTATCCGTTTCGCGGCCTACTGGATGATCCTCCCCAAGGACGACGACGCTGAGAACATCAAGCAGGTCGAGCGCGCCGCCGAGGTGGCGCGCGAGTTCAACCTCGAGACGGATCCGGACTGCCGTCTCGTCGGCATCAAGCTCGTCTGCGACGGCATCATTGACGGCTGCACGGCGAGTTTGAAGGAGCCATACAGCCACAACGGCGACAACTGCGACCCCGTCTGGTCACAGCGGTACATGGCGCCCGTGGTGCAAGCAGCCACCAAACACGGCCTGCAGGTCGCCCTCCACGCTATCGGCGACCGTACCGTCGCGGACGCGATCGACGTGTTGGAGGCGCACGTTGGACCGGAACACCGCCCGCGCATCGAGCACCTTGAAGTCACGACCGCGGAGGACGCAAAGCGCCTAGGAAAACTTGGCATCACGGCCTCCGTGCAGCCCGTCCACTCGGACCCGGCGATCCTCCGCGCCTGGCCGTCGCTGATCGGGGAGCACCGGTGCGGGCGGGCGTTTGCGTACAGCGATTTCGCGGACGGGGGCGCGCACGTGGCGATTGGGTCGGATGCGCCGACGGCGCCGCACCATGTGATTGATAACTTGTACATTGCTACGACGCGGCGGTCTGCGCGGGAGCCGGAGCTGGAGACGGTTGTAAACCCGCAGTTTGCACTGTCGTTGTGTGATGTATTGGCGGGCGCGACGGAGGGGGCGGCGAGGAGTTGTTTCCTGGAGGATCGGGTTGGCTCATTGGAGGTTGGGAAGAAGGCTGATTTGACTATTTTTGATCTTGATTGGGATCCGAGGAAGGCGTTGCAGGCGAAGACTCTGGAGACTTGGTTTGAGGGGAAGCAGGTGTTTTCTGGCAGGAAGTAATAGCTTCTATGATCACATAGATCCTGTACAATCTAGACATTGTTCATAGTTTGAGTTTCACAACGAGACATACCGTAGAGATGGCAAATGGCAATGACTTTGAGAATAGCTCTCGTATCCAACGCTTTTTCGTGGACTGTTTCCTGGATGATGACGAGATACAAGGGCAGAATCGAATAGGACTTGACAAATCTGAATATGCACAATGAACACAGCCTCTCCTCTACCTCCCGCGATATATCTGTTCTAAGCCAATATACCTGCCACGACAATACCCATCAAAGTAGCCAGAGACACGCTGTACGAAAAGGATGTCGCGATACTCTTTGGCTGATTCCCAGGACTTCTCCCAGCATCAGGCATGGACTGGTGGAAGGCCTCGTACGTTCTCTCCATGTCATGCTGAAGTTGCCGAATGGAAGATTTCCCGCGGTAAGCGTCCCAATTGTGGTCAAGAATAGCTACCACAGTGAGGTTAGCATTCATCAAAATCGCTTCGGAGAAGACAGTAGACTCACCCCAAGGCTCATCCTTATCCTGTACACCTTCACGCGTGTAGTAACTTCCACCCATGACCCAAACCATCCAGCTTATCTGCCTATCAACCATAAAATCCATCAGACACCTCCGGAACTTTTCCTTGAACGCGCCGCTCTCATCGGTCTGGTCATGACCCCACTCCGTCATGACCAACGGCGCCCGATTACTCGTCCCATTTGTCGTAGTCCCGTTGGTCAAGGTCTCGTTTGTCGTTCCGTTGCTCCCAATGGTCATGACATCGGACCCAAACGCCGTCAAAATATCCCGATAACTCGTACACGCATCATCGACAAGCCCTTGGTCATACTGGTGCTGCTCAAACACAAACTTGCTCTTGAAGGAGAACTCGGCAATGGAGAAATTGAACCCGGGCTCGCTAGCAAACTTCCCTTGCACGGGTGCTGAAATGTCAAAGTCAAAGATGCGCCCGCCAAAAAAGATGAGAACGTCTGGGTTGGCGGCGTGGATTGCGTTCGCGCCTTGCACCATGCGGATTTTCCAAGTCGTCCAGGTCGTGTTCTCCAGGCTCTGGGGAGGGGTTGCGGAAAAGGGGTCGCGGAGTTCGTTGCGGAGACCCATGCTAATGAAGGTTGTCCAATTCGAAGCTTTGCCCTGCGCAAAGATTAGCCAATGGACGTTTGAGCTGAATGAGGTACGGAAGTTAGTTGACACTTACATGCTCTGCCATGTAGGATAATCCGCGAACCCAGTTGGACGTGTTGAAGTTCGTGTCTCCGAACCACCCGTTTCCATCATATGGCGTACAACACCAACCAGCCTTGGAAACATGATTATCAAGATGCACGTAAATCTTCTGTCTTCCCAGCTCCGCCGCAACAGCATCCCACACATCAAGTCTCTTCGAACTCTCGTTAAAAGACGGGTTATTCTTGAGAATCTGCTTCAAGACCGCCGTACCATTCTCCGGGCCCAGCGCATTCTGCAGCGTCGTCTTAAGATTCACGTCGCCGCCCCGGTCGACGATGTCGTCCACCATTTCGGTGGCGAACGTCAGCCGGACGGAATTGAAGCCCGTCTCGGCGATGCGCTTGACGATGTGGGCGACGGATTGGTATTGTAGTCCCTCGGGCAGCATGGTCCGCTCATGGCCTGCCCAGTTCACGCCCACGAGAGCGACTGTTGCGTTGCGGGCATCGACGATATCGCGGTCGCGGACGGAGAGCGGGAGAGGTTGGAGCTCGCGGCGAGTGAGCTCGGCGTAGGTGGTGAGTGAGGTTGCTAGGGCTACTAGCAGCGCCGATATACTTGAGAGTCGACGCATTGTATGTGATTTGTTTGTGTTGTTATTCGTTTGTCTTCTTCATGAAGTTATTTGATTCTTTCTTGAATCGAGCGTTGAAATCGTCTTGTTCTAAGAAGCCGCTTTCGGTATAGAAGTTCTCGAAAGTGACAAAGGAACTTCTGAGACAAGAATGAAGTAATCCGGGGTACGAGCACAGCTGCGGGAAGAACATGACGGCACAAAGAGAAAAAGAAGGTAGGAAGATCCTTGGCTCGGGCCCTCTTCCCCTCCAATCCAGGAACGCCCAGGAACTCGTACGACGTCGGCGGAGAACTTGTGCTTGGCCACCTTTTGCTTGCACATGCAGCCGAGAAGTCGTCCGAAGTTTGATGATTCAATGGCACTGAGGACGTATCAGCGTGCCGACAGGCCGTGCTTGGAACGGATGATTTTATGTTTAATAGGCCAATGCTTGCAGGAAACGAAACACACGACTGGCTTGCGAAGAAGTTCGAGAACACGGGTCCATGTTTGCGACGGCAAGTTGGTTGATGTTTACAAGTTGTTTATTTGTTCATTTTCTGAAGGAATACTTACAGAATGGGTTGGTAAAACTAGATACATGAAAGGGGGTGCCACCAGGCTTATGTTCTCAGGAATAAACCGTCCGAAAGTCATATCCGAACGCCATCTACTTCATGTTCTGGAGCAGGTAGCGGACACCAGCGTAGGTCTCCTCGCTGGTAGGCACGATCTGAGCAGCAGGCAAGACGAAGCCGTAGTTGCCCGTGTCGCGAAGCTCCTGGGTGAAGGTGTAATCGGCCTTGACAACATCGTTGACGTAGTCGACACTGCTGCCGGTCGCCTTGTAAATGGTGGTGCAGATAGGACCGTACTGGTACGAGGTACCGTGAACAGCCTTGATGGCGGCGACGGCGCCCTTGGCAAGAGACTGGAGCTCCGTGTTCTTGGCGGAGACGGCGGTGCAGGAGTAGCCGTAGGGGGTCATGAAGAGCTGGGAGTAGGCATGGAAGTCGATGAAGAGCTTGAGGCCCTGAGCGGACTTGGTCTTTGCGAGCCAGGCGGAGAGAGCGGCGGTCTCGGGGGCGTCACCCTGGGAGAGGCCCTTGAAGTCCTCGGCGCAGGGGTCGGTGGAAGCACCGCCGGTGACGGACCACTGGAAGGGCCAGTTGCGGTTGATGTCATGGCCGATGCAGGTGCTGCCGGAGGTGCTCTGGCGGTTCTTGCGCCAGAGACGGTTGGTGGTCTGGGTGTAGATGAAGCCTTGATGAATACAGTCAGAAAAAAGCTCCACGGGCATGGAGACAAAGGGGAAACTTACCGTCAGGGTTGACGACGGGGAAGATGTAGAAGTCGTACTTGTCGACAAAGCTCTTGATCTCCGTGTCGGAGGAGTATTTGCTCAGGAGGTTCCAGGCAATGTACTCGTTGGCCATGGTGCTGATCCACTCTCTGGCGTGAACGGTGCTGTGGAAGACCACGGCGGGCTTGGTACCCTTTGAGGTGCCGTAGATGTGAATGCCAGTAATGGCGTTGCCCTGGAGGGACGAGCCCGAGGTGACGATCTCGGCGTTGCTGGGGTACGAGGAGACCAAGTCCTTGAGGAACTGAAGGTGGTCGGCGTATGCGTGGTACGAGTTAAACCAGGTCGCGTTGGCGGAGCCGACTGAGAGAAAAGTTAGTTGACGAACCCTGACACATTGCGAAAGAATATCCACGTGGGATGGCCGATTAGCCTAGGTGGAGAGGTGTCGAGACTTACCAGCGTAGACAGAGAAGCCAGACTCGTCTGCAATTGACGCGCCGAGATCCTCGTGCATGGTGGTGAGGTTCATGCCGGCAACCTCAGCCTTGAAGGAGGCAACCTCGGTGGCGGGAACGACAATGTCGGCGAAAGCACCGGCTCTCGGGGCGCCCTTCCAGGTCGTCAACTGGAGCTTGTCGACGACGCCATTGACCCTATCAACCTCGTCTCCGACGGAGAGGCGGAAGACCTTGGTGCCGTCGTAGCTCACGCGCTTGGAGCTCGCGCCGGCAACCGAGGCGGCGGAGACGGCGGCGACGAGGGTGGAGAGAGCGGCGAGGGACTTCATCGTTGCGGTGGTATGTTACTTTCAACGATGAGGAAGAGAACTCTTGAGGGACAGATGAGCTTGGCCGGGAGTGAGTGTATGGCGACCGCGCGTAATGAGTTCAGCGAGGGTGCACGAGAGAAGGCATCGCCAAGGTTGAGGATGGCACGGGTGTGCTCTCCTTTATGTACGGTGTTACGAGGTACGAGGAGAGTCGTGTGCAGCTATTACTATCAAGGATTGAGGATAAGAGGGGAAAGCAGAAGAACATAGTTTCCAGGCCTGAGATGGACACTTTTCGGTGGCAGGGCCAACGGGAAACAGGAACAGGATGAATGACGAGGATCGGACCGTCGGGGATCGCCTGGGCAGCTCTTACAACCTTCCCGTTTGGGTCATTGCGGCCCGCCTCGAGGGAAAAGTATCTTGGTATCTCAAGTTTGCCCTGTCTGCCCTGTCTGTGCCCTTTTCTCTTTTGACTTTGTTCGATTCGCTAACTTCGATAATCTTGTCTGTCTTCTCTAGCTGGTAGAATGTCAGTAAAGAGACCTGCCCGATCAAAGCAAGAGCGGAATGCGGCAACAAGCTGCAGACAAAAGTCCCCGCCTCTGTCGTGTAAGAGAGGGGAGGGAACATGCAGGTGGTGGTATCTTCAAAGTTGGAGGTGGTGCTACCCCAAGCTCGCTTCTCCGCGCTCAGGGGGGAAGGTAAACGGGAGTGAAGATCCACGGCTACCAATACGACTGGCTGGTGATTCTGCGTTTAATGGCGCACAGATCCCAGGCCTGGGAGAGAGCGAAGGGGAGGGGAGGGGAAGGGGAATGCGAGGGGACTGGGACCTGGAGAAGGAAGGTTGGAAGCTTGGAGAGAAGCATTCGACTGTGGCTGGGCGTGTCTATCTCGGCCAGGGGTTTCTTGCATCATCAGACGAGCACGCAACCCTTCGAATGGGAGGCAGCTGCTTACACTGACAGGACAGGTTCTACACGCTTCACAGAGACGTTCGTTGACGGGACGAGCGGCATGGGGAATCCGAATAGCAGACCACAAACTTTGAAGAAGGGCGCTTGATGGACCTTTTGCATCGTCTGGTCGGCCTTGAAGACTTGATTAAGCAAGTCGAACAAAAGCCTAGATAAATTGGGCTGGTAGGACTGGTGGTGGATCCCAATGCGACCCAAGCAAACAACACCACAGTGCCTGGCTGCCAGTGGCCCCCGCGAGCTTTCTGAAAGTCTTGGAGTCTTGGACAGATCCAGGAGGTCAAGTGCCGGACTGCGGGCAACCGACCTGCCGGAACCGGGGTAGCGCGGCGGTAAGGATTCAAGGGGACTTTGGCGATCGCGCGGGCTGTTGGGGGTCGGGCAAAGCACGCAAAGCTGGACATTGAGGCCTGCTGGGTTGCATGAGCCCGTTTCCTGCAACAAGAGCTTGATTGAGATAGGCTACGGGCTAGTTGCGCCGTATGTCTTGGACGGAGAATCGTCCGAGTTCTAGACCGGAAGGGGAGGTATGTAGGAATGTCTTCAGCTGTATCTCTTGGACTGGGGGAACGGCACAGCACGGCATTCTTCTCATCCTTATCAGCACATCGTTTGGGTGCCGATTTAAGTTTAAAACGCTTATTTGGTGGATGGGGCGCTAATACGATCCCCCGCCTGCTTATCCCAGCGTCCATACGAGTTCATCTGGAGCACTTCAGCATCATTCCCACCATTGACGGAAGTGTCCGCATATTTGAATGGAGTGAAGTACGGACACTATGGTATTGAAGTGACAAGAAACGGCGTACTGGGCGTCCTAAATCTTGAGTATAATTCAAAGAGCTTGGGAATTCCCAGGGAAACCACGGCCGCATTGTCGACGATAGCTACCCTAGCACTGGTTCAGGCTGAAGAAAACTTTGGGCAGAGACTGCTAATCATTCAGAAACAAAGGTACTCTTCTCATCAATTGACTTTCATGGCAATCGCGAGTTGCCTCAATAGGCACTGGACAGCCAGAATGACTTTTCGCATAAGACGAAGCACAAGTGGGTCACAGAGTGTTCTAAAAGTATCATTTCGACGACGCACTCTCACCGATGTCTTGGGACCCATTGTCATCTCATCGTACGGAAGCTATCCACAGTGATGAAGATGCGCCCTACGGTACGGATACATGTACCTAATCTAATCATTGGCAACTACCTACGTACACAGATATTCACGTTCCATCAAATCTAATGCAACCACATAAGAAGGCAAAGCAAGCACGCAATGTGACCGACCGCTGATGAGGGCAACAGCAAAAAGAAGAATTCCGGAATAGAGTTCCGAGTCAAAAACATTGGACGATCTGGGAATCGAACCCAGGACCTACCGCATGCTAAGCGGTCATTATACCACTAAACCAATCGCCCGTTGTTGAAAAACGGAGAGCGTAAGCCGTCCCTTGTACCGCGGGAGGGCAGAAAATCATCCGAGAAACTCAGCGCCCTCTGCCCTCCCCTTGTCTCTGTCCTTCTCTCCTCTTCAAGTCCAAAGCCAACTCCATCTCGCTCTCAGTCTCAATCTCTGTGTTGTCCGACAACCACCTCAAATGCACTTGGCTCGACCAAATGCTGCAGAGAAATGCGCGAGCCCTTTCATCCCGTGGCCATGGCATCTCCCAGAGTCGATGTTCGGGAATGGCCGGCCAATTGTTGTAGCCCATGACGCTCACGAAGCCATTCGCATCTGTACTCCCATCTAGGTCATCGAAAAAATGACTCCAAACCATCTCCCTGCCCTCATGCTTGCTTCAGTCTCTGTATCGTGACATCAAACTCCTCCGGATCCCGCCCAATAACCTCCTTCAACGTCTCCGAAACAACGGAAGTCTCTCCCGCCCGAACCCCCTCCCACGCTGTCGCCCACGTTCTCGCCTTCTCCACCGACCCGAACTTCGCCAAAACCTGCGGCAGCTTCACGTACTCATCCACGCTCACCTCGCGGATCCTCACGCCCCTCCCGACAGTCCGCCCAAGCACCCTTACCGTCTCCTCAAGAGACCAGGCCCGCGGACCCGTGAGTAGGACCTTTTTATTGACGTGAGGGAATTGGTCCGGGTCCCAGGAATACTGCGCGATAAGTTTCGCTGTCGCCTCTCCCAGCTCGCTGCGCTTCGCCCACGCCACGCCCGGGCCAGCGCCGTCATGCGGGATGAGGATCTCATTTGAGGAGGAGGGGGAGTTGATGTCAAAGAAGGAGGTGTAGATTGGGTACGATTCTGAGTAGAGACCCTCGCGGATGGACGTGTAGGTGAAGCTCGGATCCGATGCCGCGGCGGAGGCTAGGTGGCGCTCCGTGGAGAGGTGGGCTTGCATTACCTCCGCCACGGAATCATCTTGTAGGTCGCCGCCGAAGGCTAGGGAACTGTAAAAAAGGTGTTTTACGCCTGCGCGACGAGCTGCATCGACGACTGGTAGTTGGACCTGTGAATCTTGTCAGGCCACCCGTCTTGGTCTTCAGACCAGTTCAACTTGAGCTTTTTGCTTCTCACCTTTTTGCGGTACTCGTGCACATGACTTGGGTAGGAAATGAGGAAGAGCACCTCGATGCTGGCAAACACAGCCTCGAGATCGGAGGGGCTCGACTCGTATGATGCTTTGCGTGCGCGAAGGCCGTTCTTAATGTGTTCTTGGGGTACTCGCTCCGGGTGCCGGTTGATGAGGATAATGTGGTCGCTGGGGAGAAGTTTCAAGAGGTAATCGTAGGTGCTGCCGCCTAGGCCTCCTGAGCCGGGGAAGATGCCAATGCACTTCATTTTGTGAGGTTCTTCGACGATAAGGGAGATGCTGTATCGGACGAAATGGAGGTTCACAATGGAGTTGAATCTAGGTGTTGATCTTGTCAATCCAATCTGTCGGTAATCTGCTTCAACTGGATTAAGAGTGCGTTAGTAGAGAGTTTAAAGTGCAGATAAGCTAAGGTGAGATCGTGACATGACGCGCATGATCACATCACCTCACACCTCGCACCTCGCACACTGATCACGACACCAGGAGGCTTTACCTGGCAGGGGAGTGCCGAGCTTGACATGCTCATTACGTCACGCCCACCCCTATTTTCAACGGTCGTATCAAGCATCTTCCCTTCCCTCGTATTTCTGTGGCACCTGGGTGAGATCCCACGTTGGAAAATCAGGCTCGCATCCCACTTTCTTTCCATCATTACCCTGTTTTCATCTTTGAGTTCCAATTCCGGAGCGGAGAGCCACGTTCTTTTTCATTTGTCGCCCGTTGGCCGCCCCGGGGTCCCGGCCCCCGCTACACGGCCGACGTGTCGGCTCAACAGCGCTTGCTGTGGAGTTAGCAGCGGAGATGTGTGCCACACTTGGCGGATGGGTCGTGAGTTGAGCGCAAGATGAAGGCCCAATTGTGAGGCTTTCTAGCTTGGCCACTAGCAATAAGCCAGATACCCATCAAGTCGTCTTGACTACGTGCGACAAAGTTCAGGGCTGACTGGTATGCTCACATTCTAGTATACATAATGACATTCCATCATGTAGGCTGCTGAATGACCTCGACACATCGCCACTAATAGAACAAATCGCGTATCAATCCTCATTAACCGTACTCATACCATCCGATTTCCTCACGGTGCACCCGATCGAAAGATCAAAGACTAAATCAGCGTTAGAAAACACTGAAGGTGTATTTACTAACGTCACCTACACCTAAAAGGATCATGGTGAAGTAGCGATTGAGTGTTGAGACTAAAAGAAAAACGAAGGCAAAAAAGAGAGGTCGACCTGTACGTGATTTTGTACCGTACAGCTGTAGACCGTTATGTCCATCGCAATTCAGGATGATGTTGTTCGGCCAAATGGCTTCACAATTGACAGGTCACGACTCACGAAAGGAGGACACCATATTCTGGACCCGGTTGGTCTATAAGCTGGTTAGATCAGTACGAAAACACCCATTACTTGACCAAGGTTAAAAGTAGTAGGTATATAACGGCTTAAAATTTGGATTCCTAGAGGTCACGAAAGCCATCGTAACTCTCAGGACGAACATAGTCTTCTCAAAGGGAAGAAAGTCCCTGAAAACGAGCTCTACTTATTTCCAGTTGGTGGTTGCACCCATCTTGGACCCATCGGCAAGCACCAAAAAGTCGCTCGGCACAATCTTTCCATTCTTGCCGCGCGCGCCAGAAACAAGGCTGATATCGACGCTCTTGAAGCTCGCGTTTGTCAGCGCAGCCGCGCCCAAAACATCCCACGAGTTGCCGATGGACGTCTGGCGCTCCCGCAGCGTCGCCTGGCCGAAGTAGGTGGCGTTGGCGAGGGCCTCAGGGTTGTTTAGGGCGGCGACGTTGCGCTTGAGGACGCCTGTGGCGTTGACGCTGCGGAAGCCCGTCTTGCCGTTCATCCACGAGGTGTTGTCCTCAATGGCGAAGGCGCCCGTCTGGGAGTTGTCGGTGAAGCCGTTGGCCTTGTTGCCGAAGGCGATGCAGTTGATGACGTCGCGGGCGGCGGGGAGGATGTCGCCTGCGCTGCCGCCGCCTAGCTTGAAGCCGTTGCCGTTGCCGGTGAAGTCGGGAATATCCTAGATGGATCGTTAGGGGCGTTGCAGTGGAATGAGCTATGAGTTTTGAGGCTGACTTACCCAGCGGTTGAAGCCGTTGCCCCACGCGATGCTGTCCTTGATGGTCAACTTGGAGTGGAACTCCCTGAGATACTGTCAGCTCGTGCATCATGATAATATCAACGAAATAAAAAAGGACTCACCAGAAGTCGACACCATCGTCAGAGTTATCCCAGAATCTGCTGCCAACGACAATGTTGCCCTCGCCCTTGCCCTCCTTGATAGCAAGGCCATCGGCGTTCTCGCCGTTGTTTCTCGGGTCGCGGTTACCATACGAATCAAGGTATGAGATGACGTTGTTAGACAGGGCACCCTGCATGTGGAAACCGCTCTCGTAGTTCTCGCGGGTAACAATCTGGTTAAAGCGCAAGTTGCTCGAATCCTTCACGTAGACGCCGTACGCGCCGTGAGTAAAGGTAAGACGAGCAAAGTTCCAGTACTGCACGCGCTCGACGTGGAGCACACCACGGTTCCGGCCCGGCACGGAAGCACCGACGGGCGCGGGGGTATCCGGCAGACCCTCGCCGTCGATGATGACCTCCTCGTCCTTGGCGGCATGCAGGGTGATGGGAGCCGCGGCCGTACCGTTGACGGTGATGTTGATGTTCTTGAGGAGGTCGTAGGTGCCGCCACGGAGGATGATGACGTCGCCCGGCTGGGAGATGTTGACGGCGGCTTGGATGTCGGAGAAGGGCTTGGCTTGGGAGCCGTCCGGGGTCGCTACGCCCTTAGGAGAAACGAAGATGTTGGCCGCCTGGGCCAGGGAGAGGCAGGAGAGTATTGTTGGGATGACCAACATTGTGAAAAAAAGAATGCGTTTTGTATATACTTTGAAAAAGAGTGTAAAAGTTGGGTTTGCGGATCACACAAAAGAATGTGGGTGAGAGAGAACGGTATAATCAACTACTTCTGTCATATTGCGGGCAGAGAGAGAGCATGGCGCCGGTGATGATTTATAGAATGCAGTGTGGGCATGGCTTCATTGTCGCAATCGGCTCCGGTTCAGGCAGATAATGATACCACGGAGATGGATCCATCTTGGCACTTTGGGTCAGCAGGAACAACACATTAAGAAAGTCTTGGTACTCTCTAAGAAACTTTTTTACAACTTTCGCTCAGTCTGCTCACATAGCGTGGATTCAGGAGTCGTTGACTCGCTGAATAGGGACGGCACCATAAAATTCCTGCCCACGAAGTGGCCTAGCTTGTTTTGGTGGTGCTGGAGCTCAATTAACTATAATGATGGGTCACCCCTACCCAAGGTATAAAATTGGTGCGAGATGGCGCTATTACGCCAAGATGGGCCACGCACCAGCAGAACATTTGCATTCTTTTGGTGTGGTCAAGTAATAGGCAGTGGTCCCGGACTCCCGGTGGGAGTTCGTCAGCCCCAATAGACTCCGCCTCCACTGTCGTGAAATTATTTTGAGTTCATGACGGAGTCAAAGGCTGATTCAAGAGTCTAGATCTGGGCCCATATACTATGGCTGGGAAAGCGATTGCGTCCGGTAGTCTTGGGAAGTTGTGTTCGAATTAAGTACATTGTTCAAGCTTGTCGGCGGCGGGCGCTCCATCAATTCTTCATCACGAAGTTGGTACAGAGCTTCCTAGGCCGCCATGCGACACTCAACGAACATATGCACTCAGGCATGAGGCTCAGCCAACGCATTTATCGAATTGCGGAAGATGTTTCTGGAATAGTGATCTCTCCGACTCCAAAAGCGACGAAAACGACGGACAACTGCTGCAATATATTCTAAACAGCCCTAAGTTTAAGCTTTCTGTCGCTGGGTAAGGCCCATTGGCATCCATGCTTGGCTCATGACTCGGATCAACCTCACCCGCCCACCGACCCGGGAGATTGGATTCTTGGAGGCTTAGTACGGAGTAGTCAGCGGCATTGTCGGTGGTTCTGGCAGCAGTTGACGAGTAAGTAACAATGGCCTCGGGTCCGACTCTCCCGCCTCAAAGTCTAGCTTCGGTCCGAGCCTCCTCAGTTCTTTGCAACTAGCATCTCACACATAGTCAACCCAATAAGCGGTAGTGTCAGTTTCTCACAAGTTGCAGAGAGATCAGCAAAAAACAAGGGCGACATAATTCCGAAACTGAGCGAAATGATAGCGGATTTTGATGTATTGTAAACCTTTAGCTTGGGTAGTCTCAGAAAGTTTACTGTTTCTACAATGAACTTACTTATAAGCTTTAGTTACTATGTACTTATCATACCACGGACTGCAAGCTGGCCCTTTTGCCCAACTCTCGGTGTTCTAAGCTTATCCAATGAGAATCTCGGATGCGGAACAACATCTACAACTTTGTACTTGCTAGTTTGTCCCGAGCAGAACCAGATAATACCTGCAAAGCCATCTTCATAGTGACGGCAGAGCTATCAAATCGAACTGGCCTCTCGAAAAGACACAAGGTCACTACTTTGATCCAACACAAAGTGGAGCAGCCATTTCCTGTTATTCACGATACCTTCCATGCGTATAGCTCAAGAAAAATGGATGGAAGGGGTTATGATTGCTGCCCAGATTATCCAGAAGGGCCATTGCATACAGCACAAGTAGCATGCACAAAACCATCAACGAAGAGGGCAGGCCAAGCCGCACATACAGTGACGCGTAAGTCAGAGGGTTGCCAGCATTCATCATGGGCATGAGCATGAAGTTTTATGGAAGATCTTGTGTTTGTAATGCATCTAATTTGCTGAGTAAACGAAATAAGAGTTGCATCTCAAGGGTTCTTGATGGAGACGATGTGTTGATGTTCCCGCCATGCATGAGCGAGCGCAGCCCACAGTAGTGCCTGTACTCTCTGCAACTGCTATCGATATAGATGGAAGGACTTATCGATTCTATGGAGTTCATTGAAATGGGCTCTTCCAAGCACATGCACGTACATCTCAGAGATCAGACAAGGATGTGATGGATGTGATGACATTGGTAGTGGGACTACCAACACCAACAGCCACAATACCTAATGAAAACTTTACAAAGATAGCATCCTTTAGAGATTCATAAAGGAGAGCAGTTTACGTTCAATAGCACTAGCCTCTTTCATGCCGTGGAAACTCGGATGTGTGTATTCAGGGTGGCGTATACGTGTGCTGCAGAGTAGTGAAGTGCAGTAGATATTATATTTGAATTGAGACCACCCGAGATTGGGGATACTAATTCAAGGCAGATTGAAATCACAGCTAAAGTGTTCCACAGTCATTCACAGCTCGTCTGTAGCCTTCCCAGTGTTTGGATTTGCCTAGGTATGGAAGGGCTGCACTGCGCTGTCTTGTCTCCTTGTTCAAGCTTGCAGTCAGGGACTACTATTGAAAGGATTTTATACTTTACCTAATATTAGCACCTCCCGTGAAGGGAAGATATCAAGGAAGTTCCTACTGCTGAAGTTGTCACCGGGTAGTCCTTCCACCTTCTGCCTGAGATCATGTCTCAACGTACCCATGTATCTACGTACACCCGCCTTAAGATTTCCGGACTGGACGAGGCAGGAGCTTTGTACCTGCACCCAGAACTTTCCGTCGCGACAGTCTCTTGACAAAATGAAGGAACAAATGTCTGCCTCAAAATGAAAACTCTGCCTGGTGCTCTACAATCCCGACAACACTCCCAACTACAATCCTTCATCTTCTTCAACTTCTCTATTCATCATCAGGCTATTGATGACAATCATTGCTAAGCATACAGGCCACTGCACCACAGCCTCGACCGAAGTCCCCGATCCAGCACCACGGAGAGACACAAAGACGAGCCAACATGGGCAACGATGCTACGGTTAACGAGATCGAGGAAGTTTGGTTTTTCTTGGCGAGCGTCGGTGGAGCGCTGCTCGTCATTCTTCTCGTCCGAGATATCTCTCAGTGGTGCAGAGATAGACTACTCGAGCGCCGCATCATTATGTATCCTCTGTATCCTGCCAAATGCTCATTCCGTCATCGAGGCGTTGCTGACCCGCTGGGACAACAGAGAGCGCTTTTGTGAAAGCCCTGATCGTCTATCGAGCCCTTCTGAAAAGGGAACAGATCCTCCGGGAAGACATTCTGCGCGAGCGTCGCGAGTACGAAAAGGCTAAGCAGGACGCCTGGAACCTTTTTGTGCACAAGGGTGAACGGATCGATCGAGACGAGAAGGCGATTCAGAAGGGTAGAAAGGAGGTGAATCAGATGAGGGCCGACCTAGAGAAGGAAAAGGGCGACATGAAGAATATGAAGGCCGACGTTGAGAGGGGTTTGGAGGAGCTCCGGAAGCTACGTGCTAAGGTCATCGAGAAGGCAGACAAGAATGACGGCTCTGGCGACAAGTTTGAAGATATGGACGACAACGATCGTGAGCTGGAGCAATAGATGACGCTCTACAGGAATTTGTGATAATTCAGTCGCCTTCAGGGCGGAAATGGTGTATTGAGCACAGGAAAGCGTCAAGAGATAGCGATCATAGAATCAATCAGCACAGAAGCAATACCCTGACATACACATGCTCGTTCTGTCTTGCTACGATGAAGAGAATCTGGTCCCCGTTCCACAAGTCCTTGCGGTATCTAGACCATTTTTGCTCAATGTCACTGAGACGAACCATCCATGATTCTTTCAATGAGCAATAGAAATTTAAATTCAAATCTAGAGTGCCATGTCACAGCTCATGGACATTTTCTGGAGATGCCAAACTACCCACACGTCTGCTCCCAAGGCGAGAATCGGCCTGTCTTCACTGACTGCTCGCGACAGTTACGGATACTTTCCTAAAATTTCCACAACATTGACACTGAGTTTGTCCCGAAGATGCCATTCCTCCATCAGAAGGATGCTCTTGCATACAGTTCCTTTTTCACTAGCATATGTGTCCTCCACCGAGGCCTTTCATGAAGCTTCTTTTCCATCATTACTACTAAGCGTTACCTATTTGTCCCTTGTTCCATGTTCTCAAACCCCGAAGGAAGTCTACTCTTCCCGCATGAAAACACAACAGAGGACAGCGTGATGCTTCGTGCTGTCTTCCGGAGTCTTTCACAGCCAAATGAGGCGCATCACTCGGTGGCACCCGCCTCTGGAAAACAAGAAATCACATGTTGCCGCTGGCATCAAACACTACATATCCCACGATCTTTCAGGAAGGAACCAAAAAAGAAGGGCTACTCAAGCTATCAACATCGCCTTCCTGCTGAATCTGTTTCCCTTCAAACATATACCACACTCTTGCGTCAGAAAGACCATCATCACGACAATCGCTACGGAAGCCCGAATTACCGAAAAGACTTCAAGACCAACAACAAGACCCGTCACCTACAATGGAGTATCACGTCTTCAAGCAAGTCATCCAGACGGTCTTGACCGCTATCTTGATCCTCTTGGGCGCCATGGTCTTCGCCGAGATCATTCCCGCCGTGATCGGCAACAAAACTGCTCGTCAGGCTGGTATGTCATCTTTTCTGACTTCTCAGTGTTCTGCCTCAAGAATGACACTAAATCAATTGAAATTTAGCAAAGAAGATTCAGGAGCTTGAAAAGAAAGTCGCCAACTTGATGACCGACGTCGAAGATGCCAAGAAGTCCAAGGAGAAAATCGCCAAGCTCACGAAGAAGCTCGAAGCCGCTGAGGAGAAGTCACAGGCGATGACTGAAACGCTTTTCGCGGAGTGCGAAGCCGCTGAGAAGTCTCAGCTGGAGATCGTCGACTTGATGAACGAGCTCGACGCCGCCCGCAACTTCGCCGCCACAACCCTCGACAAAGCCTTTCAAACCAACCAGGAGGCCCGCGAGAAGAGTGTGGAGATTCTGAAGGCCTTGGCCGAGAGAATTGGCCTGTTCGAGAAGATTGCTGAGCTCAGCAACAGCTCTATGAAGCAGCACTTTGAGCAGGTCCGCACGTACAGCAACTTCGGCTTGGAGAATTGGGGCGAGGGAATGAAGGCTATACAGGAATGCATCAAGCTCGATTATGGCCGTATCAAGCTTCTCGACGAGGCGACTGCCGTGGAGCACGCCATGCAAGCCTCCCCGGACGAGATGGACGAGGCGGCGAAGAAGAAGGCTCCCTCTTCTGCTTAGATGTTCGAGTTGTGTTGGCAGATACACCATACGAGAGGTGAATTTCCTGGTTGTTTATACTTGGAGGACCCGTCGTATCGTGAGATATGCCGATGCAGAGCAGCATGGAGTGGAGGAGGATAGACGACATGCCAGCATATGGGGGCATCTGGGTCATCTCGCATCCGCAAACTTTCACTTGGTTCTATCAATCCGAGGCGTTACAACGGGCTTTGGAGGGAAGATTGAGAACTTGTCTGGCAAGGCACCAGAAGTTGGCTCTCGCATGGATGTTGACGCCTCAAGCAGGCGTCAAACCGAGGACTTTAGCTCTTCCAGGAATTGACATTCGCATTCGAAATATTCAGAAATCCACGCTTCGTAAACGTGAAAGCCCCCTTGACAACGCTAGTATCTGCTTCGTAGATATCAACCTCCCCTCGCCGGAGGTGGATGTCTTTCTTGAGCGTGCTTCCTACTTCAGCTAGAGCACCGCAAGCACGACGCTGGCTTCTTTTACCTCATGCTTCGAATCGTTGAGTAGCTGATCCACGCCCGATTGAATTGGTGTAGAGCGAGAAGCGTGGTTGCAGAAACTTAGGTAACGCCGCTGTAGCGGGGAGCTCATCTCTCGCAGGATAACTTCAATTTGAAATCGTGTGAACCTCAAGCTTGACGTGGGTTTGACAAGCATTGAACCGACGTACTGGGATATTACCACTCGGTAGCTCAGAATTCACGGTCAAACGAGTCTAGATCAGGCCAGAGCAAAAACTTGTGTGTAAATAGCTGGCGACTTTGCCAAGTTGGTGCAAAACAAGTAAGACTTGACAGCGCTGAATCTGGCCGCGTGTCTTTCATCAACGTGAACGCCGAGACATTCTTAACCCATGGGAGCAACAGAGGCACAGCTCGTGTTTCAAACCCTAGATAATGCGGCCTCTTCTAATAATATGCAGCCTCGCTGGCCATGATACCTCGGGTCAGGACGAATGGTTGAGAAGGTTTTCACCTTCGATATCACGTGTGTGGCTCGACATTGAGGCGCAGAATTATATGTCAAGCCACACAACAATTTTCGGGTTATGTTCTCGCGAGTCGCAACGGCTCTTTTCGATTCAGTTGTCCGTATCGTTCTGATAGCATGATTTGTCTTAAATGCAGGAAAGTCGCATGCTTAAATGTCAACCTTCTTTATCGGCTTTGGATATCAAAATGCTCTGATTTTGACGAAAAGGACCGCCACGCCAGAAGGCTGTCTTTTGCTTGCTACCCAGGACGTGCGAGTCAGTCATCCCACTGGCAAAGACCCACGAGCATGAAGTAATTGAGGTAAACAGCGATCGTTGGCGCTAATGTCCTTTTCTTGGCGCTAGCACCATTTCGTGATCGAAGCCCGACAGCATCCCCCCCTGAAGGCTCGATTCAGAATTTCAGCTGACAAGCCACTTTGCCTGGAATAGCAGGTCGAACCAAAATGAAAGGCTCATCGCTTCGAGTACGAGCTGACCAACGAGTTTCGAATCAAATGAGATGAGCAGGAGCGTCCGCCCAGTTGGCGTGAGATCCAATACCTTGAGCTTCAAATGAGCCCAACGCCCTGTCAGAGCCGTTGAAGCTGGATTCCAGCGCTGTCACAGTGTCGATTCACATGCGACAGCAAATTTTGGTGAGGGCCATCTATTCTCAGCCGCCAACCTTTGAGCCGCTTGAGGATGTGCAAGGGAGATAACGATCAAGACGAGTGTGAAACTCAAAGACTCAGAACGCCGTCACGGATGTACGGCAAATAAATGTGAGGTTAGTGGCCGGCTGATATATCTGACATGCCATTCCATCATCGATCTAAGAAGAGACGAAAGAAAAAAAGGGGTTTGAAGCCTTTCGGAATGCGGGGGGGTTGATTCGTGGCCTGGACCCTGTGGGCTTTGGACGTGGGCCCATGCTATATTCAAGACGCGTGTTCGTCCCGGTAGCTTGGGGTCCAGGGGCGTCCCAGGATTTGTCCCCTCCAAGCCCTCCACGCTGGAAAGCCTAGCCCTAGAGGGATTCGCAATGAGACGACGAGTCGAGTTCCAATGGCTGAGACCTGCTGGCGTGGCCCTGCGCGCTCTGCCCACCCGTCGTTGGTCCTAACGACAATGGGGATGGGCTATGCTTGTTGGTTTGGCTGCCGCTGGCATCATTTTGCGGCTTTGCCTGTGACTGGTAGATAGGACGCAGATGTCTCTGGTCTCGGAACACGCGAGCCGGGGTGAAAGCTGCGCAAGTGTCGCCAGTCACATAGATTAAGCTGAGTCTGGGTTGACGCGGGAGTAAGGAACATCGGCATAATAAGCTTTGGGCTAGCACCGGTCCCGACACCCCAAAAATGGAAGCACAGCTTGAAGGTCTTGGCTGTTTAAAAGGTCGCGGGCCCAGGCAGTCAAGACGCGGGGAGAATGCTAAGCTTCTGAGTTCCATTGCGAGCTTTTTTGCTGCAAAAAGAATCGACAACTGCTAATACGACTTTGAGAGAGAGAAGAAGAAGAAGAAGAAGGGAATGTGAAAGGGCGTCAAGGATGGTTCGTCTCCTAGTATCACCGCGATACGGCGGTCAGTCGACGCCAATTATCGCCGGCGCGGCCTTCATCACCCTCTGCGTCGTCTACCTCCTCCGATTCCACGGCGCAATAACACCCTTCACATCCGCCAACTTCAGCTTCCGCACCTCGAAGACGTCTGGCCTCAATCTCGACGCCATCAACGCGACGGCACAATATTTCGTCGACTACCCCCTCGGCCCGCCCTACAAGAAAGTCTTTGGAGAGCTGGGTGAGCGCACAAAGGTGCTGCGCTCGTGGATCGAGGCGCTCGAGGAGAAGGGTGGCGGCCGCACCGACGGGTTGCGGGTTGTGGGGGCCGAGAGACAGTTTCTCGACGCCCAGGTCGAGCGAGTCGCCGCATCCCTGTTCCCTTATTTGCAATCTCCGCCGAGAGACATCCACAGCCAGACGCCCCTGGCCGATCTCAGGCGAAGGTTTATGGGGGGCGCTCCCGCTGATCGTGCGCCCCCGCGGGCCCCGGCACAGCAATTGGGTGTAGGCGGTACCGGCGCCGCCGGGTCCGGCAAAGAGAAGCCGGAGTACGTGCCGAGAAATGCCGGTATCGTCATTCCGACGGGACACGGCACGCTGCGGTTTGCGTGTCATTTAGTTGCGTCCTTGACGCGCGTTTTGCAGACTACGCTGCCCATTCAGATTGTTTACGCCGGCGAGGAGGACTTATCCGAGGAGGATCGCGACACGCTTGTGCAAGCTGCCGAGGGCGATGGCGGACGCGTTGAATTTTTGGACATTTTGACCGTCTTCAACGACACGACATTGAAGTTGGCCGAGGGAGGATGGGCGATTAAGCCATTTGCCGCGCTCGGCAGCCGATTCGAGGAAGTTATTCTCCTGGATGCGGACGTCGTCTTCTTGCAGAAACCCGAACAGCTCTTCCAACAGCGAAATTATCAAGAAAAGGGCGCGCTTCTCTTCCACGACCGCTTGCTCTGGAAAGACCAGTTCCCTGAGAGGCATGAATGGTTTCACGAGATGATCAAGCACCCGAGCGAGGAGCTGCAAAAATCGCTCGTGTGGACGGAGAAGTACGCTGAGGAAGGCGACTCTGGCATCGTGGTGCTCAACAAGGGTCGGCTCAATGTGCTCATGGGCCTACTACACACGGCGTGGCAAAACACGCACGCCGTGCGTAACTCGTGGACGTATAGGATCACGTACGGCGACAAGGAGACGTACTGGATCGGCCTCGAGGCCACAGGCTCGACGTACAGCTTCTCGCGACACTATGGCGGTATGGTCGGCTGGCGGAAGCCGTTTAGTGGGGTGCAGACCGAGATGACGCAGGTGTGCAGCTTCGTGATTGCGCATGTGGATGAGGTGGACAACTTGCTGTGGTATAACGGCGGGCTGTTGAAGAATAAGATGGACGACCCGACTGAGTTCGCGGTGCCGACGCACTGGATGATTGACCAGCAATGGGTCAAAGGGGCGAGGAAGAAGGACATGAGTTGCATGGTTGGTATGAACGCGAGAGAGCTCAGCGGATCAGAGACCAGCGTCTTGAAGAGGAGCATTGAGGCAGCGAAAGATGTTGATGATAGACTCGAATTGGTATAGAAAATCAAGGATTCCCCCTTTTTATTGTTCAATAGCACATCTAACGTTAGTCTTCATGCGTGAATGCCACCACCCGAGCATACTTCCTCAGAAGTCCGGTCTCATCAATCATTACAGTCATGACTGCTGCTCCCCTCCAATCCTTCATTCCCAGATACCAACATTACTGCTCGCTGACAAAGCTCACCAAGAGTCAAATCACATATCGCTCCCCATCAGTGCGAACATTTATCGGCATAGCGCAGCCCATGGCCAAATCTGAACACAGGATCCACCGCATCATACGGCACATCCTCCATCGCATCCTCCACAGCCTGCTGTGACCGTGGGAGATCAAAGGGCAACTTGCCCTCCGGATTGCTTACCCCAAAGATAACGTCCAAGAAAGCTTCGCTGCCACTCCCATAGCTGCCCAACACCGCAGAAGCGGCGTCAAACACCTCGGGTATCGCAGCAGGACGATCCAGAATCACGTCGACGACAGTAGGCACAGCTGCATAGATCGCGGCCTGGCGAGCCTTCTCCTCGACCGAGTACTCGAGTGAGCCGGCGTGGTAAGCTGCCTCGAAGCCGCCTGGGCGGGGCTCGTATGGCGCATCAAGTCTGAGCAAGGCATAGTCTGCCTTTTCTGGTGTCGCGACGACCGTGAGGTTGCGTGCCTCGAGGAACGTGGCGTTGAAACCCTCAATGTAGAATTTAGATTCTGAGCTGATGTGTTTTAGAGGAAGGATTTCATCCTTGTTGGTAAGAAGAGTGTAGGCTCTGCGCTGGGCATCGTTGCCCAGCCGGAGAAAGTATTCGTTGCCAACAACTCTCGTTGCGGCCTCGGGATCAACGAAGGGGTTGTCGAAGAGCCCGAGGAGGAACTTTTCGCGAAGGAGACGTCTGACGGAGATGTCAAGGCGGTCTTCGGACACGATGCCTTCGTCTACTAGCTGGATGATGAGCTCGGTTCGCTGCTCACCACCGAACTGGTCACAGCCCGCATCCAGTATGCGAGCCGCGCGCTGTAATTCAGTGGTGTTCTCTAGACCCCAGGCGCGTGCTGGCATATCCTGGCCACGGATCACCGTATCCGTGATGAGACCCCAGTCGGTGACGACGATACCTTCGAAGCCGAGTTGGTTCCTGAGGAGGTCTGTGACGATTTGCTTGTTGAAGGAGAATCCGACTGGTTCGTAATCGGTTGAGTTGTCAGACAAGCCAATGGGACGCGAATAGTACGGCATCATCTGTCTCGCACCGGCTGCGATCGCAGCTCTGAACGGAGTGAGGTGATACTCAAAATTGTTTCCTGGATATGTTTGATTCTTGCCATATGTGAAGTGAGAGTCTTCGCCATTGTCCATGGGGCCACCACCCGGGAAGTGCTTCGTCACGGTGGTCACGCTGTGAGGACCGATCTCTCTTCCTTGGAAGCCTTTGATGTACTCGACAATGAGCTCGCTTGTCAAAGTCGCGTTCTCGCCCCAGGTATTGCCCAGGCGTGCCCATCGCGGCTCGGTAGCAAGATCGACTTGGGGATGCAGGGCAGCGCGGATGCCGACGGCGATGTATTCCTCTCGAGCGACCTCGGCGAACTTTCTAACCAGCTCGGGGTCCCTCAGAGCAGCAAGACCTAGTGTCTCAGGCCACTGGGAGAAGACACCAGCCTGGAAACCAGTGCCAATGTTTTCTGTAAAGTGGTGTCGAGGATCGGTAGAAAGGGTCACCGGGATGCCCAGTCGCGTATCCAGAGCACGTTGCTGTACGAGGTTGACAAACTCAGCGACCTGCTTCGCATCTGTGACGTCGCCGACAAGGTTGAAGTGCGTCATGTACTTCTCGCCAATCATGTTATCAGTGCTGTTGCGGCGGGCCGTGACGTTGCCAGGGTCCAGAGTGCCATTGGGGCCTTGGTAGAGTTGAGTTTGAAAAAGCTGACCGGCTTTCTCTTCGACCGTCATCCGTTGGATAAGGTCTTGGACGCGTGCGTCGACGCAGTAGGATGAGTTCTTGTAGATTGGGAGAGACTCCGTGTTATCCTGGCGGGCTAGCCATTGCTGCTTTGGTGAGAAGGGGGTTGATGCGCAATTAGCTCTTAGGAGGAGACCGGCGAAGGCGAGTGTTACCGCTTTGAGCTTCATGATGGCGGAAATCTCAGAGAACAAGCTCCGAAGTGTGGAAATGGCTCTGAGACTTTTCACGACAGTTGGCCGAGTGAGCCAGAGGGGTATTTATCATGGCACCAGACTTGGCCGGACTCTGACGGCAGACGGACATCGTCGAGATGGGATCGACTTGGTAATGGATGCGACCTTACCTCGGACAACGAACCGTGTGGATATGGGGGTAATGCGATATTTGTTCTTGGCACGCTATTTAACGGCCTTGTATCGGTCAATAAACCTGATATGGGGCTCTATTGTGTGGCCGATGAGGGGTTCCAGCTGCGTGATGTGACGATGTCATACTTTACTGGCGGGAGAGAATACCGCGGTTTAGAATTAATCCAAGGCACTAAGGTAGAGTGAGATCAGCCAATGGCACAGTCAAGGGTACGATACTTAGAGATCACCAAGAAGCTGGGTCTCTGGAGTCATCACTCGCTACAATTCGGCTTTCAGGGCGTCTGGGTTAACCAAAAAGTAGTGTCATATCTACTTCTTGTGTACTTTCCCTCATTTATGGCCAAGCTAGGTAGATTGAAGTAGTCTATTGAAATTGAGATTGTATCCTTTTCAAGGAAACATTCTATTCTTCACACATGTTGCATAAGGATGTTAAGCTTATTCAGATAGACTTGAGCTAGGCACCCTAGAAGTTCGTCCCATCGAACGTTGAGGTGGGTGGCGCGGTTTGTTTTGTACGGGATTGTCTCGAAGCTGGACACCGGAATATGCTCGGGTCGTCGATCCAATGGAAACGGTGCGGAGACCCCGGACCTCCCGCAGCATCCACATTGACGCATGGCAAAAGTGACAATTGGGAATGGTGGTATGGGTCTATGTTGATGAACTTCAAGTCCTAAGTCCAAGGCCTGGGGTCTGAGTCGGCCCTACCTCTCGCGTGGCGGGGTCAAATAGATTCTCAAAGCTCCAATAGCTGTGACCTAGTCCATTGATGGACCTCTAGCCATGGCGCTGGATCCGAAAAGCTGTTTGTGAGTCGTTGCTTTGCCCCGATGGTGGTGTCGTGACCGAGTTGGATGATGCGGGGATTGCGGGGAGCAGTCGAGTTTTTGCTGAACCGGGTCGGTGGTCACCTGTCAGTCCTACCTTGACGGATCCACGTTCGGCACATGTTTGAGTCTTGGCAACATCTACCGTGGGTTCACCGCTTGTGGGCGTGCTTATTGCTTCCTGTTCAAGGCTGGCTGTCTTTGATAACCACATCATAGTGCTTCCGGTGGGGGCTCCGGCCCCACGCCGGGGTCGGGCGCGCTTCATGCCAAGCGGCCGAGTTGTAGTCATCAGTGGGCTGCTTGGTGCTGCTGCATGGAGCAACTCTTGATGAGAGTACATGTAAGATGACGGTGGCGGCAGGAAAACATTATCCAGTTTTCAGAGAAAATTATGATGAATAAATCGCTTTTCTTAACGGCCAGCCATGATGTCAAACTATCGGCTCAGGTGAATCATTTGGATTGGCATTCGAGCAAAATTATTGACTGTATAAGGATGGGCCGTTTCAACATGAACACCTCGGTTCATGAGAAACATGACGTAACTCTGAATGGCTACAAGTTCTTGAATAAAAAACTATGTGCCTCGTTAAGGTTAGCTCTTGCTGAGGATACTAAGTACATAACGGGTGGCTCTCAGTTATCTTCAATGTTCCGCCGTTGCGGCTTTCGCAGCATCTTCCTTAGCGACAGTCTCTTCGTAAGTGTCATATTTGTACTTGAATCCCGGGTGGTCAGACCTCAGCCCCTTTTGTCCAAGGCCGTAGATCTGCTCTCTGAAAGTGGGAGCCGGCTCGTCCTCGGGAACCGCTGTTGGCAATAACCCTCTGCTACGGAGCTCTGGGACGAGGTACTCGACAGCATCTTCAAAGCTGCCAGGCGTGACAACGTAGCCAATGTTAAATCCGTCAACGTCGGCGATATCCACCCATTCCTGGAAAACATCCGCAACCTGAGCCGCGGTACCGACCGGCATGGCCCCATTCCCACCGATTGCTGTAACCGTACCCAGGTTCCGGGGCGTCAACTTTGGCACATCATCCCCGCGATAGCGCAGGTTGTATAGCGAAGAGTGAATGCGTTGGAGGTGGCTCGCAACATCCGCCTCGGTCAGTTCGTGATCCAGGTCGAATTGAGAGACATCGATGCCCGTGGTTGCAGAAAACTGGGCGAGGCCACCTTCGATGAGGACGTACTTGAGGGCTTCTTCGTACTTTCTTTTGGCGTCCTCTTCGTCTTTGCCGATAATGGGAGTGATCATGGCGAAGATTTTGACGGAGTAAGGGTCTCGTCCTGCGGCGATGGCGCCTTCGCGGATGGCCTTGACTCTAGGTGCTACGACATGTGGGGAGAGGCCCGCAACAAAGATGCCTTCGGCGTGGGTTGAACCGAATTTGATACCCGCACTTTGAGGCATGTTCAGCGTCTAAGTTGAATCACCTGGATGGTACGTGAAACTTACGGGGATGTGCCGGCCTGGAACAACACTGGAGTGCGTTGTGGAGAGGGGTCTGTCAGGAAGGGTGCGTCGACGTGGAACTTGCCATGATGGTGGATGGGACGAATCTGAGAGTAATCCGAGTATATGCCTTTCTCCGCGTCTTCTACCAATGCGGTATCTGACCAAGAGCCCTCCCACAGTCTACATAATCGTGTAAGTGCGCCTGAACGAACGATCTCACCAATTTCAATACTTACTTGTACAGAACTCGCAAGTACTCGTCTGCATTCGAATACCGGGTGTCGTGTTCAACTAACGGAAGGCCAACCTGCCGTTTACTGTGAGATGTAGAGCCCAAGAACATCAGGAAGGGGATCTTACAGCTTTGGAAGCTGATTCCTTCCAGCTGGTGACGATGTTCCATCCAAAACGTCCCTTCGTCAGGTGATCGAGGGTGCTAAAGCGTTTTGCAACCACGTATGCCTGCTCGTATGAAGTTGACGTTGTGATGGCAAATCCAAGATTTTTGGTGACAGCGGCCATCGCGGAAACGGGCTAATATGATGTTAGTCATGCGCAGTGCATATCGTAGGGCACGAAATGAAGACATCGCTATCGAGGTCATACTTACGATGACAGGGTCAGCCATAGGCCATTGAGCGCCTGTTCTAACCGATGGCTCTGCGCTCCCCTTGTATCTGAAAGCCATATTAGCAATGATGATGTTGGCTGGTGCAAAGGATGAGGTGAAGCTAACGTGTCGTATGGCCCAAATGTATCGGCCAAGAACAGGCCCACAAACCCTCCCTTATCGAGGAGCTTTGCTAGGTCTGTCCAATAGGTGAGATCGCGGCGTTTGTCTTTGGCTCTGTCTTTGGGGTTACGCCATTGGCCAAAGGACAGGTGTCCCACAGTGAACATGTCGAAGGCATTGAGAAGGATCTGCTTTTGAGGCTTGGCGCTAGTCCCGCCATCTTGGTCACTTGAGGGAGTCATGACAATAGTATGGTCGTTGAGAATCTGTTGATCAGATTGAAGTCCGGTGCCACAGAACCAATCGTTAGAGTCGGAAGAAGATCACTGATCGTATGCTTGGTTCTGGTCTAGGTTCATTTGAGACCTGCTTAAGCTTTGTTGCAACCATTAATCAAGTCTTGAATTTATGTAGTCTATAAAACCCATGCCTCTTTGGCGTCATCTTATCTGCATGTTGCGTGCGGAAATCCTACGGATATTTTCCGAGAGATACTACCGTTATTCCCCCTTCGTCAGGGCGTCGGACTCCTTTATCGGACTTGGTAGACATCTCCTCGCCGGTCTGAGTACTTTCCCGACCAGCAGAAATGACTGAAGATGAATTGAAAGAGTCGGATATTAGCCGGAGTAGACGCGCGAACATAACGTCGTCGGGTTGGTACAGAAGAGTCTTGCAGATGATGGAAAGGTGGGCCATAATTCCGCCATCAGTTCTCGGCGCGCTTCAGCGAATGATGTGCAGATGCGACGACGGTTCAAAAGCACTTTGTACAAGCTCTTCACATCCCAAGCCTTATATCGCCATATCAACTTCGAGCACATCATACATATTCCCATGGATCCCCGCTGATAAGAAACTCGATATGGAGATGCAGGTAGTGAGAAATGCCGGCATCGGGTATTGGATGTCGGCGCCAATCAGTTACTTGATTTAAAAGACCACATCCATTTGAAGTTGGCTTCCAAGTACTAGCATGGCTTGTAGCAATGGTCACCGGTTCCATGATGAGCGCGCCGATACAGCCCAACGAAGTCCGGATCGACCACGATGCAACGGCCGCGAGCCGGAAGCAGCAAGCCAACGCAGCAGTGGCTCGAGCCAATGTCGACAACCTACGAGATGACCCAGAAGCTCGAGCGGCGTTTCTTTCGACGTTTTCTGCGGAAGAGGAAAGGTCTGTCATCAAGAAAGTTGACAGGGCCTTCCTGGTTCTCATCGGCGTGATGTTCATGATCAAGCAGGTAAATTCATGCTGAAGACTAACTGACTGGAGTCATGCAGCTCGGCATGCTAACGAGTTTCCAGATTGACCAAACCAATGCTGCAAATGTTCGGGTGTTGCAAGCGGGGGAGTCGCGAAATATCATGCAAGAGCTCGACATGACGTCTGATCAATACAACTGGGTTGGATCCATCTACGGCGTAAGTGACTACCGAAGCTCATGAAGCAACCGAGGCATCGTTATGAAAGACTAATAAAGCTTAGATCGCCTACATCATCTTCGAAGCGCCCAGTAATCTTCTTCTGAAGCGTATGAGTCCACATCTTTGGCAGTCTCGTATCTTCCTCACCTGGGGAATCATTACGGCCTGCCAAGCTGCAGCTCAGAATCGGCATCAACTTTACGCTATGCGATTTCTACTCGGGTGAGCATAGAGAGTCAGTATGATATTTAGACCAAAAGCGGGCTGACTTTATCCCAGAATGTTCGAAGCGGGTATGTTTCCGGGTATCATGGCCCAGTTGTCCAGCTGGTACCGCACAGATGAGATAGGCAAACCAGTGACTTGGTTCTTCGCGATGTCTAACCTGGCGGGTATCATCGGATCTCTTCTATGTTATGGCATCAGCTATATGAACGGGATTCGTGGCATTAGTGCTTGGAGATGGGTGTATCTTCTCGAAGGACTAGCTACCATCGTCTTCTCCGGTGTCGTGTTTTGGCTGCTACCAGACTATCCCAAGTCACCGCGCAGCAGCCGATTCCTGACAGAGAGGGAACAAGAGTTCGTGGAGGCTAGGTTGCCGGAGAATGCGCCGCTGACGAACGACCCCGATTTTGCCGGCAAAGAAATTTGGGCGGTCTTGAGAACACCATTGATCTGGTCGTTCATGCTGTCGCAGACGCTCATCAATATTGGGGGATATGCGTTGACGTGGTATTTGCCCACCATTGTTACCAATCTGGGTTTTGTGGGGCTGCCGAGGAACCAGCTGCTGAATATGCCTCCTGCGTTTGCGGCCATCGTGGGCTTGATATTCTCGGCGTGGTTTATGTCAAGAGCGTATATCGTCCGGCCAGCTTATATCATGTGAGTCTTCTTTGAGAGTTGGAATACAAGGTATGGGTTACTGACTAGAAGATTAGGGTGCTCATGTCCGGCATGGTTGTCTGCTTCGTTCTCTTCTTTACGATCACCAACCGGTATGGCATCTATATCTCTTGCATATTGGGAACTTTGTTCTACCAATCATACTTCATTCCGTTCTGGGCGTGGAGATCTGCCACGCTTTCGGGATCTACAGGGACGGCCTTCACGCTTGGTCTTCAATCAGGTATAGCCCAGCTAGGCGGAGTTATCGGCCCGCAGTTGTTCCAGTCCAAGTTCGCATACAATGGTTACAAAACGAGCTTCGCAATAGCAGCGGCAACGACTATCGCCTCTTTCGTTGCCAACCTATGGACGTGGTGGTTAACCAGGAACACGGAGTACGACGTGATGAGAGTGAGAAGGAAGATATTGAAGGCTCGCAAACTTGGCAAGGTCAATTTTGATGATGATATCCGGGTATTTGAGGAAAGACGGTTTTATGATGGGATTAAACGGCAGGGGGGAGACTCTGGTGAGGAAAGCTCACAAGCTTAGTGATTTGTTCTTCTCGTAGAGATTCGTTAGCGAATCACAGATGCGGAGTGACAAAGTGTGCGATAAGAGATGAGCTCTATCAATTGCTGACAGATAGATTCAACGTCTCAACAACGCGTCTTACTGATATAAATGCAACATCTTAAGACGAGCGGCCCTGCAACTCAGATATGCTTAGCAGACAATCGAGCTAGTCAAGATTTCAAAGTCCTCTTGCCTTGCTTCAAGTGCAAGTACGTTGCTTTAAAGTAGTTGTGAGTTTGAGTTTGTCGCCATAAGTGTGAGAACGGTGGATCAAGGGAGAACCCGTCGAGAACGTGTGGGGGCCACGCCGTAGCGTAAATTCTCTCAACTGAACTGATCCTAAAATAACTCACTTCAGTCCTGACTCAACACTTTCTGAGGAACTCTACACACCAGAATCGCAACCAGTCATGTCGGCATCACCAGCTCTTGCACAGCTTTTGGAGAAGGTGATTCCGCAAGGGGACCGCTCGTCTCTCCGCAGCGATGTAATCCCGGCAATCCTAGACGCCATTTCCGGCATCGCCAAGACGCTGCAGGCATCCCAGCACGTCTCACTCGCCGGGACAGCAAACGCCTTTGGGGACGACCAGCTCAACGTGGACGTTCTCTCCGAAAATGTAATGCGCGAAGCTATAGCGAAATGCCCCTCGATCCAGACCGCGAGCAGTGAAGAGGACCCGGTCGAGAAGCCTGCGAGGACACAAGCGAGCGCTGGCGCAAACGAGACCCCTGTAACCTCCTCAGAGGAATACACCGTCGCCTTCGATCCCCTGGACGGCAGCTCCATCATCGCCCCGAACTGGACGGTCGGGACAATTGTCGGTATCTGGGATGGGCGGACCGCCGTGGGCCAGTCACCGGTTGAGAAGCAGATTGCGGCCATCATTGGTGTCATCGGACCCCGGACCACTGCCATTGTCGCCGTGCGGATCCCCGGCGCCGACTCCGCTTGCTTCGAGATTGGGTACGGCCCCAACGGTGTTACAGACTGCGAGGTTATCCGGCCGATCGTCAAGTTGGCCGACGCACCCTTCAGGACGCGGTACTTTGCGCCCGCGAACCTCCGGCACGCGGCGGATGATGAGAGGTACAGCGCTCTCATCACGCGGTTCATCAAGGAGAAATACACGCTGCGATACTGCGGTGGTCTTGTCCCCGATATTGTGCATGCGCTTGTCAAGGGTCATGGCGTCTATGTTATGCCTGTTACGCCGGGTGTTCTTCCCAAGCTCAGATTCCTCTACGAGCTGTACCCGATTGCTCTTATCATGGAGTGCGCGGGTGGCCAAGCCATCGACCCCACGGACGGCAAGCCGCTGCTTGAAAAGGTTCAGAAGGATTGTGATGGTAGAGCAGGTCTCATCTGCGGCACAACGGAGGAGGTGAAGATTGTTGAGCAGGTTCTTCTTGGATGAGATGTGGTCATAGCGGGGTGAGAAGGCCTGAGGTATTCTCACATGCATGCCCTATTCATATACAGCTACAGCCATGCCTTTTACCAATCCTCCTGTCTAATTACGCTGCAGTTCCGAAGTGCTCTCCACCGCTTCGAAGATATTCCTCCTCTTCCTTGGTCATTGTTCTGCCTAGCTGTGCATTGCGGTGCGGATACCTCCCAAAACGCTCGATCAGATGCTTGTGCTTTTTCTCGAAATCTAGGCTGTCTCCAACATAGTCCTCGCTCTGCTTGTCCCCCTGCTGTCGAAACTCCTCTTGCATCTCGCCCACAACTTTGATATATGTCTCGTGGTCCTCGACATGTTCGGAGTGCATCAGCGGCATGTAAAACCACATCCGCCGCGCCGGCGCCAACCTGAGCGAAGGATGCATGTCAGGGCGCGGGTCAGCACTCATGATGCTGCGGAGGACTGCCCGTGCAAGCCGATCGTAATGCGTGTAGATGATGGCCTGCCGTGTCCTGAATATGTTTCGGGGCATTTGGTCGAGCAGGAGAACGAGTGCAAGCGTCTGCAAGCTTTTGGTTTCTCCGTCCGAATTGTTGATGCTTTGCATGAGCGGGCCTGCAATGTTTTCGGCCGCGGCAGACTCCTCAGAAAAATTGTTCGAGGGTGGGATAGGAAACTTCTCGGGTCCGATGGACTCTAGAGCGGCCGCGAACTCTTTCGTGCATGTGTCGTCAAAGGCTCGACGGTCTTCCGGCGACCCCTGGCCGAACCAACGCGTCATTGCTTCTCGTGAGGCCGTTTTGGCATGTGGTGCTACGCCTTGAAACCAAACATTGTGTACATGGGCGTATAGAGAGGGAGATAGGAGTGTGCGGGGGAGTGTGGAAGTCAAGCCGGCCATGATGATAGGTCAAGCAGATGGACGTGGAATAGGTAATTGAGTTAGCAGGTGTTATTGGTATCTTTCAAGGTTTGTTATGTCGTTGACAGGCCATCGTCTTTAAGTAGCATGCGTCATTTGGGCTATTCATCACCACTGAATCGTCGTTTGCTGATTGACCTAGAGTATCTTTGGGATTAGACTGAGATTCCAGTGCTTTCCAATGCCTGTATGGAGCTAGTCAACCACCGAGCTGTAGGACGCGGTAGGGTGAATTACACTAAATTGCTCTGGATGCGAATGCGCCCACCACATTACTAATGCAATTAACATCGGCCTCCGTAACCTGCCGATCGCGTCAAATTATTGTTTCCGACTTTTCTCCTGCATCTGCGTAAGCACAAGCCTGCATCAAGCAATGTTGAAGATGACGGCAACGGTATGGTACTTAGTTCTATCTGGTAGGTGAAGAGCTCTCCAGGATATCTAGCTTTTATCTCTCAATTGATCATCTCATGTGAAATCACTGTCTCGAAGCTCTCGATTGATCAATCATCTGGGATCTTTGAGAGCCTAAAAATCAAACAAAACTACGTTACCACGCTAAGCCCTCGGGTACAGCTTTGTCGTTCATACTAGAGCTTGAACAAACACCCCGACAGAACGCCTCATCCTCTTCGGCGGATGATCTCGTCGCTTGAACAGGACCTCTCCGAGCGGGCCACCATTCCGACCCACGCTTTCTCTCCTCGGCCACATGTTCATGTAGAAGCCCCTTTACCTTTCCAATGACATACACAACCGCTTCCTCCACATCAGGGTGAAATGGCCCAGTCGTATACGTATCACTATTTAGATTGGACTGTGATCCGTTGGCTAGCCATTTGTCCTCCGACTCAACTTGGCTGAAGAAGTCCAACTTTTCTTTCAGCTCTTCGGGAGTCGCCGTTTTTGACCGATAGACTTCGTACCGCATCAAGCTCGTGGTGGCGGATGTGGGTACAATTGACATCATGTAGAAAAATACAGGCCTGTAGGCGGGATCAGCTCAGTGTACCAAGACGCAGGTGCAAATGATCTTAACTCACGTGAGAGTGACCGAAGCGTTGGGAAACATGTACGTAGGACTGACAGAGCTGGCACGCTGCTCTCCTTTCGCACCGAGGTGCTCAACCCAGTACTTGTTGAGACCGTAGTTCATCTGCTTGTTGCCCTTGAAGAAGGGTGCGAGACCTGGGTGAGCTGTTGGGCAATGATAACACTGCAATAAGCGCACGAAGTTAGCAGTCTGGGGCTAGCCAACTATAAACCTTCAAATTGATTGCACGAACCTCATTGTAATTCTCAATCAGTGTTTTCCAGTTGAACTTCCCTTCCATTGACCAAGTGTGGTCGTACTCGTAGTTGCTCATGTCGAAGTTCTCTAGCCGGGGTTGTTTATCAACACCGCCAAACTGCTCCTCCCAGCTCAGCGCCGGCTTTTCAGCTGCATCCAGGTTGACCCAGAAGAACCCTAAGCTATCGATATGGCTGTGCACTTTGTAGAGTTCATACTCGCTTTTGTCAAAGTCTTCGACCTGGTCGAATCGAGGTGCCTTGGCCAAGTTGCCATTCATACTGTAAGACCAACCTGCCATAGCGTGAGTACTAGAGCTCGGAGTCAGAGGCCGGGTAAGAGCTCATACCATGATATTTGCAAGACAGCACAAACGCCTTTCCCTCATTCTCGTGAACAATTGGAAATGCCCTGTGGCGGCAGATATTGAGGAACGCATTAATGTTCCCTGCTCGATCTTTGATAATGAAAAAGGGATAGCCAGCCATTTCATAGCGAGCGTATTTGCCTGGCTCGCTGAATTGATGGATATGCGAGACTAAGATCCATGATTTACTGAAGATAGCACGTCTCTCCAGTTGGTAAAAGCCCGGCTCACGATACCACGAGGCTGGAAGGGTGCTCTGCATGTTGAACTTTTTTGTTGATCTTGTCAATTGCTTCAATTTGCGTGATCAACAAGTGTTTGGAGTGAGGCAGAACTTTGCCTGTAATTAAGCTGAACTCCGTTGGACAAGGCACCTCCATGATCAACATCTCGGAGGCCGAGAGACCCATTGCAACTCCATCATCCAAAACCCAGAGTTCTAAACTTCTAATTTTAGCGGTGTTCGGCCGATGCCCCGCTGATACTCATCGAAAGAAGTCAGCAACAGTTACCCAAGATGTGATTGGTGTTCATCGGGTATGGGATGGCTTAGACAGACTAGTAGTGAGATACTATCCTGCGCTCGGACTGCCGGCCGAAGCAGCCGGGACCACAAGCAAGCAGGCATGCGGGGTCGCCGTGAGGTTGTCCGCGGACACCGTACGTCATTCAGAGCCTCGACTCCCATGGTAGTGGAAACTCGCACACGTTAACCCCGCCTTTGAGATGCCTTGGCTAGTATCCTTAGCCTCGGGAGCTGCGGAGAGCATTGTGGTCAATCTCGAACTCGTTATCGTGCTCTCATGCGCAGCTGCGATAACTGATGGATTATCTGATTACACACATTTTCAAGCATCCACAGAGGAGTCTGCAACCGCCGTGTCAGTCGATAGAATGCAGGCGTACGTTCTTCTAGTGATACTTGCACTCTTTGTGGGAGCGCAGCTCCTGGCAAAGATCTATCGCGGCTTCGCGGCCCCACTCGCATCCGTCCCCGGCCCGTTCTTTGCGCGATTCACGGACCTATGGTACGCATGGAGGATTCACCAGGGCCGCTTCGAGGTTGATAACATTGAACTCCACCGCAAATATGGCAAGTCATCTTCTTGGAGAAATTCTCTGTCTGTTGGACAGAGATGCAGTCTTGTCTTGAAGACTCAGTCAATTTCTGTATGTCTGGTGTAGATGAGCTAACTCCTCCGAGGCCCAATCGTTCGATATGGCCCGAATAGATTCAGTATCAATGACCCACACGCAGCGAAGGTGATCTACGGTCATGGACACGCATTTTCAAAGTCGACGTGGTACGATACGTGGGGTGATCCTAACCCGCATCAATGGTCTCTGTTCTCAGACCGAGATGAAAAGCGCCACAGTGAGAATCGGCGTCTCTATCAGAGCATGTACAGCATGTCCTCCTTGGTGCACTACGAGAGCTACGTCGACGAGTGCGCGGACTTGTTCTCCAGAAGGCTCTCAGAAATGAGTGGCAGAGGAAAGACAGTAGAGCCCGTTGACATGGGTCATTGGTTTCAGTGTTACGCATTTGATGTCGTTGGTATGATCACCTACTCCAAGCGACTCGGTTTCCTAGACCGGGGCCTCGATGTCGGAGCGGTGATTAAGAATCTCGAAAACCACCTCTATTACGCGACTATGATAGGAGTATATTCGTATCTCCACTCCTACCTAGCACCCATCAGGAGTCGGCTAGGTAAACGGGGCACTGGCAGGCAATTCATCGTCGAGTTCACCAAGGGTTGCCTGACAGACCATCAGACAAAGCCCAAAGCAGTCGATGCTGAGGATACTTCACACCTCTCAGAACAGTCCGGGACAATGGACTTTCTCTCCAAATTTCTTGGAAAACACTCAGAAGACTCATCAACGTTCTCTCAATACCATGTTCTGGCGGGTTGTGTATCAAACATGGTTGCAGGCTCAGACACGACCGCCATCAGCCTCAGCGCTATCTTGTATCAGCTTCTCCGGAATCCCAAAGAGATGAGCAAGCTGCAAAAAGAGATTGATGAGTTCTATTCCCAAAGAGCTGGTGATCCTCGGCGAATCAACTTCCAGGAGAGTCTCAAGCTGCCCTACCTCCAGGCAGTCATCAAGGAGGCATTGAGATTGCACCCAGCGACTGGCCTTCCCCTCGAAAGAGTTGTCCCCGAAGGAGGAGCAGCTATCGCCGGGAAATTCTTTCCAGCCGGGGTATGTTAAAACTATATCGACGTTGTACAGGTAATTGACATTTACTGATCATTGTTAGACCATCGTTGGCATCAACACCTGGGTCGAGCACTACCACCCATCCATCTTTGGTGAAGATGCAGCCTCTTTCAGACCGGATCGATGGTTAACTACAGACACCGATCGTTTGTCGGCCATGAACAGACACTGGATGCCGGTAAGCTACCTGGAGAAGAACTAGAGATTGCGTATTCTGACAAGCTGATAGTTCGGCCTGGGATCACGAACTTGCATCGGAAGACACATTTCGATTCTGGAAATCTCGAAATTGATGCCCAGATTACTGCACGAGTTCGATTTTGAGATTTGTAGAGACGCTGCTTGGGTTACTAGGAACTGTTGGTTCGTCAAGCCAGTGAACTTTCAGGTTCGAGTCAATGCACGACGATCGCAGGGTGGTAAAGCTGGGGCTTTCTAGGCTTCTGACAGCTCGGACGCCCGCTTCAGCGCACCTGCTGATGGGTGTTCCTGACACAATTACGGCCAGAGGAGAGAGTGAACGAGTGTGTTCTAGTAGAGTCTAGTAGTAAATCACAATACAAGAATTGAAGTCCCAAAAAATTCCAAAACCTCATGATCTGATATCTTCAAAACATTGATGTGCCAAACGAATGCAATCCTTCCCAATCCCGTGGCTATGCTGTAATTTTCAACGCCGTGGTGCTTCGCCCGAAATATTTGAGCCGCAAATGTTACTTTTTCGATCCATCGCCGGTTCTACAATTCCTACATGCGACTTGTCCTGAGTCTTTGGATCTCATCCTGTATTTGCATTAGCGGTCTTCGACTTTTCTCATTTGTAGGGCGCACGTACTGGTGAGAGATCACGCGGAGCCCGGATTACGTAGGAGTTTTTTCTTGACTCGAACTCAAACTGGTGGGAATTGAATTCTTCTTTAAGATAACGGGAAAGTCTCTCCGGGGCGATGGAAGACCCAGATATCCTCTGGCATCCTTGCTGCTTATTTCGACGTACGTTAAAGCTGCTATCCATTCTATGTTGCTGTGCTATTCTCTTATGTCTTTCTGAGTTCAGAATGTCAGCTAACGGATGGTGAGGGCCAAAGAGGAAGATGCTCGGGTCTGACTCTCGGTGGAATGCGCCTACACTTAAGGGCCGACGAGGGCTTGTAGCATTTTACTTCTACCAGGGTATGATTGGTCGACCCAGGCAGATCACTCATAACATGCTGCAAGACTGCATCAATATCTGCAGGTTTTTGGTGCAGTTGCCTGATCAAAGCCAATCACCTGGTCCCCTCGTGTAGCTGCATCTTTCTGTCGAATGAATCCGTTGACTACTTTCTGCTCACACCATCAACATGAAGTGGATTTTACGCAAGGCAAATGAGCACAGTGTCAGCTGTAGGCTTAGGGCTCCTAGTCGCATCCACCTCGGCCTTTATGGATGCCTTCGCACACCCACTCACTGCAGAAATGGGACGAATCCACTTCCGTATCAACATGTGTCTGCTCCTTTCAGAAGAAGCGGTTCTTGGTAGCATATCATGACTTTCAAGGGTCCGCCAAATCATCAACCCTTCGCTCCTTTCCACGGCTTCTTCTCTTACCTAGTCAATTGGTATGTTGTGAGTTCCGGGTGATGGGTACAGTACACGCGCATCTGCGCACTTGCGCAGTCTTCTTTCCCCCCCCCCCCCCCCCTGACACCGACTGTCTCCTTCCCTTGCAGGCATACCGCCTGCATGTAAACCCGGTCTGTCCAGAGCCTGCCTCTGCCCTGGTCGGAGCCCGTCCAATCTGCATCGTAATCGCTGCTTACACCACTTGGAGGCCAGAGAGCTGATATTCGACCATTCCTCTCTGGGATATTCCTTCGTGAGGCTGGCTGTGCAGTATCGATGACAGACTCGCCCATTAAATCTCCCTTCCCTTCCACTAGGATAAGACATCGTTTCCGGTTCGACCACACGACCTTGCTGCTCGAGGCTTCCTAGCTTGTACTTGCACATTTGATTTTTGGTGCTACTAATGAAGCTTACCACTCTACAATGCCTCCGGAATACCATCCGATCCTACCCAGCGGTCCCAGCCCCAATCGCCACCCTCGCACGTTGAGCGAAGATCTGGCTTACCTCCATCTAGGTAGCCACATTCCGAAAGTTGTCATTGTCAGTTGCAAATTGGGCCCCTCTTCTGCCATTTAAGCTGTGTACTGACATGAAACTACAGGGCGATGAGCACAACCCTGCGCTTGACGCTATTCATGGGAACCAAGGACTCGATAACGTTCCAAAAGAACGCCCAGCAGCACCTAGCGAACAGACCAGTGTTGGGAACCGAAACCCACCAATCCGCTCAACAGGCCAGGCCCAAAATCCCCCCAGCCCTTACACCGGAGTACCATTAGATGAGCTTCTCCGGAGCCATTACCAGCCACATCCTCACCCTGAAGTTACGGAAGGTTACCTCCCGACAGGGCTTTTGGAAGAACTTGTCAGCCCCGAAGTGGTTAAGCATGAACTTGCAGAGGCTCTGAACAATGACGCTGATATAGACCAAATTGCTCAAAGGGTTTGCGACAGCTCGCCAAGGGGTCGGTGTTACCGACAGGTCTTTGCGATTCTTTGCCTGATTGAGCGAATAAGCTCTATCGAGGAATTGCTAGACCCTATAACGGGGGTTTGTGATTCAGATCTGCCTCTCCAAAAAGTGGAACTAGGCAACAAAAAGGTTGACTTGCGAAAAAGAAAAGATCTCGACAAACCCTTGGGATGTTTCCTCAAATGGAGGCATAACTCACTGAAGTCATTTGATGACTGGCAATGGACACTCAGGGTTCCATTTCTCAAAGGAATTCAAGGGAGCGAGGCCCAGTATCGAAAGTTTGATGATCGAGTAATACTCCCATTGACATACGAATCTGATCCCAACGACGATGGAGCAACTGGTGGATTCAGTGAAGTATTTAAGGTCAAGTTGCATCCCCGTCATCACGACTTTAGTCAAAACGGGGCAGATGTATGTACTTTTTCTTTTTTGCAACAATAGTCAAACAACTTGGAGAGCAAAGCCGGGGACGGTGGAATCAAATCGAGTTTACTGATCAATGGCTAACACATAGCTGACAGTGCTTTTTTGCTCTCAAGAGGCTTCGATCCACAGATACGGCGGCCTTTCAGCGAGAACTTCAGATGTTGCGGAAATTTGAAAGCGAAAACGCCCACGAACACTTGATTTCACTGCTCACAACCTGGAGTCAGAAAGGTTTCTTCTACTTCTTGTTTCCCTGGGCCGAATGTGATCTGGTGAAGTACTGGGAAATCCATAGTGAACCAAACATGGATGAAGACCTCGTCCGGTGGGTCGCAAGGCAGACTGCTGGCATGGCTGCCGGCCTTGCTAGGATCCATGAATATCCAGGAAAGGTCGACGGAAACACAGAGAATGCTGTGAAGTACGGTCGCCATGGTGATATAAAGCCAGATAATATTCTTTGGTTTCGAAGCTCGATGGGTGATCCGGGAAGGCTCGTGATATCGGACTTTGGATTGGGTGTTTTCAACAGCAAGAGGAGCAGGTCTAATATTCCCAACAACTCTGGTATAGGGCGAACGCCTACTTATCGCCCACCAGAATGCGACATTGAGGGTGCTATGATCTCACGATCATGGGACATTTGGACTCTGGGCTGCGTCTATGTTGAGTTCGTTACGTGGCTGTTGGGGGGATGGGACCTGTCGGAAGATTTTGCCGAATACCGAATGACGAGATCATCGATCTGGGGCCAGGAGTTCAAGTCCGATATTTACTTCGACATCGTACAAGTTGTGCGTGTTGCATCCGATGACAACACCTCCTTAAGAAGCATGGGTGCCATGGTTAAACCAAGGGTTACCCGGGTAAGTATCGTCCTACACCCGTCACAGAATCCTGAACTGATGAATATCAGTGGTTTGACGGGCTTCACAATCATCGAGACTGTACTCAGTACACCCATGATCTTCTAAAGTTCGTTCAGAACAGAATGTTGATCGTCGAGTCGGCAGTCAGAAAACGAGCAACTTGCCAGGAAGTATATGAAGAACTTCGACATATTCAAAGGCGATGTGTGGAAAGCGAAGCTTACTGTGTCGAGCCTGTGCCTTGGCCTCTACCACCATCCAGTGAAGAGTCACCTGCTGTCAAAATTAGGCTCAACGAAAATGCGCTGGATACCATCAGAAAAAGCCATCCGAGGCTTCGCACTCACCAAGGCCGCACAGAAGAGCCGCCGAGAGCGAGGGGTGGACACGGGGATCAACTTCTACCACCTCCATTAGGAAGAGTATATTGAGCGACTACAAAAAACCCGGCCTGGAAACAGGTCTTCAATGCATCAACAAGTACACCACACGATTGAAAATACACGTTATGCTCAAAAGATTCCTCGAGAAGTTTCCTTTGTCACTCATCCCCTTCTCGTCTCGCGTGAGACCTGCCTAATGTTTGCATAGTGGCCAGGTCCAGAAGACCTGAAGAGATTTCGCTCCTCCTTCAAGCGCAATGAATCAGCCATGTTGAAACTTGAAGCATAGTTCTGGTAGTCGCTTACTGGTGTGAGGGAACGCGGCAGGTCAAGGTTCCACTTCCCTCGTGAAAACTAAACGATCCGATTTTAGCATGATGTACCTAAGCATATCAAAGGAAAGACCAAGTTGGATTGTCTTACTCGAACTCCAATATCATCTCCTGAAGCGTTCGGAAACAACTGCCTGAGCTTCTGATGGAGCATTGTCTCATCGCAATATCGACCACTAACAAATTCCTTCGTCATGATTACTTGGCGAATACATGTAACTTCAAAGACTTGAGTTGATCAACGGAACACATCACGCGCTGCATACTGACAGTTTTGTATGGCCTGCCTGTCGGAGTCCTCTTCCTCGACAGGGTTCATAACGAATCAGATTGTGCCTCGTGTTAGCCAGACGGCGGGGAATACGCTCGTCAGGCTGCCCGAATGAGGCGAGCGAGTCTCTATGTAAAGGCAGTGTTAGGCACTGGCGCGTTGGATCTCGCCATCGACATGCCGGCAAGTACCGGCTTGGAGGGCGACTTGAAACGGTCATTGGAGACATCTCAAAGTTGTCGGCATCATCGCATGCTGCTGTCAGCCCGCAGCGAAGCCTACCTCTTGGTTTGCAAGATTTTCAACCAGGCGGAGTATCTATCCTGGCATGTCTGGGTCGCATTACTCTCTGCATTGTACTGATTAGCTACTTTCTATCATGAGGAGATTGGTGATGAGGCTTTTGACCTGCAGGATGGGTGGATACTGCTACCCCTCCTTTGTGTACTGGAGAGCGCCTTGGGCGGACTTCGGGCTCCCCTGTAGTGGTTAGGCTGCTTCTAGATGCCTCACTTCACTGTGAACAGAGGCTCGTTTTCGTTTGAGCTTGCGTTCCAGGAATGCGGAGAAGTTAGGATGCTGTCGAAGGCTTGAGGCAGGTCCCCAATGCCATTAGGGCTTAGACTGATGGATTAAAGTACCGTACTGTTGCCAGTCTCAAGACAGCATGCAGTTACCTCCCCCAGAATGATCAAGTGCTTTGGCCAATATTCATTACATCAAACGGAAAAAATCTACCACCACAAGTCTCGAGTAATTGAAACATGGACTGGCTTCTCGAGGGGTCATTGCTCAGCAATAGTGAGACCGATCTCGCCAACGTCTTTGAATATGAGCCAAGATCTGTCAAAGTTGTCCAATTAGACGACGAAGATAAGGTGAGACAATGCACTGATATATGTTTGATAACAAATTTACGTTATTGCAGGAACCCAAACAGTGGACGGTGAATGATGAAGGTTGGAAGGAATGGTTTCATGAAGTTTGTGGCCGCTTGAGAGCTTCATCCCGTAGCTTATTGCTCTCAGGCTAATAAAATTCGGTGAAAAGAACCACAGAGACCTTGTCCAGAGCTACAAGCCCAAGATGACTATTGTGTAAGTCTTTTCTCAACAAGTAGGATTAGAGTTTTGAAACTTCGCAATTGTTTCACGTAGAGAGGCAAGGCTCACACATATCTGTTGCAGCTTTGCCAGACGAGCCAAGACTAGCCCGTCAGCTTACCAAACCAAAACCATCCGCTCTCTTCCATTCTCCCACGAGACCTTCAGATACATCTGTAGCAAGATGATGATCCATAGTGGCATCTCTCGGACCATCAGCCGAGGTGATGTGGCAAGCTTTTGTTTTGGAGATGTGGCCATGGGGGAGCTTGAGGAGCCAGCTATCGGTAAGTCCACATCAAAGTCTACTGGCATGAGTAGACAAAGACAGTCAAATTCTAAGTTCTTGAAGTTTATCACAGCAGAACTTCCATGGCTTGGGATGGCGACTTAGCGCTTTCGGTGACCCACCTATCGAAAACAGGTTCAACAAATGCTATCATCTTTGGCACCACTGCTGAAATTGAGGACGAGATTGTTGACAGACTCTATTGCTCATCCAGCGCCATGTCACATCCGTTCCTACTTCCAGGAATCTTCACTGAGCTAGAGAGAGAGAGACAGCTAAAGCGCCTCGTTGAGGATACTCAAGGCGAGCTGGAAAAGGCTACATACTACTTGAGTTCTGAGGAGGGAAGCGAAAGTTACCAGGCTGCTACCCAGCCAATCATTGAACTCTGGCTCGACACCACGGAGCTCCGAAATGGCCTTTTCAACTGGAAGACACAGGTGGAAGAGATGCTGCTTCACATCGAAGGACTGGCCGAGAGCTACTTAGCATCGCAGCTCAAGCTTGAATATTCGGCTTTTGCTTGTTCCGATGCCAAAGCAGATATAACGCGAACACAAGCAAAAGTGAATTCTATGATCCGAAGCCGGCTGAGGTCGATAATAAACGAGTATGAGGACACTATAAGAGACTGCACAATGAGACTAGACGGAATGTCGATGGCGACTCAGCTTGTAAGTTAATTTATACTCAGCTTAACCATACCCAACCACACCATAACACCCCGCTAACTCATGTACAGTCTCATGCAAGGACCAACATGCAAATTGCTCTGGAATCCAAACGAGATGGAAAGCGAATACAGAATATTTCCATTTTCTCCATGGTATTCCTGCCCAGTATGTTTGTTGCAGTAAGTCAAATCCTTGCTACTGCCTGCTAGGTACTTTCCTTGATACATCTTGGTGTAAGATGATTGAAAATCCGGTCATTGTGGCAAAATATTCTAACGTGATCACTCCTAAACCAGACAATCTTCTCCACGGACTTCTTCAACTGGTTTCCCAAAGAAAAGGATGCTATGGTTTCGCCATACATCTGGGTTCTAATTTCATTTTGTATCTGTCTGAGTGTTCTGATACTCGGTGGATACTATCTTGTGTCTACTCGTCTCGAGTGTCTTCGTGTTGCTCACCAGAAGTCACGGAAGTGGTTGTCAATGGTGTGATACGGGTGCCGTATACGGGTTGCACGTAGTCAGAGTTCGGACATACTGACTGTACCTTCTCACATTCCAGCCGAGGTTTTAGACGAGGCGCGGGCTGAGAAAAGTCCGTCAGCGAACCTGAGAGGAAGTAGATAAAATAGGTAAAGCCACTATAAGCGAAGATATGGTCCAAAACAAGTGCACATGCATCCAACCCCAAGATATCTGCGCTTCCCACACCTCAAAGATATCTAGATATCGGTGTATGCTTTGCGAAGTCGGCTCAGTGTTAGACCCCCCGGCGTCCTAATGATCCAGGCGTCGGGACTAAACGATTGAACCCTTCTCTGCCTGCGCGATAGGCATGTCAAGGGAAACAGACTGCGCACTCTCGAACGTGACATTGGTCACTGCGTCATATGCCCGCAGTTGCGTCCGCGCCTCTTGCGCACTAGTTTTCACCAATGTCGCAATCGTCTCAGATCGAGGTATAAAGCGAACTTTGAAAGGCAGTGGTCGGTTCACCTGGGATACAGTGTACGCATCTGGATCCAAGACAACCTCGTTACCCTGGTTTACATGAGTTAGCTCTTGATGAAGCCGAAACTCAGCTTGGCACTAGCCTACCTTTTCGTCGACACCCGGACGGATCTCGAAAGCCCAGAGAAGAGACACGATGGTGAAGTACAAGCTTTGCTGAGCCAACGCTTCGCCGCTGCAGACTCGACGACCCCAGCCGAAGGTGTTATGCCCACGCTTATTGGGGTACGCTGGCGCATCGAAGCCATCCGTGAAACGCTCAGGCCAGAATCGATGCGGCTGAGGAAATTCTCGCGGGTTTCGATGCATGGCGTAAAGGTTTCCGATGATCGATGTTCCTCTCGGAAAGAAGAAGCCGTTATAGATATCATCTTCAGTGGGTGCATGGGGGGGCCCGCCAAGAGCAAATGCAGGCCGCCATCTGAGCGTTTCGTTAATGACTGCCGCCAGGTATGGGAGGCTGTCCTCGTCAGACCAGTCGGGATAGCGATCACGGCCGACGATGCGATCGATTTCCTCATGCGCCTTGCTTTGAACGTCCTGGTTCAAACACATAGCCAGAACGAAAGTCAACATAGTGCTAGTGGTGGTGTCGACTCCAGCCCCGATGAAATTGCCTGTGAGGTTCGAGATTTCGACTTTGCTGAGGCCGTGCTCCTCCTTCTCTTTGAGTAGTCTCTTGGCAAAGTTGTCTTGCACTGCGTTAGATCCCTCGTCTGAGAGTGCATAAAAGTACTTGTTCGACGTCTGAGCTAACTTTCTCAGTTGGTTCGGCAGCGGGTTCAGCCATGCCGGCATATCAGCAAGGACAGGTATGGCTTCGGTGTACGTCTTTCCCGGGAAGCCGAGGTTGGCGCTGCCGACATATGCTTGAGCTACCTTCAAGACTGTGTCTGATTCAGTCCCGATGCGTCTGCCCCAGGCAATAATAGATACAATCGATACGGTAAAGCGCAAGGCACTATCAACGAATCGATCAGGTTTCGTCAGACAGTCTTCGATCAACAGCTTCGCTTCGTTGGCTTGAGAAGCGCGATATGCCTGGACGACCTGGGCGTTGGCAGCAGAATGCTACGGAGCACCATTTGCCCATGTCAGCAGCTATAACCGCGAGCGAAAGGCATTGATGGAATCACTCTGAATGAGGACTCGACTTACAGTCAAGCGACGGTGTACACGCCACTGCTCACCATATGCAAGACCCGCTTGATTGAACTTGTTGAGGCCAAAGATCTTTCCAGTGAGTGTCTTTACAGGTCTTGATGAGAAGATGTTTGCCCGCTTGTCGCAGAGGTCAGACATGGACCAAGCATCATTACAAATGACGACTGGAGTATGTCCGTCCCAGATTGTGATGATGGGGGATTGATACTTCAGCGACCATTCCTCAAATTTCTTCCACTGTCTGCTGCTTGGGATGTGGAAGATGTTGCCAAAAAGTGGGAGCGGGAATGGCCCCGGTGCCATTCGTTGCCTGAGCCGCAAGACACGGATGTAGTCTACGAGTACGTAAAGCACACCGAAGGTCAGGGTAACCACGGCGAAAATGACTGGTAAAGCGACAATGATCATGGTGTCTGCTGGGTTTGCGAGAATCGCATATGAAAGAGTTGGAGTAGAATAGATAGTGATAAGATAATTACGGATATTGTAGCGGCGAGCTTTGATATTTCAAGTTTACTTCTGCGTATGATACGGGGTATGATAAGTCTCAAAGCATCGTCACGCTGGAGCTAAACGTGAGCTGGGAGCCTCATTATAAGTGAGAAAACTTATCTGAAGGCACCCATTTCGTTATCATCAGCCAGCCCAAACCCCAATGGCTTGCTGCGTCTTGTCAAACTCGACACTATCCCAGGCCCATTTTGGCAGCTTCAGACACATGACGGCACCCCCGGGGTGTGACGAAAGCTCGGTAAATGCATACACTATGAAAGGCCCGGAAAACAGTCCCGGGTTCAAACTGCGCGCCGGCCGAAGTGTTACGCCCACCCCGCCCAACCCCTCTTTATCGGGATCTTGAGGTGGGGCGTGACGACTGACATTGGGGTAGCAGGGAGATTTCCAGTGTGGAATACATGCTTGTCACGTCACTTGCAAGTTAAGAGGTTCATATCGAACATCGTCAAACGGGAACAAATGGTTCTACCATGATAATTCAATTACCAAGAATTTTCTGTGGTCAGAGCTTGCGATGTTTACTAAGTACACAGATCAAGATTCTCGACATATGTATTCAGCACCATAATTGCCATTCGCTCAATCTGTTACTTCTTCTGGGAGTATTTCTTCGGCACAGGAAGAGTTGCGTAGTTCGACATCGCATCCAAATGCTCCTTCGGCGAGATTGGCTTCCCCTCTTGCACGTATGTTCCCAACAGCTTGAAGTAGTTGATGTAATACGCCGGAGTGTATGTGTTGAAGAACTTGGCCTCCTGGTCAGTCGGGTTGCTGAATGTATGCGGCGCCCGAACGGGAACCGTGACATAGTCGCCCTCTTTCGCATCGATGGTGTCCTCGGTGCCATCGGGCTTCGGGATATGGTATCGAATAGTGCCTTTGGTCGTCAAAAACGTCTCGTCGTGCATCTCGTGCCAATGGGCTGGAGGTCCTTTCAGCCCGGGAGGGAGAGTGAACTCAGCGGCACCGATACGATTGTCTACAAGCGTAGATTGTACGGTTAGCTCTTCCTCTTTTTTTAAACCGAATCTCCATTCCCCTTGTAGATTTAGCTGAGAGTATCATCAGATGGTAGCTCACCTGTGCGTGATCCATCTTCTAAGACACGGCAAGTAATGAGTCCTAGCTTGATGACATCCCCGGCTTTAGCAGGGACAAAGTTGACCGGAATTCCGTCAGTTGGGATATCACGGCCGGGGCCGAGTTCGACATCATCATCCACATCCATGGCGAGGGAGATCAAAAAAAGTCGGAACCAAGAAGATGTTGAATGATGTTTGTATGCCTTAGCAGTCAATTTGTCTACACGTTTGGCCGCAAGTTGGAATCTCAGTAAAAGAATGGGAGATGTCGTGACGTTATATGCATTCTTCCCATCACCTAGGTAACTCAACTTCGTTTCAAAAGCCAAAATTTTCACATAACGCACGAATGTCAAACTTGTGGTTTGCTTTGCTTTTCAACGGGGGAAAACCCGAGCTCCGTGTTTGCGGAGGCAAACTTTAATCTCATCGGCCGTGTTTCCCACTTGTCTAGGTCATGTCCGCTCTGGCTCGGCCCGGTGGACATGGGCCCGACGCTACCCCCTCACACCATTTTCTGGGCAGCCACACATTTGCAGAGAACTGCGTGTCAAAGCATCGGTGTTGCCGCATGTTTCGAGGGCTTTCTTGTCTGAATGTCAATATATACATAGAAATCTACAGGGCCGTCGATTGGTATTCTCAGCTCTTCTGATCTAAATCACTTGACTTTGCCGTTCAAGAAATTAGGTCCTCGCCAAGAAATCAGGTCCTCGTCGAGATTCGAACTTATTCAAATTAAGAAATATACCGTATCTTCTCTAGTCCCATCATCATGTACTTTGAGCCAGGCAGCCAGCCGGGAGGAATACCTCACAACCTTCCCCACGATCCGTTCAAGGCCTGCGTTGTTCCTCGGCCAATTGGCTGGATTTCGACAATCTCGGCAACGGATCCAGGAACGCACAACCTAGCACCCTATTCTCAGTTCAACAACCTCACATTCGATCCGCCTTATGTCATGTTCTCGGCCAATCAAAAACCGGACCAGCAAAGGAAAGATACAGTTCTCAACGCGGAGCTGACCGGCAAATTCTGCTGGAATCTTGCTACTTGGCCCTTGCGAGAAGCTGTAAACATCTCGGCAGAGCAGGTCGACTATGGAGTTGACGAGTTTGACCGCGCAGGTCTGCAAAAGGAGTATAGCCGCGCGCTGCCCGGAGATCCTGTCCCTATGGTCAAGGATAGTCCGGTCAAGTTTGAATGTGTCTACCATACCACACTCAGGCTGCCCGCCAACCCTCCAATGGGAACTGTCGACGTGGTTATTGGGAGAGTCATTGGGGTGCACATCCGAGACGATGTCTTGACCGATGGAAAGCTCGACGTCACGAAGACACAGCCCATTGCCCGCTGTGGTTACTTCCAGTATACGGTCGTGAGGGAAACGTTTGAGATGATCATCCCGGGGATGGATGAGGCTACGCACGCAGGGCTGGAGGGAAACAGCGCGATTCACAAAAAGGTGAAGATGCTAGAGAATGGCTCGGACAAGCCGAATGGAACCCCGGTTATCAAAAGTGTCTAAAGGTTCCGCACTTGGGACCATGATAAATACTTGGTTCGGAAATAGCACGCAGTAATTGAATCTTATTCAAATGAAGCAAGTAACAGTTGAAATGACATGCATCATACGCGATTGGTGCTCATCAGGTCGTCGAGAATGGACGGCAGCGAGGCGAAGAGCAAACTCAATCTGACAGAATTGTTCTAACTTCTAATTAATCCAGAGAATAGTTTTCAAGAAAAGAAAAATCCCCAAGATCTTGGAATTCTTCGGCCGAAAACGTGTCATCGATCATCATTAGGTCCGGATGCGGCAACACACCAGCAATCTCATCGAACTGATAGCTGTTCATGCTATTTGTGTTCTGTGAATTTCCTTGTTCAGGTGTTGACAGATTCTGTTGCAGGGATACGTCTGTAGTGGTGATGGGAGGTGTCAAAGGACCTGGAACAGTTGGTCGGGCTACCTCTAGAGCCTGCTCTCGTTGTTGATACTGGGAGCTACTTGATGGCAAAGAATTGTATGATTGGGAAGGCTTCGCAAACGAGGTTCGGGAAGAGGGTGGAGCATGGCACGCCGACGAGGCAAGTGAAGATGCCGAGCCTTGCCCAGCCTTATCCGAGGCCGTACGTGAGCCCCTTCTCCCTCTTCTATCCAGAGCCTCTTGTCGAGCAGACCTTGCCTTTCCTAACTGTCTGAGAATGGACCGCCATTGCTGCGGCTTTTGACCACTCAACAGTGAGGGAGGATGCTCCCACCTCAATACGGTAGCCTTTTCGATTGCCTGCCATGCTCGGCGAGATCCCTTGCAGAGGGGATCCGTTCGGAGCCAGTGCAGAACCAGAGAGAATGCATGCCACTGAGTGTAGGAGCTGAAAAGCCAAAGCCACGGACGCGTTCGGGGGTCGGTCCGAAGTTTGCAGTTGAGTTCGATAACTTCGACAGCGACGGCGAACAATCGCTTTCGGGTTGGCTCGGATATGACTTTTGAGTGCTCATGTGGGTTGAAACCATGCAGCCTAACCTTATGGAATAGCATCCTCGTCAGGACCATGGTGACCTATGATGGGTTCAATGTTTAGTAGTGCTTCAACTTCACATTCCTGCTCCAGTGAGGTGGTAGACGTGAACAGCCAAAAACTCACCCAGTGTAGTGCATTTATCGACGAGTAATTTTGAAAGAACTTCTGGGAAAATTCGTGTTCACAGGAATCGATCCAATCGTTGCGCTCTTGCTGTGACATTTCCGCGTAGCTCTTTCTCGTGTTTCCACAGTGCCTCCTCGAGTCTGCCATACAACGGTACATATTCGTGATTTGGCATCGGGCTAGCGTAAATGTCATTTCCGTGATGCCTCTCGTTTCTGGTGGATACTCGAGCATCGCCGGATACAGCTGAATGTCGTTGAGATTCCGCGGTGGCTGGCTGTCAAAACTACTCATCTCGAGTCTATGGAGAAGTCAGCGAATCACTCGACTGGACGCCTTCGAATGTCTCAAGTATTACAAATTGTATTCACCCGAATAGTCCTCGGCAGATGGGGCGTCGAGAACTGCGATCTGCCACCAAAGGCGGCGTCGCATTTCGATGTCGAATGTTGAGAGTCCGAACAGACTGCCTTCCCTATGAATGCCGAAATTCTGAGCAAGTCTAACGGCCAACCCCGAAAGGTTCCAGGAGAGCCGAGGTTCGTGATGTCGTAGAAAGATGAGGTACAAGACTAATGCTTGCAATGGCTGGATATCCCCGGTATGGATCAGCATGGCCTTCGAAAGCATTCCTTCCACCTCGTCTCGCAAGACGGACAGGACCCGAGCTTGTCCGGTCTGAAACAGCTGTCCGCACTCTTCTTCGCCTAGGCTTGTTACCGCACCATAGTAGATTGACAGCATGATACACCGAGTGCCGGCATCGAAGTCCACCGAGCGATGCCCGGTCACTGCCTGCTCGAGCGACGGCAAATGGAGCAACTTGGTCAGCGGCTCAACCCTTTCTTTATAAATGCCCCACAAGTGCAATTTTTGATCGCCAATTATAGTAAGAATCCGTATTTTTGCGTTCGGAGTTTCGCGGTCGGAACTGAAACTTTCCACTTTCTTTGAGCACCAATTGGCGAAAGGATTGGAAGCGGTGTCTTCGAAGTCATCGTCGTCTGAGCGATCTTCGTCTGTCGCAGAACCGCTGCTGATCTACTCGTCATTAGCTGAGGATACGGGTTGATGTTGTGCATAATCTGACTTCACTTTTACAATCCTCCCAAAACCATCGTCTTACATAGGTGTCCCTCCCAGCATCGCGAACAATCCTGCCATCACTGCCTCCATGACTTGATGCTACACTTCGTAACTCGGCGATGGGCGGGTTTGAACGATCCATCTGGGCTCCCGGGACCATAGCCGGACCGAAAGATCCCAAGTCCGTAGCGTCGATATCTTCAACCATGGGCGAAGGAACCGGAGACTGAGGTCGTTCTCGATCGCCTTCATCGTTGTGTTTGCTGGTTTGCTGAGGATCTGCGGGATCCTGCCTGTCTCCGTCTTTCGGCTCCAAAGTTTGAACAACTTTCTCTAGTCTTTGAAGCATTTCCACCAGCTCAGGTGTCATGACCATCTGCGTCTGGCTTGTCTTAGCGGCCGGGAATATGCATTCCCCCCCGTACTTGACACAATTCCGACATGGCTTCTGCTTGTCGCACTTGACTTTTCGTTTGCTACACAAAAGACACGAGCGCCGTTTTCTCCCTGCATTACTTGGTTGTTTGGGAGGAGCAGCGGAGGCAGTTGTCGACTGTCCGTCGGTAGTTGACGGTTGCTTTGGAGACGTTTCGATGTTGTCTGACATGTTGTCGGGCGAAGGCGGTAAGCATCCGTACGTCGACAGGAAAGAAGAGCTTCGGACTGAACATGAGAAGTAGATGCCAACTTGGGGTAGAAGGAACCAAGACCCGGAGACCCGGCCGAAAAAGATTCAAGGCCTGTAATTGGGTACTTTGGCAGCGCTCATAGAAGTCACATCGAAGAGGCAACTGAGGCTGTCGGCCGAAGTCGCCGGGCAAACCTTTTGACTTCAAGCCCCACTTGAAGTCAAGACTCTCAGATATGCAAAGAGAACAAATATGTGATCATCGACATCAGTCACAGGCTCGTGAAAAACTAGTCTTCTGAAGCACGTTTGACCCATGATCGACCCGGCCGTTATTCAGATCATTAGCCTACTGCATTTAAACCTCCATTCATCATCAACTCTTTTCTCGCCAGTGCAGACTATTACTCACTTCAAAATGAAACTCAGTTGCGAGCAAAGCCTAGTATCTTTGACAGAAGGAGGCTCACCGAGCCTTCCCGGTGTTGTCCTGGCCGCATTCAACAAAGATGGCGAGTAGACCACTAAGGCACACTGAGGGACTTCTCATTAATAGACGATACAGAGATTCTCTACAACCGATGCCGTGGAAACAAGAAAGCGGAAACCAAGGAGCAGATCACTCTTGATGATGCTTTTCGCGGATTTTCTTGCACAAAGCTGATCACAACCATCTCCGTACTGCAATGCGTCGAGAAGAAAATGATAGGTCTCGATGACGAGATTGAAACTATACTGCCCGAGCTTAAGGACCCCGAAATAATATTGCCGGACTCTACTGCAGCCTTCAGGCTCGAAAGGGCCAAGAACAAAATAACGGTCCGGCACTTGCTTACCCACACTAGCGGCATATCGTATGACGCCATGCATCCACTGCTCGTAGCATGGCGACAATCAAGAGGCGAACAACCCTTGGTGATGAGTGGGAAAACCATCGAAGCTTTTTCACTTCCCCTTTTGTTTGAGCCTGGAACTAGCTGGGTCTATGGTGCTGGTTTGGACTGGGCTGGAGTGCTTGTGGAGAGGTTGAGCAATATGAAGCTTGCAACTTACATGGAGGAGCATTTGTTCAGACCTCTTGGTCTCACGAACACGACACTTCACATAAAAGAAAGACCGGATATGCGGAGACTACTAGCTCAAATGTTTCTACGAACTGAAGAGGGAAAACTGGCTCCCATTCCTTCGCCTTACCCGGAAGATGCACAGGAGAGCTCCGGTGGGATGGGGCTCATCACTACTACGTCAGACTTCGTCAAAATCTTGACGGACCTACTCAAGGACAGTCCAGTGCTTCTGAAGGCTGAATCCGTGACAGCTATGTTCACTCCTCAGTTTGACCAGGGCACCAGTCAATACGAAGGGTTGATCAAACAAGAGGTATGCTACCTACCTTCCCACTCCATGGCGCAGCAGCCAAGCTAGGCGCCCCAAACTCTAATACGAAGGACCGATAGGCTTTGCATAAACAACTGACGGGGGACGACACGGGATGCCCCGGAGTAGCATTCGGAATGGGTGGTATGGTAATCAAAGAGGATACGCCTAACCTCCCCGCAAAATGTCTGACATGGAACGGGATGCCTAATATTGGGTGGTTTGTTAACCGAGAAAGTGGGCTTGGGGCTGTATATGTGAGCCAATTGCTTCCAGCAGGAGATTCGAAGAGTGCAAAGCTTCTCGGGGAATTTTGGCGACAAGTTTGGGTTGATTATCTTGCGGGGCGTTGACATCACTTGAAAGTTAGTACTAGACATGAGGGAACGAATTGGACAAAAAGGGTCCAACATATGCAGCCGTCTATTTCAAGGGACTTCAAGTTCTTGAGCCTCATGTTCTAAAATTTTGATCTTCCCTCCTTCGCGAGCCGTTGTCACTGATGATTGCAATGATAATACAATGCCACCTCGCTTCACTCTTGCTCAACTTGGACCACATGCATTATCCCCCTCCTAAGCCAACCAGAATAGACATTTCCACTTGATAATGATGGAACGTCTCATCAGAGGGGAGTTCTTCTCGGACGTAAGAATGAATGAATTTGAGCCTTCTCAATATCCCAGATCTTCTCCTTGACCAACGGGTCATCCATGAGTCGCGCTAAAACCCGCTCCCGTGTGGGCGCAAAGACAAGCATGGCACTGCCCGTGATGTGCGGGGTTTGGCCGGGGCCCACGGGCTCCGCCAAAGTGGCTCCTGCGTTGACCAAATGTTAGCTAAACATGGATGTGGATGGCATTGATGAACGACGGCACACGGGGCAGCGGATATCCCACCTCCAAACACCCAAAAGCCTTGGGGATCTGTTTTCATCCGCTCAATGTGTTGTCTGTTTCGCGCCGGGATGTCAGTTCATAACCTGTCCTCTGAGTCTGGCCTGAGACATACGGGAACACGGCAGCCCTCCGGTCTTTGGCCTCCGGGAAGTCTGGGACGTGAATGAGCCACTCCGAGTTTCCTATCTGCTGGCTTGATGATGTCTCCATGGCTGAAATGTTGACGCCTGTGTGAATGTATCTCTAGCTTAACGTGAAGCATGCGCTCTACTTATCGAGTTAAGGACCACCTCAACTTATACAGAATATGATGACACCGGTTCAAGTTCAAGTTCGCTCTGGAATACTTCGCCCTCCGAAACGCCGACTGGGGCTGGAACGGAGAGCTGGACCGGAGGGGTCGGCCGAGCTACTACTGCGGTATACTTCTCTGCTAATCATATCCACATTCCCAAACACGGCGACAACCCCACAGCGCTATCATCATCAGGGGCCAACGTAGTGCGAAGGAGTGGACTGCCGGACGGGTTCCCCGCCAAACACTTTATCATGTAAGAGCCCTAGTCCGCCATGGCGTTGATCTATGCCACGCTCCCATGTGCCGTGAACAACAAAGGTGGACAAAAGGTAACCCAGTGCCGCTTCAGCTGCTGCGCTCTTACAAACACGTCTTGGGTTGGTAATTGTGTCCATCGTGATTCGTGTGTAACTACTTCTCCCCGCACTTCGCCCCCCCTGTCTAGGTCTTATCTCTCGGCCTACACCATGTTCCCTCCGTGCGCCTCGTCCCAACATGGCTTGGTGGTGATGAATCCCCCTCGTGATCCCTCCCTTTTCCATCACCTTATCTCCATGTAATCTATCACTCCAGCGCTCGTTATCTTCTGCTTGTTTTGAAAAACGAGTCTTTCCTTCGGACTCCTCATTCTGTCCGCAACCACGCGTGGTGCTACACGGTACACATGAAGCCACTCATCTTCACAATATAAACAACTCATGAGCAAGCGACGTCCACGTTAGGTGTATCGTCCTTATAGATCTAAGGTCGAAACAGAACTCGGATTATCATTTCGGCCTCTCGGGTGTTCAGACCGTAGAGTCCGCTCGTGTAAGATTATGGGGCCTGGAGTGCTTGAAACCCCGGCGAAGGCTCGATCGCAAGCCTCGCCCGGGAATCAAGCAATTGCGGATTCCATTGTCGCTGCATGGAATCCCTCCAATACAGAAGATCGACACCAGCAACAACAACAACAACAGCAGCAGCAGCAGCAGCAGCGGCCCCTTCAATCCCACCAACAGAGTAACACATCTCGGAACCAACCCCTCCCACGCCGCGTCTGCACGGCATGCCGTCGCCGGAAGGTTGGTTGCGACAAGAAACAACCGTGTCACCACTGCGAGAAGTCTGGGACAGACTGTGTCTATCCGCCTGAAGGAAGCTCGGCTGCGCGGCAGTTTCTCACTGACAATCAGCTGTGGGAGCAGCTTCACCGTCTGGAGCCGATGTTCAAGACCTTGGCAGAATGCATGCAACAAGGCAATATTCCAGGATCCTCTACCCCCATCGTAGGGTCAAGCTCCCATCCAGATTCGATATCAACACTCCCTCAAACGCAACCACCGGAAGTCAACAATGATTGTACCTCACCTTCACCACCAACACCCCCAAACTCGGTCGGCTCGTCGACAAGCGCATGTAGAGATACAGGGAAAGAAAGCGTCGCGGCCGATTTCAGCGCTTTTCAGAGGCAACAAGCTACGATCTCGCTCGGTCCGAAGTCTCCGGCGGGGATTCTTGATTCCACAGTCGGTGACGCATCGAATCTCGAGATTCCCAACATTGACTGCGAAAGTGCTCAAGGCGAATCAGTTAACTCTTGGTCGCCATACGGGACCTCGACGGGGAAGCTCGTTAGGGATGACGGTCGTGAAAGATATGTCAGTGGGACATTTTGGGAAGCTTTGCATACCGAGGTACGTCAATTTAGAAAAGGCAGTGAGTGATACTTTAAGGATATCCTAACCATCTACCAATAGAATGACATGGATGATGGCGTGATCAGCGAGGATGATTCCGAGTTCGACGAGCAGACATCATCATCTCGGTCAGAACTTTTGCAGTATTCCTTGATATCTACTGGCGGCACCCAAGAAACCGACACTTACTCTCTGCATCCTCCTCGCAATCAGAGACTAGAAGCATGGCAGCTGTACAACACCAACGTACACCCTGTCGCTACCGTCCTGCACATACCTTCGGTTGAACCGGCCGTCCTCGAAGCAATGCACAACCCACAAAATCTTACAGCCCCGTTGGAAGCCCTCTTGTTTGTCATCTATGTTGGTGCAGTGAACAGTCTGTCCGATGATGAATGCGAGGCGCGTTTCGGATCAGCTCAATCTGATTTGTTGGCGAAATTTAGGCGAGGTGCTGACGCTGCGTTTGCTCGTGCGAAATTGATGGTAACGGATGACATGCTCACACTGCAAGCCTTTGTGGTTTACCTTATTACGTTACGTTGCAGAGACCCTACGTATTCATGGAGCATGACAGGACTGGCTGTGCGGCTTGCTCAATCCCTAGGCATGCATCGAGATGGGAGCACGTTCAACCTCCCTCCTTTCGAAGCTGAGATGCGTCGACGATTATGGTGGAATATCTGCATTCTAGATACGCCAGCATCTGAAGACTACTCATGTTCATCTGGCCTGTGAGTTATCCCCAACCATTGAACACTCGAATCGAGACTGATCACGTTTGCATTTAGTCTAGAGTTAAGTAGTTTCGATTCAAGGCCCCCAATCAATGTGAATGATGGGGACCTGTACCCGGGTATGACAGAGTACCCCTCCGAGTCTAAGGGAATCACGACCATGTCCTTCACTGCTGCCCGTTGCTGGGCATCAGATATCTGGCGGACGATAATTGACACTCGGAGAATCGACCCAACATCCGGAATGAACTTTGTCTCGATGGCGATAGCCGACAAGGAGGCCTGGGTTGAAAGACAGCGAGAAAATATCGCCAGCAAGATTTCCGAGAGTCAAGCATCTCATGGCTCTTTACACTGTGTAAGTTCTACAGAACTGAAGCATCCAAACTTCAGACATGAAACTCAAATTCTGACGTCGCATCGGCTCAAGCTTACGACCTCCTTTGTCGGCACCATTGTCGCAAATCTTCGCCTCATGGTCCTCAATCCACTTTCATCTGGAGATTCCCTCACCGACGAGCAAAAGAGACGCGCTTTCCAGAATGCCATCGAGTGCATGGCGCATTCATACCGTCTGCGGACTGATGCGCAAGTAGCGCAGTGGTCATGGCTTACAAAATGCTACAATGAGTGGCACGCTTTTGCGGTTGTTCTTTCAGAGCTGTGCAATCAGCCTTTGGGTAGGGATGCCGACAAGGCATGGCGTGTTGTGGAGCAAAGTGCTGTTCTCCGTTGGGACTCATCGACGAGGCATAGTCGGGTACACCAGTGGCGCTCAGTCATGAGGAGTATTGAAAAGGCGAGAAGACGGAGAAAGAAGGAGTTGGGTCGTCGGAAATCGTTCTTATCAGATCGGCGCTCATCGTCGGCATCCTCTTCTGCGAAACGTCCAAGTTTGGGAGGTCGGTTCTCATCCAAGGGCATTGCGAGACCACATGCAAGCACAAATCTTGTTCAAAGCGACAACGCTCAGTCGGGTGTAGTTTCTATGCCCCGTAGTGCCGAGCGAGAATTCGACACAGCGATGTATAATGCAGATGAGATGATAGGGCCCCTCATGGAGATGGACGATATGTGTGATTTCACGAACGCAGACGGCCAATTGTATTTTAGTCACACTTAGAGTACCAAGCGAGCTTGTTCGCGTTCATGGAGAAATTTTCGTTTCAAGGTTTCAATTCCAGTTGAGGTTTCTAAACTTTCCCTGAGTAAAGAGACGTGAGATCAGCACAGTCTTGCAGCCAGGACCCCGTGAATTTCTTCCTTCGTCATATGAGTTATACCCAAGAGCTCGTTGTCACGACTATAATCCAGTGCATATTCTGGAGCAAAGGTCGCTCTCATTGCGAATGCTGCGAATGCCTTCGGGCTGAACTTGCCCGATGCTAGCTCGTGCTCGGCATTCTTGACGAGTGATTCGGTGTTGACTGCAATCGCTTTCCAAGCGTGATCCTGATCCAAGGCTTTGAGGGTTTCTAGCAGCTGCTTTGGGGTCATCGCGAGGTCGCGGATGCGAACGGCCTTATTCTTGGTTGCGTCAAGGTTCTTGAGGATGGCAGCAACAGCCTGTGCGACTGTTGTAATTCTCGTTGCAGAAAAGGTTGTGTCCCCGCCATCGAAGATGTTCACTGTCCGGGTCGAGAAATTTGCGAATGCCCCGAGCGACAGGCCTTCGTCAAACAAAACACTGTTGTAGACGTAGGTGTAAGTCAATTCGGTGTCCCGGACTTTCTTCTCCAGGTAATCTTCGACCTCTACCTTGGTTCGGTAGGTCGGAAAGGCACGAATCTTGGGGTTTTGGAGATCGGCACCGAACTCCGACGGGACGAATCGCTTTATCCCGGCAGCGATCGCGGCATCGATGAGTTTAAACTGGCTCTGCAATCCATTCTGCTTGCCCACCGTAGAAACCACGGCGTCGATACCTCCGAGAGCATTTTGAAGTGACTCGGCTGAATCATAGTCGACTTCCACCACTCGGGCTTTGACGGGATAATCAATCGGGGTGCTTTCGCGGCGAATCAAGACCGTCACATCGAACCCTGCATCGAGCAGAGATTCTAGGATACGAAGACCTAAGTTACCGCTTGCCTAGCAGAGTCGGCTCTTTATATCAGTTGATTGCCCCGAGTTTGAAGATTGATCGCGGTTGATCAGAGATTATCATGACTTACCCCAGCCAAAGCAACGGTCTTGGTTGCATTGCTCTCCGAGACAGCCATCTTTGTGCTTTTGTGAAAGAGCGTGAGTTTGGGATTGTAGAAAGAGTACAGCGACGGATCACGAAGGTAGGCAAACTAGCAAAGTCATGAGGGTGACAGTTTCATTTTAATACTAGTTGCGACTTTGAGTAAGGTTAGACTTTCTGCGGGGAGAAGGCTACCTACACTACGTGACTCTCGGGGTCGTTGCGCCGCTCTCGCTCTTTCGGCCGGCTTGATGTGATGTGTCTGCCGCACATTCGGCACTTCGACGGCGCGTCGCTTTTGAACGTCAAAGAGCAATTTGATGTTCAATCCATCGGCTTCGGCGTATGCGACAAGATCATGTCAACGTGCATGTACGAGAAAAAAGTGTAGCGAGTGCCATTTCCCTAAGTTACTAGTACATGGTAAAGTCCTAAGTTCTTTTTGGCTTTTCGATCAAGTTGCTTGTGTTGATCCGGTACATGGCAACAAGAGCCTCCTTCGCCTTTTCCATATTCAAAGTCTTCTGTCGACGTTGGATCTCCCGCTGGCTCTCAAGTAACTTATCCCTGATTTCAGTCCACTGCAAAGTGGATCCTGTCTCTGGAACGGTCACCGGGCAGACTTTACCTCCTTTCTTCCTCCAGATTCCGTCTATGAGAACAGCCTCGACATCTCGAATATCGCTGTGACGGACAACCGCAGTCAAAGGATCCGAGTCTGCAACGCAACTCATAGTCACACTCCCGGCAGCATCAAAGAGGACCAGGTCAGCCTTTTTCCCCTCCTTTAGGGACCCAATCTCGTCCCCCAAAAGCACCGCACGCGCCCCTCTGATGGTCGCGGCGTTAAAAGCATCTTGGGTGCTGCCCGCTGGCTGGAGATTCAGTTTTTGAGGAGCACCATCTAAACCATCTGTCTCCGCAATTGCTTCACGTTGGCGCGCCATCTGCAAAGCAGATCGCGCGAGAGAAAGGATTGAGGATGTGTTATTGGTGTGGCAATCGACACCGATCGTGTAGTTAATACCTGATGAGAAGGCAAGCGGCCAGCCGAAGCCCATCTGAGCTTCCGTGTCTGGAGTGCTCGACACAGCAACCTGGGTTTCAGCCAGTTTGGCTTTCTCGCTCGCATCGAGGCCCGTGGCGTGCGACAGCAAGATGTCACTAGGTGACTTGATGAGGCCATAAGCCTCCAGGGTGTGAATCAGGGGGTTTGCTCCTGGCTCCCAATCAGAATTGCGCATATCCATGGGAAGACGATAACGCTAAACGCCAGCATACGTACCAAAGGTTGGGTTTTTCGCATAGTGCGAGGTGAAAAGCTTGATACCAGCATGCCGAAGTCCGTTGAAAATGCCAACGATGGCCTCTTTGGGGAGGAACCAGTAGTCGAACCCAAACCCGATTTGAACCCTCCCGTTTCCATAGGGCTGTGCTTTTGCAAGCTCAAAGATATGCGCCATGCTTGAGTCGGGCATGATATCCATTGATAGCTCGCAGGTTTTAGAGTCCCATTTCGTGAAGTATGGGGCCTGGGAGTAGGCGAAAATTGAGCGAATGCCTGAAGCGATTGTGGCTGAGAGAGCTTGGGTGGCTATGTAATTAGTCTCATCAGTAGGTAATTCTCTGAAGAAACTCCTCCATTCGCCTAAAGAGTCCTACCATGTTCATTGGTTTGATTGCCATGAGCATGATCAAGTACGAATGTGGTTCCGGCATCTATCGCTTCCAGTGCACCGCCTAACTGGCCCCAGAACATGTCCTTGGGAGAATAGACATGGCTTTGCCAATAACCTAATTTGTGTCAACGAAGCTGCTCTATGGTTCCGGAGAAGAGGTGTGATATAGGTATAAACAACTAACCCGAGGGGATGTAGTCAAAAATTGATTGGTCTGCATGGCAGCCTTTGAGTTGGGTCTGCCAAAGGTGATGATGAGTGTCAACAAAACCTGGGCTGATGATCTTGCCGCTGCAGTCGACGAGCTGAGCTCCTGCTGGGGGCGCGATTGCTTTTCCAATCTTGGCAATACGATTGCCTTGCACAAGTATATCGGTGTTTCTCAGAGGCGTCACATCATCTCGCTCATTGTGAAACAGTAGGGTGCCGCCTTTCAGCAGAATGGAGCCGGTTGCTGGAGGCGTAGCTTGGCTTGTTGTCATTGTGCGACGCGTATCGGGTGTCGGTTATGATTGGTCAAGCTAACAACAAAGATCCGTCCGTCATCGAAATCCAATGTCACCGTTAGAGATGGAGTTCTTAAGCAGATGCATTTAGGGATAATTCACTTACCCGAGCCCGGAATTACGGAGCGGGGCAGCGACAGGTGATCGGCAAATTCGGCCGAGAAACCCGAAAAGGCCGGTACCTTGTCAATTGCATTAAGAGAACGACTAGCAGAGACTACAGTCCCGAAGTAAAATCCAACAAGGGTGTGGCACCCTTGTCATAGTCGCTGCTAGCTACAGTATCAATGACCAAGAGAGAACGAGACTTGTTGCCCCTGTAAATGGTTCAGGCGCCATTTACTGCCTAGTCATCTGGTGAGAGCAAAGGAAAGGGAAAGGAAAGGGTTCAACCATGGATATGTGGAGTTATAAACTATTTACGCCTTCCCACTACGATCAAGGATGCTATTGCCTTGTCTCTCACACTTGGCCCGAGTAAATGCGGAAGTTGCATGGCCGAAGATAAGGTAGGCAAGATATGTGGCGACCATAGAAAGGAGCCATGAGTAATTCCCAGATAAGTCTGCGGCGGGTATATCAAATCATGGGAAACTCGAATCTGATATTGACCGTTTGATTTTATTTCTCATCTAATTGCATTTGCTAAAAGATATTGGTCTTTGGAATGCTTGAAGAAGATTCTCGATCTAACGCTTCATCTTGTGACGGCCGGCACTTCAGTCGCTCTTTTGGAAGACCATCTTGTTCTTGATATGACCCAACTTCTCGATCTCGACCTGAACCACATCACCATCGTTCAAGCAGCCATTGGTGTGCCATCCTACGCCCTCCGGCGTTCCGGTCATAATGACAGTTCCTCGACGCAACGTGCGACCGCGAGACGCGAATGAGATGAGCTGGCGGCATGACCAAATCATCTGAGACGTGTCACTGCTTTGGCGGACGGTTCCATTCACACTGGTCGTCAGCTTCAAATTTTGCGGGTCGGAGATCAGCTTAGGGGACACTAGGCTGGGCCCAAGAGGTCCGAATCCGTCGAACGACTTTGCGTATCCCATTTGATACCCGGAGACGTCAAGTGCGTGAAGGTTACGCGCTGACACGTCGTTGCTTACGGTGTAACCAAGAACGTAATCCAGTGCCTCATCTTCGCTGATGTCGAATCCATCTTTGCCGATTACAACGCTCAGCTCACCCTCGTAGTCAAGTAGCTCCTGCGCGTCTGGATGGATCTTGATATCGTCCAGCGGTCCTGCGAGCCGGTCGGGAGGGGTTGCAAAGATTACAGGCTTCTTGGGCGGTTGGAACTTTGAATTGAGAAGTAACGTTTAGCGCATGCTTTCCTGGAAGCCTTTCACGTTCTGCAGAATTGTTTTCACCTTTGTTTCGTTTGCATGAGACTTGTAATTGACCCCAGCGCAGATGATGAGGGGTGTATTTGCCAGCGGACACAATAGCTACGTCAATGAGGTTAGTCTGTGTAAATTGAGTTCTAGATTGGATGTTCTTACTTTGCCCACTACGGCTTGATCATCAGATACGTTAAAGCCAGACTCCAGAGTACCCAAAACTACTTGCACCGTCTTTCCGACTAGCTCCGACGCCGGAACGTTGTTGTCAATATTGCCATATTTCTCAACGCCTTCCGCGTCTTCAAATCGTATCAATCTGTCGAACGACATGGCAACTTATTGGGATGAAAATTGTTTTTTTTTTTCCGGTTTCGTGTTGACTGTGAGTGATCCGAAAACAAAAGGGGGAGAGTTCCTGGATGCTTTGAAGTAAACACAATTATGTCCTCGGTCAAATGAAGTTATATCTTAATAGTACGGAAGAAATTACGCCGACGCAGTCTGGCCTCGCAGCGCGCTATCCGCAGTAGTGGACTGTGCCGGAGGGAATGGCCGGCCAAGGATTTGCCTTTCGGCAACTTACACCGAGATCACGGGAGTTAAGTCGCTGCTCAGCTTACCCCAATTCGGGGATTCGGAGAGGGAAGGCAATAAGAAGCGTGGAAATACCAGTAATTACCACTCCCTTTCAACAAGCGTGATCGTTAGATCTTCATATCCACATCCAATCCCTCCGCCGCTTTGCTTCTCGGACTAATCGTCAACAAACTATCCAGTTCACACAATGGCCCAAGATTCGCCTGATTCTCGCATCCTTTTGGATCGCCTCTCTCATGTCCGATATGGTCACCCCGACATTCAGAAAGCAAAGGAATTCTATACAGACTTTGGTTTGATACCTGTGCGGGAGACCGAAGATAAGGTCTACCTCCGAGGGTTCGGAATTGATCAGTTTTGCTACGTTGCTGAAAAGACGAACGATGGAATGAGGAAGTTCAGGGGAGGTGCTTGGATCGTGCAGTCCATGGCTGAGCTAGAGAAGGCAGCGAAGCTCCCCGGATCTACCCCGATCACCGACTACGATGCTCCAGGTGGGGGAAAAGTCGTCATTGTCAAGGATCTCCTAGGAGAGCCGATCACTTTGATCTACGGCCAAGAAGACCGCGTCCCCGAGCCTAGAGAGGTTCCCAAGCCGGTAATGTGGAATACCTGGGAGGACAAGAAGAGGCTCGGCGAGTTCCAGCGACCAGATCGAGACCAACCATCGAAAGTACACAAGCTCGGTCATTACGGATTTGAAGTGAACATTGATCGTCTGCATGAGGTCTTTGAGTGGTACAGTAAGGTCTTTAATTTCAAGAAGACCGATTGCCTTTACCACCCCCAGAATAATAAGACAATCATGATCTTCATTCACCTCGACAAGGGCAAGGAATTCGTCGATCATCATGTTGGTGTCTTCCTGAATGCTTTGAAATTTGGTGTGAGCTGACATGGAAATACAGAATATCTTCATCGCTGGCTCGCCCGAGGTCACCGATGGAATCAAGGCTCATCACAGCAGCTGGGAGATAGATGATGTTGACAGCCAAGTGGTTGGCCACCACTACTTGATCCGCAAGGGCCATATCAACGTTTTCGGCGTGGGAAGACACGTCCTCGGCAGCCAGATCTTTGATTATTGGTAAGAGTCTTGGCTTCAAGTGTTTCATTAATTATGGCATCCCTAATGTCTCTGTCTAGGTTTGACCCCTCTGGATTTGTTGTCGAGCATTACGTCGACGGCGACCTCGTGAATGAAGACTCCCCAAATGCCAATGAACCAGCTGTCGCTGCTACGGTTTCCAGCTGGGGACCGGATATTCCTCGTGCTTTTTTCACGAAGAAATACGAGGATCTGCCGGGACTCAAGGATTTCCCTACCATGCCGATTGAGGCATAGGTTTCCGGGTACAAGCAAGGCACTGAGAAGGGAGGCTACGAAGAATACGTGAGAGAGCTTAGGCCAAAGCAAAAAGAATGCATGGGATTTTGTCACTGTCAATAGCAATTTCAGAAATGAAGCAAATGTATTGGTATTCTGCTTACTGCGTTGCGCAGCATTTTCATTGGTTTTTTGTGAGCAGCTTGGGTTCAATGGGTCTTAGAAATGGAAGATACACTCACGGATACAATAATTTTCTGAGCTCGACTAGCCCTTGTCTCGACTACGAACCGGCTGTCGATTTCGTGAGATGTCTGCGTTCGGCCACTCTCGGTGCACATATCCCGAAGATGCGTTTGAAGTACGGGTCTCAAGCCACTGGGACGCACATATTAATGACTACTTTACCTTGCTAACCAGAAAGCCCGTTACTTCCACTGCGATTCTCACAGCCATCAAGTTGACAAAGTTCTTGTTTCGTATCCTTGCTTTTGAAGCTTAGATCCACTGCTCCCTTTGTCTCAATTTACCTTCCTAGACACTGTCGCTAAAATCAACGCCCGAGCCGACCATGTCACCGCCAGTTCACGCGCCTACGTCATCCCGGGGAACCATGACCAATAAGGTAGCCCTCGTATCGGGCTCATCAAAAGGCATTGGGGCTGGAATCGCGATGGAACTTTCAAGCCGTGGAGCAAGCATTATTTTGAACTACCCTTGGGATTCTTTGAAGCAAGAATGTGAAGCTACTGGAGCGAAACTTCAAACTGATTGGATCGCGGTCTGTGCCGACCTCACGTCGGATGACGGGCCAGAAGAATTGGTGCGCCAAGCCGTAGCAAGGTTCGGTCACATCGACATCCTCGTGAGCAATGCCGGATATGTGCCCATTGCACACCTTTGGGACGCTGACTTGACCATGTGGGATCAAGCCATGAACCTGAATGCACGCGGCGCTTTTGCATTGGTCAAGGCAGCGCTACCACATCTCACGCCTTACAAACCGGCCGACCCTCCGAACATGTCCGGCGCTATTGGCGGCTCCCGCATCATTATGGTAGGGTCAGCGGCGTCCCGAGTCCCGAAGCCGACTCAAGGAATCTACGCAGCAACCAAAGGGGCTTTGGATGCAATCTTGCGTGTTTGGGCAAAGGAACTGCCACCGAAGTACGGCTGCACCGTCAACATGGTTGCCCCAGGCCCAGTACTGACAGAGAGCTTTCTGGAGCACTTCTCACCCGAAGAATGGGAAGGATTGAGAGAACTTTTCATTAGAGACACGCCGGTGGAAGGTGGTGCGGCATCTACTGAAGATGTCGCATGGGCAGTTGCATTCTTGGCCGAGGAGCGATCACGCTTCATCAACGGCGAGTACATGTTTGTGACGGGTGGTGTGTCCATGCAATAGAAGGTTTTTGTAGATTACTCTTACTTCCTGGTTAACTGTCATTTGGTTACTGCGTTTCTCAACTTTAATTAACACTGATGCGAAATTTGATGCGCATACTGACTCAAATTTGACAATACATTTTAACTTATGCAACAGCTGAGTAAAGTACACGACAAAACATGAATACACACAATGCTACCTATTTCTAACTACCATTCCGAATGCACCAATAGTTGCTTAAGTTTCTTTGTCACGGCTGCATGTACTCTATGATGACATTTATCACACAACTCGTTCCTAAATCTCTCGATGTGAAGCAGTCTCTTTTGCAAGTCGGCTCGTCAACAACAACTCCCAGTCGGGGTCAGGAATAACCTGCACTCGTTAGAAAACCATTGATTTTCCAATAATAAAAGGAAAGGAGTTGTCCTTACCAATCCCTCGAACTCGATGTTCTTCGGCCGAGTCTTCAAATCTCCAGATAGCCGAATATCATAGCGCGTGATATACTCGATCAGTAGCAGCTTCATGGCGACCTCGGCAACGTATCGACCTGGACAAGCGTGCCTGCCATACCCCCATGTCAAGTCCTTTTTGCCTACCGTCACCATTTGATTGCTGTTTCGGGCCTCTTCCGTGGCGACGCGCATTCGATAGAATCGAAAACCATCAAACACCTCAGGATTCTGGAACAGATCTTGGTCCATGTTAATGGCTCCAGTTGGCAATGCGATGCGTGCGCCTTTCGGGATGCGAAGGCCATTTGATAACGTAAAGTCCGACATGACCTTCCGCTGGAAGCTTGCTGTTATGATTCGTTGATATTAGCTAAAAGACCCCCTCAGTGCTGGACTGTCATCTTGGAGTTATACGTACCCAGATCGGGCGGGTTCAGTCGCTGAGTTTCTTTGATGACACTATCCAGCTTCATCATATCAGTCAATGATTGCTTACTGAGCACCCCGTTGCCTCGAGCCAGGACCATTTCAATCTCATCACGAAGTTCGGAAATGTATTCCGGGTAAGTTGCAAGATCCATGAGACACTGGGTGACGGTTGCAGCCATAGACTGAATAGCGGCGACGCACAAGTTGATTTGAGCAACCGTGTGCGCCTCCACGTCATCCGAGCCAAGAACAGTGTCGGCGAGATAGTCCAATAGTGCGGGAGGACTGCTCAGGGGCTTCCCTCCAAGTAGCTTTCTTCTTTGCAAGGTTTTGGCTACCAGAGCTTTACCCTCGCCAAATCGCTGCATCATGATTCCGCGTCCCTTGACAAATCGATAGACAAGAGGTCGCAGCGCTGCTGGCCATTTCTTAAGATTCTCCGTCCATACGACAGCAGAGTGAACATGCTCGCTAGCAATGTCCAGCCATTGATCGTTATCCGCCGATTCAGCGCTATGGAATAATCTTGCGGAGACACGAGAAACCTGTCGCATAACGTGTGGCCATGGTTTAACGACCGTGGGAACTATTCAAACAGTAAGTATTGACATATGTGGAAGCATCATTAGGTGGAGTCCCACAGTTTTCAAGCTACACTTGAGAACTATGTCGCTTTGGCTGAGTTATTTAAGGACCCGAGACTTACCTCCATAGTTTTCGAGCGGCCAGTGGGAGCGTATCAAGTCAATAAGTACTGGTATATATTGCGCTATAAAGAGTCAGATGCATGATGGGGTCGTGAGATGATAAATTGCGACCGGAGGGCTGCTTACGAAGACTTGGGTTCAGCTTCTTGTTTACGATGGCGATTTGTTTCTCGTCGAGATTGCCAACTTTGGTATACTTCTTCATACTGAACTACCAGACCACAAAATAAGAACGAGTTAGAAATGACTTCCATAGTTACGAGAGACAGTACACCTCATATTAGATACTTACCTCTTCTTCGAGGAATGCAGCGAAACTCAGAGACTTGTGGCTTCCTAGCCCGTGAAGTAGCTCGAGAGGTATGATGATGTTTGTGCCTTTGGAACATGGTCAACGCCAGAGAACAGGGAGCGAGAATTCTCAAGTATTTGCAACTAACCTTCGGTTGTGTTTATCCCAAATACCCGATTTTGGAACTTAGTGTTGTTGGGAATATTAGCACTCAGCTTCAAGCCCCGTTGTTGCTCTTCATAATCGGAAAATCATTGAACATACTTTGTTGTAACTTGTGATGAACAACCTTCTCGTGTCTTTGATAAAAATATCAATTCGTTCCTGTCGATCGGGTATCTCATCTTCCAATGCAATCGAAAGTTTTGGCATTCTGACCTCGACTGCAAATGACCAGACAAGCAGCACCCCGAAGGCGCATGCGCAAAAAATTGTCCATCCCGCCACTGCCAAAAGGTTTTGCTGAAACTTGTCCCTCAAGACTGGGTAGTAGAGCTCGAATTGAGCAGACATTGTGAATAACTCTTGTGATAGCAATGACTTGTGCTGGATCAACTAAAATGCGCTGTGTGATCTCAACTGCATGAGTTAAAGTTCAAATGAAGATTGAAAATACGTTATTCATGTCTTGTCTATTGAGCTCTCTGGGGCTCTCGCTATGCCAAGACCAATGGCTCTCCCAACCCTGTAGCATTGTATCATCTCGGTCACATGCCTTGGGCGTGATTGAGCCCCGGAGTATTCGGCCGACACGCTGGGCCGGCTTACAGGAGCTCGGTTCTTCGGTTTTTTCGCCAGGCTTCCAGACAAGAACGAGTCGTGGGTACCAGTTCTGGATTCTTTCCTGTATTGGACATGGTCAGGACATGACCATCCTTGCTAATGTTCAACCGAATAGTTGGTAGAATGCAGCACCTGGATCCAGACGCCTTCGGTTACTGGCTGGAGCATCGAGAAACCTTATCTGATTCTATAATCTAGTATAATGCATCTGTGACAACTCCTATCTCATATCTAAGCCACTGCATTATCTGTCTTTTGAGCTTGACATCTACCCCACGCTCCACCATTGTCTTTGATTACCGATTACCGATTACGTACTTCCTTTCCAATGTCATCAGACGAAGAGCTCAGTCTGGCCGTCGTTGGCGGTGGTATTGGTGGGCTCTGCCTCGCTCTGTACATCACTACTCATACGAAGATCCCGGTCACTGTGTATGAGAATGCTCCGAAGTTCGGCGAGATAGGAGCCGGTGTCGCCTTCGGACCAAATGCAGTACGAGCAATTACGAATATATCGGAGCCACTGGCGGCTGCGGTCGAAGCTCGGGCGAACAGAAACATTTTCGCAGACAAGGAAAACGTCTGGTTCGACTTCAGAGTCGGGATGGACAGCGCTCATGAGATCGCCAGATCCCGTGGTGTAGTTGCCGGGACGTACCTCTGCTCTGTGGAGCATCCCCGACCAGGAAGTTGGATGGTAAATCGCTCGCATCTTGTTGATGAGATAGCCAAGCTCCTTCCAAATGGAATAGCGCAGTTCAGCAAGACCTTACACGATATAGACGACCTCGGTGACGATGGTGTTGTTTTGAAGTTTGGGGATGGAACATCGGCGAGGCATAGTGCCGTCATCGGATGCGACGGGATCAAGAGTCAAACACGACGCATCATGCTTGGAGAAAATCATCCCGCCACCAATCCCTCCTATACCGGTAAATACTGCTACAGGGGAATGGTCCCGATGGACAAAGCTGTGGAGCTCCTAGGCGAGGAGAAGGCGAAGAACTGCCAAGCATATCTGGGATATCACGGCCACATGCTTACATTCCCCGTTGCTGGCGGTAGAATGATGAACGTGGTCGCCTTTCAGTCATCAAAAGAATGGCCCCACAAGACGATGGTTATTCCGGCAACCAAAGAACAGATGCTGCAGAGCTTCAGCACATGGGGTCCGGATGTACTCAATATTGTTCGGCTCATGGGCCAATCGGATATCTGGGCGCTCTTCGATCTTTCGCCCATGGAGAATTACCACAGGGGCAGAATTTGTCTGCTCGGAGACGCCGCGCACGCTTCAACACCTTTCCAAGGAGCCGGCGCGGGTATGGCCGTGGAGGATGCCTATGTTCTCGGAAGGCTCCTCCACAATGTCCAGCAAGCACAGGATCTGCCTGGCGTTTTCAAATCATTTAGTCAAGCTCGAGTTCATCGGACGCAAAAGCTTGTTGCTACAAGCAGAGAAGCTGGTCACTTGTGGCACTTTGAAGCTGAGGGGGACGACCTTGACAAGATCAAGGATATCATGAGAAACAGGATGAGTTGGATTTGGGACAAGGACCTTGATGATGACATTGCACAGGTGACTAAGAATCCCAGAACAGGAGATATTTGAGGTAGCTTCAAGTACTTGTGTTTAGTGATGATAGTCATACTAGTATTATTTCGTGCGCTGAAAATGCAAGTTGATGATATGAATCTGCTCACTAAAAAATACACTACATGGGCTGATAGACACCGAATAATCTTATGGATCTAATAAAGACGGACGATTTTACATTTGTAAAGTGCGATACACTATCTGGCAGCTAAGAAATTGGAGTAGCAGCATTTAAATTTGTATTGATTATCTAGGGCTATCTGCTATTGTCCAATCTATCCCTTTGGCACAGCGGGACTGATGCTCATGCTCTGTTCAATATCGTGTATGATATCGTCAATGTGCTCGATGCCCACTGAAACCCTAACCATTTCCGGCGCAACACCAAGATCGATCTTTTCCTGTGGTAGCATAGGTTTATGAGTTGTCGACCAGGGGTGCATGGCAGTCGTTTTGGCGTCGCCGTATCTGGCAATAGTTAGCATAAGTGGCAGGCGGGTGGAAGGCACGGTATTGTCACTTACCCTGGGTTATTCGATATCATCTTGAAGTTGTCAACCAGCTGTTCACCAGCATCTGCTCCGCCCCTGATGCCAAACATAAGTACCGCCCCAGCTCCACGGGGTAGATACTTTTGCGCGAGCTTGTAATGAGGGTGACTAGGAAGACCAGGATACGAAACCCACACCACGTTTTCGTGCTTCTCGAGCCAGTTTGCGAGAGCCATGGTATTCTGAGCGTGTCTCTCGCAGCGCAAACTCAGAGTCTCGATTCCGAGCACGAACTGCTGGCTGTTGAAAGGAGAAAGGCATGAGCCAACGTCTCGGAGGATCTGCCCTCGAATACGCATGATAAAGGCCTCTCTCCCAAATCGCTCGGAAAAGTTCAACCCATGGAAGCCAGGGCATGGTTTGTTGAACTGAGGAAACCGAGTTGAAGATTTCCAGTCAAAATTGCCAGAATCAACGATGATACCGCCGGTTGCACTCCCGTGACCGCCGATCCACTTGCTCATGCTCTCAACAACGATGTCTGCGCCGTGTTTTATGGGCTGGCAGAAGTATGCGCACCCGACGGTATTCTCGACGACAAGAGGGACTCCCTTTTCATGAGCAACTTGCGCAATGGCTTCGATATCCGGAACATTGAAGTTGGGGTGTCCGATAGTTTCGATATAGACGGCTTTCGTGCGTTCATCGATTGCTGACCGGACTGCCTCTACAGATTCTTCCACAACGCGGCATGTTACGCCGAATTCCGGTAGGAGAAAAGAGAATTGATTGTATGCGCCGTGGTAGTAATGCTTTGTCGCTACGATGTTCTCACCATGGCCAGCCAAAGCAACCATGGTCATGAACACAGCTGCCTGGCCGGACGAAACTGCAACGGCCGCAACGCCACCTTCGAGGGCTGCGACACGCCGTTCAACTACGGCTGTAGTTGGGTTACCCGTGCGAGTCGCAATCTCGCCCTCTTCCTCGAGGTTGAATAGCCGGGCAGCATGAGCTGAGCTGTGGAAGTTGAAGACGTAGGTCGAGTAAATCGGGACCCCACGTGCAAGCGTTGCAGAGTCAGGAGTTTGCCCTGCGTGGACTTGTAGGGTCTCAAATTTGGGAACATGTTTAGATCCATTCTGAGCGGCTAGAGCCACTTGAACATCCTTTTCCTGGTCCTGTTGGATGTTCTCCATTTCCAAGTCAGGCGCAAGCTTTTTCTAGACTTGAGATTGAATGTAGAGAACAAAAGCAGGGAGTTAGGTGATGTCAATGAGGAAGCGATGAAGTGCCTTGTCAAAGGTTGCTTCCAGGATATGGTCTCAAGTCCAAGGATCAGTCTGTTAACCGGCGCTACTTTGAATGATCTTCAGTTAAATTGGTGTATGGCGATGGCACTATGGGTTTGGTATAACGGCGAAGGTGGGTAAGAGGCAAAATCTCGGGCATCTCGGGCCTTCGGCTGGCGACCCCGAGTAAGACGGAAGGCTCGCTGAAATTCGGATGCCGCGGCATTCCATCTTTACCATCACGCATGATGCATCGAATGATTCTCTCTCGTGCCAAGGCATCAAATTCCTCCAGTTCAATGTCCGATAATTCCATATATTCCCACCTGAACCTGTCATCGCTGAGAAGCTTGTCTCAAGGAGCATCCACGGTTTAACAATCTCTGCATCATTGACTTCACACCACACAATATCACAAAAATGACAGCCGGCAAGAAACTCAAGGTCATCATCGTTGGCGCCGGCTTCGGCGGGCTTGGAGCCGCAATCGAATGTGCACACCGCGGCATGGATGTCACGGTGTTAGAGAAGTACCCCGACTCTAATAGCCAAGGGGGTAAGCACCATAGAATAGCCCCTTTTCTTGTCTGCCAACTTGATGTTCTATGATACTTACTGTGGTTTTCTTTGGCAGATATTCTTGACTTCTTCCCCAATGCTGGCCGGATCATCAATCGCTGGGATGGGGGCAAGGTTGGCCAGCAAATTCACGACACAGGTTGTAGCCAAATCCGCACCATGGAGCTATACAAGTACGATAGCAAGTTCATCGTTGATGTTCCGTGGGCAAGGGATGGAAAAGAACACAACATCACTTATGCAGGCCACCGAGGCAAGATTCACTCGATCTTCCTTGCTTATGCGAAGACCCGTGTCCAGGACATTAGGATCGGCGTCTCAGTCACGGACTACCTTGAAGAAGAAGGCCAAGCAGGTGTGAAGCTAAGCACTGGCGAGACTATCTGGGCCGACTGTGTCATCGCCGCAGACGGCCCACGATCCATCGCTCGAGCTCAGGTTTTGCATCTGGACGACAAGAAGATCGATGAGACCACGAGCGGCTGGTCTGTGTTCAGAAGCTTCTTCAAGACGGATGAGACGATGAGAAATCACCCAGGTATCAAGGATCTCTTCCATGAGGATAGAGACACCGTTCGGTTTTGGATGTATGACAACTTGAGCTTAATGGCCTTTGTTTGGAATCAAGGTCAAGATATTGCCTGGGTTTTGGTTCATCCCGTAAGCGCTCCAGCGTCTACCAAAGATAAAGCTGATAACTCACTCACTGACCCATGTTGATAGGACGACAAAGAATCATCTGAGTCTTGGTCCAATATCGCCGAAAGAGAACATGTAGCAAAGTGGATGAGTTTCTTTCCAGGAAGAGACGCACAGGCGCTCCTTGACGTTACACCTCCGAACAAGACTATTGATTTCAAGCTAGTCTATCGGCCAACGATAGATACTTGGGTCAGCAAAGGTGGCCGCACGATTCTTATCGGAGATGCTTCTCATGCCAATCTGCCGACAGCCGGACAAGGCGCTTCTCAAGCACTCGAAGATGCCGTGACGGTTGCTGAGTGTTTGCAGGCATCCAACGGAGACGTCAAACTAGCACTTGAAGCGGCACAACGAATCCGGTACCATCGGTCCAATGCAGTGCACAAGAGCGGACAGCAGAATAGAGATGCATTCTACAAGATTCCCTGGGATGACATCGAGGCGGCCCCGGAAGAGTGGGCTAAGAAGCGGTTCCCCAAGCTGAAGCCCTGGGACCCTTTGGAGTTTGCTAAAGAGCAGTTTCCCAAGGTCGCTAAGGACATCAAGAACGGCGTTACGGGACATCTTAACGATGTAGCTGTGCCTCCGCCCCCCGGTGGCTACTGGTGATTGGATTTGATGAAGCTCGCACATTTGAGAAACTGCTTTGAGTTGTTACGTAACCAACTTATTAGAGTATATAGCATTGACATGCGCACTAGATGCATGAATTAGAAATATTGCAACATTGATTCAAACCATCAGTCTTGAAATGAGTCGCTGCGTTCGAAAGGTTCATATCATTCGCTGTCTTCAAGAATGGACGGCCAAGGTTACTTGCAGAAAGACTTCCTAATTGTCCCATGTCAATTGACCGAAAGGGCTAGTGAAGTGCACATTGGCGAAAGACTGTGGTCAGTATTGAGACAATGAAACCATGAGCGTATAGAAAGGACCGTGGTTGGATCGTGGCTTCTCGGCCTGCAGTGATTGCATCGCGATGCCATGTTGCTTGCACTATTACTCCATACACGAACATCGAGATGTTGTGGTTGGGTGCAGGGACTCCGTATACTCCCTGCAAATTACATCTGCCGAATTTACAGCGCCCAGCTGAACTAAAAATGGTCTCTCGGCGGGCATTCCGTCTCTACCATGCCACGTACCATGCGAGTCAGAACTCTCAGACTCATTCCTACCTGCGTCGGTAAACCATCATACTCGGACTCTGGAACCCTGAGGCCGACTGAGACACTACTAGCGTGTACGGATAGCGTGGTCGTAACGTCGGGGACGGAAACCCAGTGGCGGATGCACGTCTGTACGGGAATTTGTGACACGTACTGTACAGAGCTGAGGGTCCTTGGGAATTCCCATTATGCGATCATAAAGGGTAGAAGGGGGAAGCTATAATGTTAGCCTGAGGCATTCGGCCGAAGCTAGCGCCTAAAGCTCGGCACTCTCGGGAAATACGCCGCTCAGCTATGAGCATGGCACACAACTCAGCACGCACACAGCCAGACAGAGCGCGCTGTCTCTGAATCTACGGCGTTTGGTTCAGGCGCACCCCTATCACCGGACACTCGTGGGTTCGTTGATCTAACCCGGAATGTCTTATCTATCGCTTCATGGTGTGTAGCAAGAGAGTGTGTGGTATCTCTGACGCGTACCTCGAAAAAAGAGAAAAATGCGCAGGTGGCCAGCTCAGCGCTCAGATCAACGTCAAGAAGAGATTTTTGAGTTGTCTGCGAATGAGTTGACAACTGCTACATTGACTTTAGATTCTCCAAATCACCACAACCAACACCTGAGTATACCAGACTGCCTGTCTATGGAGACAGTTGAGCCTCAAACTCAGACTCCAACTGTAACACCAGCAAAAAATACACCTCCGCGTCCTGAATCTTCCGCCATCATGGCTTTGTTCACCCCCGGCCCTATCGTCTCACACGTGCTCATGGTCCTCGTGGCCATGTTGAACATCTGCATCCTTTCCTACGATGCTGGGATGATCAACAACTTGAACTCGGTTAAGCCATACCAAGATTGTGCGATCACCTGCCCGACTCAGTTTCCATAGCTAATGACTTTCCAATAGACTTCAAGTTGAATAGCGATATGATCGGACTGAACGTTGCCATCATTAGCGCCGGTTCGATCTTCGGAGCCCCGATAGTGGGTCCCGTAGTTGATCGTTGGGGACGGAAGACCGGCCTTGCTGTTGGCTCCATCTGTATCATTCTCGGAGTTGTACTTCAAGCTTCTGCCTCGAAGGGTAAGGGCTCTCGTGGAAACTTCTTGCAAGTACAGCTACTCACTAGAAACGCAGTTCCACAGCTCATTGTCGGCCGCTTCATCATCGGATTTGCCTCCCTCATCAATGGGTCCATTGCTCCCATGTGGGTTATGGAGGTGGCGGCGCCGAAGTATAGCTCAATTCTTTCGAGCACTGTCTTGACATCCGTACCTTTCACGTCATTCTTGGTCAGCTGCATTGTCCTGGGCATCTACGACAAGCAGTCCGACTGGGCATGGAGAGGGCTTATGCTTGTAAGTGTCTACCCCCTTCGAACAACAATAAGACTCTATCTAACGTCTCTTAAATAGGGAGAAGCCGTACCTTCTATCATATCCCTATCTCTCTTGCCATTCGTCGACGAAAGCCCACGCTGGCTGTTTTCCAAAGGCCGCCATGACGAGGTAACGATGTGAAACATGCTCCTGGTTTAGGATCGTTCGACTGAACATTTCTCAAGGCAATAGGGGTGCTCGCTCGATTACATGCGAACGGCAATCGTGAAGATGCTTTAGTGCTTTCAGAGACACAAGAAATTGTCGCGGCTCTGAACCACGAAAAGGAGAGCAATGGAGGGTGGAAGGATCTCATTGCGCCATGTAAGCCAGCTTCAGCCATTGAGTCGTTGAGTTGACAACTAACTGATGGGGAACCTTAACAGCTCCGAACTTGAAACGTTTCACAATTGCCGTACTAACAAATATCTTCTATCAAATTTTGGGCGGAAATATGATCTTGTATGTTGAAAGGACACACTCACGTTCTAAATGTTCTAGCGCTAACGGAAATCTTCTAGATACTTCTCGTCTTTCCTAATTGGGAAACTAGGAGTTTCTGAGAGGAAGTCTGTAATCCAAATCAACATCGGTTTGCTGCTGTGGAAGGCTTTCTGCAGTGTGGGCGGAGTTCTCCTTATCGACAAGATAGGAGCTCGCAAACCATTGAGTCAGTAGATGCCCCTCGATATGAGTTTTCCGTTGGATTGATCTGACTTCCTTGTCTTTCTACCTAGTTACCGGGACCTCCGCCACAGTGGTTCTGTTTGGAATTCTGGCCGGCCTATCTTACCTAACTGAGATTCATCCCGAGACAAATGCGTATGCCATCGGCGCGATTGTCGTTGTTGCCCTGTTCCTCCTTGCAGTTGCGGCAAGCTGGTACGTGAATGAACACTCGATTCCCTCGACTTTACTAAAATTCGTGCAGGAGCATCTTGGCCTACACTTACCCTCCCGAGGTGCTGCGATACTCTCAGCGCGCCAAAGGAGTCGTAGTTGCCCAAGCAATTGGGTATGCCTTCAGCTTCCTCAATCTTTACACCACTCCTCTTGCTATCGAAAAAATCTCTTGGAGATACTATGCCATCAACGGTGGTTGGAACCTCGGAATATTATTTGTCGTCACCTGGCTCTTTGTTGAAACCAAGGGCAGGACCTTGGAGGAGATGGATGAGATCTTTGATGGGGTCGTCTACTCGAACAACGTCATCATTGATGGCCAGAATTCCAAGAGTGATTTGGGGAAGGACGCGGGTGATAGTAGCAGTGTGGTAAAGAGGAAGCTTAGCAAGGTCAGCACCCGTGAGTAAAGCAGATAAACTGCCCAAGCGGAAACGGCCCACCTGCGATTATGTATCAGACATTGAATTAGGCCAGTTGAGGTATCTCTGTATACATGAGTCACGATGTTGCCAGCGCACACTGCAGTTCTAGGACTTCTCATCTTTTTATTTTGGCATGCGTTGCTGGCCGACGATAATTCACCAACCTTGACATGACAACCAACCGTGACGCCACCAGAGTGTCGTGGGATTCGGACCAACTAGCGCAACCGGGGCTGAGAGGGCACTGAGAGAAATATATCATTTCATCGGGTGGATGCCGTGAGATCTAGCGCTGACGTTGAGCAACTTTGAGTCCATCTGTGCCGTGGTTCCGCGCTCAGGCACGGAGCTGAAATCTCGTGGCCGGCGCCAAAATACGCCACTTTGGGAAGCTATAGAAAGCCACAACGGCGATCGTAAGGGACAGGAGAAAGTCAAGCACTGGTGATCCAACGGTAAAACTCTATTCCCCCTTTCAGGACTGTCTAAAAAGATGAAGCGCCGATCCATCGCTAGCCTCTCGTGACGGCGCTAGAACATCGTAATTCAAAGCACGCGAGCTTGGGGTCAAAGGCGCTCCACGTCGAAAGCTTCTTTGAGGTGGAAGGAAACTAAACTTCATCGAGCCCTGACGGTTGCTACGTCCAAGCTATAGTCCGGGACCATCACGTACTTAGCCTTCCAGCAGAGTCAGCTCGACGTATATGAAGGCCTCCATTCAATCCCTTGGCAAGACAGTTCTTGCTCATTTGCTCATTGCCGCGTACCTGACCATCTTCAAGCTCCTCGTCTCAATCCTGACCTCATATAACATCAATCGTCGCTCGTTACAGCACCCAGTCGCAATATAACCGCCATCATGAAGATTGCTACTGTCACCGGCGCCCTCACCTTCGCCCTCTCCGTCGTCGCCGTACCCAGCGCCACCACTCCCACAAGCAAACGTGGCGGCAAGGCCAGCTGCCCTGTCAACGCCGCCCAGCCCGATGGCGGCCTCGGCAAATCTTACGTCTCAACCAGCCTTCTAGTCCCCATCTCCAAGAACCTGCCCAATTATGCCTTCCCGGCGACGCAATGGGCGCAGGTGACACCCAAGGACATTTGCACCGTCTTCAACCTCGATCTGCCCGTCGCTCAGACACAGGGCAAGGTGTGCAATCTCGTCTTTGATTTCCCTTCTTGGGAGAAGGCTCCCGGGAAGTTCGTTTTCCTCGGCCAAGGTACCTTCAAATTCACCGGGTACGCCATTGGTGTCGGAGCTGTCGCTGGGCAGACCACATATAACAAGCAGCCTGCTCCTGGCCCTAGCCCGCCTAATCCACCGCCCACGATGACACCGGGCCACAGCTATGTGAGTATTGAACGTCAACAGTGTACGATGTAGACCGTTGTCGATTGAGGATACTAATAGTCGTGCCTGCAGATTGTCAACAGTGCCCCGTGCGGCATCCCAGCTGAGGTACCCGGAAGTGTGACTGTATCAGGAAGTCTTTGCTCGCCGGACACCACCTTTATGTTCCAGCAGAGCAAGGATGGTTGCCCAGTGGGCTTCTTCGTCGTCTTGACAGATGCGTAGAGTAGGGGGTTGTCGCTTGATTTTCCTGGCACGCCTAGCTGTAAGAGTATGAGCATTCAGAGACTCAAGATGGGCTTATGAACTCTCAAGGGGTTAGAACACAGGAATCGTCTGGCCGCGATATTCGATCCGGTCATGTGTTTGAAATATGTCATCGTTAGCGCACTTGTCTATTGATATTATTACTTCGCTTTGTGTCCCACTGAATCTTTCCTTTCATCGAAACATGCTCTTTTTTACCACTCTTTCGGGATGCATGCCGGAGTGTTGTCCTCATCCCCAGAGGTTTTCAATCCCAGCCCCTCCAACACCCAATTTTGTAGCGGCAGCAACACCAGGATAGCCCGGTTAAACCTCCATCCGATAACAGGGACCATCGCACCAATCATAGCGTCCAAGATAAAATGATTCGCCGTTGCGACGATCGTGAAGAGCATAGCCATCGGCCACAGTGGTGCAATGAGACGAAGCGGACGGTGAGGCGAAAACCGGCAGATACTCCAGGCGAGGAAGAGAGCGGTACCGCAGTGAAGACTCGGCATCGCGGCGATGGTCAGCTGGAACTTGTTGTGCGTCCACGCATTGCCTCCTCCCTTGGCTCCGTGAAGCACATCTTCAAATCCGTACTCGGCTGGGAGCATGCGAGGCGGCATGCAGCGATAAGTCGTGACGATGACGAAGGCGATGGCGTTATCCATGGCGATAGTTCGCCGGATTTTCTGGAACGTGCTCGGGGGAAGGAAGGTGTAGCAGTATATGATAAAGATGATGCCCAGGCTGATATGGAAGTAATAGATCTTGGCGAGGTAGGACATCAACCAGGGCATGTTGTTGAGGACATATTTCTGCAAGCCAAGTTCGACGTCAATGCCGAAGAAGTGCTCGAACTTCAGGATGGAAATCGCATGGTTGCGGGCTCTCGCAAAAACTGCTTCGTTACCGGCAATCATACGTGCCGAGAAGGCACGAAGCAGCTGGTATATCCTATGAGACAAACAAGCGAGTCAGCGTCGGTTGAAAATAATGTGATCTGAACTATAATGTAGGAAAGACGATCTCATACCAATATGTTGCATTCCAATACCAGATTTCAGCAAGAAACGGAAATGTATTGTAAAATCGAACGAGAAGTTTGCTGTTGATGCGGGATACCTCGCCCGACTCCGCGCGCATCCCCGGCTTGAGGAGCGGAGAGGTGGGGCGGGAGGAGGAATCCTCCGACCCACGCTCACACGAGTCTACGTCATCGTCGCGATCCAGTCGGCGGCGGTTGATGAGAGTGCCTATAGTGAAGGCAAAGACGATGACTAGAAGGGCGAAAGGTGTTAGATGAGCCTTGGACTTGTAGAAGTAAAGGAACGTGGTCCCAGGATACTGTAGAGAGACATCTGAGCCAGTGGAGCGGGACGGACTTACAAGCTGGTTCGACCACATTCCTCAAAGCGCCAAGTGAGGAAGCCATAATAGGCTAAACAGAGAAAATTGAGAAGATCTTGTTGGGTATCGAGTAAGTAAAAGCTGTAGCTGGACAGCACTGTCCTGAAGAGAAAGCAGAATGAATGAATAGCTTTTGCTTCCCCGAAACAGAATAAAGGAGTGAGTGACGAGAAGATGTTGCAATGAAAATGCCAAATACACCAGAAACCCTTTCACATGGAGAAATAGGAGAGAGGGACGACAAGACTAATAAACATCCTAGGCACAATGCCCCAGAGCCCGCTTCACCGGGACAAACCCACAACGGGCGGAAGGTGTACCAAGTCCAACCGCAGCATTTCGTGGCCAAGCATTGTTGTCAGATCGGCGCCCCAGGCATTGGGGATTCCGCCCAGCCTTGAAAGTTGAGCAGGAGTAGGACCCCACGTGTGGGTGTAACCGCACGGAACCATCTGATAGGAGAGTTGGGGGCGTTGAACATCGAAGGAGGGAGGGCGGAGCGGGACTGGAGACACGACGACCTGACGTCCCACACCCCATCCCACATGTCCACCATCCATCCATGATCCATTACGGTATCACTCCAGCCAAGCACAAGGCAAAAGACTGGCTGGACGCAGGAAGGAGGGCACGCGACCCAAGCCCTCCTTGACGCGTGTGTGATTGCGCCCGACAACGTACAGTAGAACGTAAGCAAAAAAAGCCCAGTTTTCATTACAGCCTCCTTGCTCTCAGTCGCCCGGTCTCCACGCTTAATCACTGTTATCCAACCATGAACTGACGGTGGGCAGAACGTCGAAAAAGGGATGTGGGAGTTCCTTTTCTGGTGGATCATCCAATCATTTCGAGTCGGACTCTACCCACTCGCGTGCACATAAGGAACCTTGGGAGTCGTGGATGACGGGGTTCACTTCCCGTGGTTTTCTCGGCAGCCGGAACAACCGGAATCAGCGTCAGGGGGTAGAACTCGGGGCGCCAAGTCGTCTCCGAGAAAAAGTCTTGCCATCAAATTTAGAGTATGGAAATCAACAGAGCGCCCTTCTCCTGACTCCATCTAATTGCGGATGCTTTGCGCGGGATTGTGGACCCGGTCCTTCAACCAAGTGTTCGAAGGTGCGTGGGACTGGGGCGCTTTAGGAGAGCCTTGGGACTGTCATGATCGAGATACAAACTCAATCGATGTTTGGTAAATCTTGCCGCGGTCGAGTCATGCCTTGAAGACTTGATTTAAAGCTCTTCCAAGAATAGGAGGTTCGCACGGAAGCATGCAACTTGTCGCATGTTTTGCTGTTCCCGCCGCCCACACCAACATCAGCTCAAAGACGCGTCCGAGCGTTTGGGAAGAACCAGAATAGGAGAAAAACTTCTGCTCCCGCTAACTCCCGCTACCAACACTCAAATGAAGCAGGCTTTGCCATCATGATCTAGCTTTCGCCTCGAGCTGCCATGCCCGTCAATACTCCCTTCTGACACGGCTAGCTTGCGACTGTGCTAGGGTCAATAGACGAACAAGGCTCGCTGGGAATAAGTTGCAGGATCGGCAGCTAAGATCAGAAGCTTGATACGCAGCCACCCTTGGCGCTAGCTGGCACAGCACACCACGTTCAAGCATCTGACAAGACCAGGGCCGGGACTACTTTTGTACCGTCACGTAGTATAGGTGACAGTGAAGGAGCTGCTGATGTGAGAAACACCATGCCTGACATGTCTGGGCGTTAAGATGATCACCATCTGCACGTCGATTACTGCTTTGGGACTCGCATCGTGGTGAAGGCTGAATCTGCGAGGAAACCTCAAGAAAACAACGGCAGACTAATGTTCTAACAAGTCCCAGCAGGTCGGAGGCGAACTGCACAGACATGGCTAGACCAGTGCCCGAACAAGAACGAGAACATCGGACATCGGACTGTTTAGTGTTTTGCGGGAAGATTCAATCCTCCATTGGGCCGTTGGAGACCGTTGGAAATTTGGAACAAAAACATCGGCGTACGGAGTTCAAAGTCACCGGCTTCGGCCGAGGCTCTTTGCCAGGAACGCGGTAGCCATGGAGAGAGCCGCGGCGGATTTCGTAGGCCTCTAAAAGCGAATCACTACAACCTTCTGATAAAACTCTTGGCAACGGTCTGTGTCCACTTAGATCAAAGCATACCGTACTAAGCGGCCGCTGATTAGAAAATTGCGGTCAAGTTTAACGCTAACGGCAATGGCCCCCGCGACATTATGCCGCCGCCGAGGGTGCCAAGTTTGATTATTATACCGCCAAAGGCCCCGGATACGCCGGATCATTGTAGTCGCCGACTACTGGAATGATATTCAGAGCTCATCGGCGCTCTCCTCAATTTCCTGGCAATCAAATCCTTCATCGCCTTCAACGTTTTTGCAGAGCCATTTATCCAAGACAGTATCTTGGCCGACGGGCTTTACGGAAAAGTTCTCTACCGTCAGATTGTTGCACCCGCCCGCAGCTGCGCTGCACCGGAAGAAGCCCGAGCTAGGCACGTCGTCCATCATCGTTCCGCTAAAGTCCTTCCAGACAACGTCGGAAATCTTGAACGTCGACGTATCGCAAGACTCACCCGCGTGTCCGGAGAAGGACTCACATTGAGTGATGAAAAGTGGTTCTCCGCGGGTGCCGTCAAGCTTAATGTCCTCTAGCACGATGTTACGCGCGTATCCCGTACCGCCGCCGCCGCCATTGGGCGGATACCCAATCTGGATGCCGGTCCACGTCTTGAAGTAGCAGCCCCGCAGGGTGTCGTGTAAAGTCACGTTCCGCGCCAAGAAGTTCTCGATATACTCGAATTGCCCGATGAACTGGCCGATGGATCCCATAGCTATGCCAGTGCTGCCGAAGAACTCGCTGTCGTAAATATAGATGTTGCTAGAGTTGGCCTTGAGAGCGATTGCGTCGTCGCCGTTGACAACCACCCACCGGCGGAAGGTGATGTTGTCTGAGTACATGGTGTCAGCCCCGTCCGTGTTGAGAGAGTTGTTTTCTGACGACGATGTGCTGTTAACGTAGATGTCCTCAAAGACGAGATTCTTGGAGTACATGATGTTCATCGTCCACATCTGGCTCTGCACGAAACGGAGACCTTTCACAGCCGAATTCGAGAAGTCTCGAAAGTTGATATTCATCGGCCGATGAGGCATGTTGGATCCGCCGGCATTGAGGTCATACCAGACCTGGCCATTACCGTCGAGTGTTCCGACTCCGTGGCCTTCCCAAACCACGCCATCACCTCCAAAGTGCCATACGGTGCTCTGGTTCTGGAAGTCCACAGGCATCGAGACCGAGAGCCAGTATGTCGTGTCATTGCTCCAGAGTAGTCTTCCACGCTGGTCAATCACAACATCGTCCAGGCTGGTGGTGACCATTGGCGACTTGATGTTGTACACTGGTCCATCCAGCACGATGATACTCTTAGTGCGGCACTCGTCGTTGAGCGCGCTCAGCAGCGCCGGTGCGTCGTCCCCGCCGTTAGCGTCCGGCTCGAGTATGCAGAGGCTCCGACCTTCCTTCTCCGCCCTCTCCGCCCAGTCACTGGCACTTGGGATATCTGCGTCAGATTCCGCGAGAAGGGTGGCCGCCGAGAACCGAGTGCTCTCGAGCCCGAGGACTAGCCTCGCGGCTAAGGATGCGAAGACTGCCAAGCCACGCATGATGGATGGGTGCTAAGGCCTCGAAACCCAATCAAGGGACGGATGGGAGGAGTGTGAGCTTCGGTACACACGAACAGACGCTTCTGGAAGTATAACTAGGGCTTCTTGCGAACAAGAGTGGACGAAGACGGGCCGGTGAGTCTGTGGCGTCTATCAAAGCACCAGAGAGGAACGGGATATGAGCTCCAAAGGTAACAGGTATCTCTCAAATATGAAGTACTGTAGAGCTCATCGACGAGTTTTATTTCTGTGAAACCCAACATTGCATCAGATGATTGAGCTCAGGGGGTCGCAACCACTGTCAACGAATGACATGCGCCAAGTCCAGCGGGGTAAAGCCCCGGATCGTCCCCTGTAGCGTCCATTCCCCGCATCAATTACGTCTTCTGCCCGCATGACGCCCTGGTAATCCGACCCCAATGTCCGGCATTTCAAGGCTTGTACTTGCTGATCTCTGTTATTCTGGATGTGGGAATCTTTATCCATGAAAACCATCGTCTATGTGATGAGGAATAAACCGCGGTAAAGTATGCAAGAACGGCCTGTCTGATGGTAGGTAACCTGCGGGTTGGTCTGATGATGGATGCAAGGCATCACGAGTTCGGGTCAGATGTGTGAACGTTACATGCATCCATCCTAATCTTTTCAAGAGCCATTTAAAACGGGGGACGTCATTCATTTAGCAAACCATCAGTGTGCTTCATCCAAACCGTTGCCATCGTTCTGGTCTCAGCCGGCCAGCGGATACTCGACCCGTTCAACTCGGCCCGGGGCCCACTTATATCCGGACGGGATAACAGAGCTAGATTATTATGTAGCTGTCGGCGTCCGGAGCCGCAAGGATACTTATCCCTACAATCAATAGCAATGCTCCTGGCATTTCCAGTGGAGGTTTAGACAATTGGGAGTTCGTGTGTGTAAATCCTTTTTGGTTTTCCAGATGAATCGTAATTGCAATCAACTCAATCCTCGGGTGACGTGCTCCAAGTGTCGCCTAGATTTATTTGAAGAGGTTCGTTCGCTCTATAGCATCTTGAGTGATGCTTTGATTGGCGGTTTAAATGTCTATTGAAATACTATATACCTTATTTGGTACTACGAGAAATCAGAAGGCCTCTTGCCTCCGATATTCTCTAAGCGTATCCCAAAGGCAGCAAAATGGGCTAGCCCTGCGTGACATGTGGTTGGTCCCATTTCAGTTGATTCATACTTGTTTGGGGTAGACTGAAGCTTCGAGGCGCATTCAGGCGTGGGAGATTGAAGCTCCTCCGTGGTGACAACTCTGCATTTTGCTTAGCTTCGTGGAGGCCGGACTCAAGGTCTGGGTGTAGAACCTTTTCATCTCCCACAGATGAGTCGTCATCCCCCATATGCGACAGTGTTTCCTGCGATAAATTCGGCCGAGAAAAACGGTTGAAGGCAATGAAAGTCTCCTTGTCACCTTCGACCGCGTTGGATGGAGGAGGGACGCGAACCGACCGGCGTCGAATTGCCACGGCATCTTCCTGAACCGGCTGAACACCCATGAATCCGTATATGATATTGAGAATAGGGATAGAAACTCCGTGGACTACAATCGAGAAGAGTGCAAGCCAATACACAACGGGACCAATAGCCCGAAGCATGTCAACTACCTCGCTATCGCCCTCGGCCTCGGCAAGTTTAGGGAAGAGGTGACGCGCATGCTCGACATAGAAGGCAGCACCAACGCCAATAGGGCCAAAGTAACCCATAAACAAGGCTTCTTTCCAGTCTTTTATGGTATTTGGCATGAGCTTGTACGTCAGAAGCACAGCGGGGATGCGGCGGAATACGAGGACAAGTGCGCCGAGGGCAAAGAGCCGGCCGATGCTGATGCCGGTGATGTCAGAGCTGAAGTCACTCCATGGGATGATGGTTCCGAGATAGATGAAGCCGCCAAAGTTAAGAAGAACATCGATGCTGGCATTGACTTCGTCGTGTCGCTTCTGTGCCTCTGCAAGGTACTCGCCGTCCCAGTTGAGTGCGCTGCCAGCGACGAAGCAAGAGAGCAGATCGTCGGTTCCGATGGCTCCTGAAGTGCCCATCATGAAGAGCTATGAGCTGTCAGTCAACTTCCTTTCGTTTAGTGTCGGTCACTTACACCAATCGCCGTTGGCACGAGCACGTAGCTTTCGGAATCGATCCACTTCCTGTGTCTTTCTTAGAAACTGCCGGAGTTGTGCTTAGTGACCGATCAACCTACTTTCTGACGGAGTATCTCAGAGCAAGCCTGATCAGGGTTCCAACAAGGACTCCGTAGGCAATACTCATAAGCACAAAGTAAAGCCAGGTCTCCAGTAGCCAATTAAGCAGAGCAACACCAACGCCGCCGCCTTGGCGGGCAACATCACCCGCTCTAGGAAGAAGCGTACGACCGACCGCGTGCAACGTCGAGTCATCTGCGTGCACCTCAATTCCGTCTGCGTGCCGGATGAGATATGTCGTCAGCATCAATATCGGAAACCCGAAGCCGTCATTTGCGCCACTCTCGGAGGAGATGATTTCGCGCAAAGAGCGCCGAACGAACTTGTCGGCGAAAGGCCCCTTGGCAACAGCTTGTGACAGAACTGGATCCGTCGAGGTAACGCAGGCGGCTATAACCCCAGCACCCAGGAATGTCAGCTTGGGAATAGTTGCCAGGATACAGCCTGTCGTCGCCAACCACATCAGGGTCATGATGGGCAACATCAAGATAACCATTTCCTTCCATTTAGACTTTTGGTACTTTGCCGGGAGCTGATAGCCGGCCATGACCAGTTGAATGCCAATCATTACTCGTGTGAGGCCCTAGGACATAAGCCTTTCATCAGTACTTGAATGCAAGGCTCCACGTTGCCTCAATCAAGATCTTAGTGAGGCTGCATCACAAAGTACTCACAAGAGTGATATCTTGAGTCTGCCCCTCAACAGCTGACCCCCATCTCTCGCTGTCGATGAACCTAGCAGCTATAGGACCCAGGCATATACCCAACACTACGGCCGGTACTGATCGAGGACCACATGTCAGTGAACTTCACTTGGGAGTTTAAGTATTACTCTCCGCATCTACGGCCATAACAGCGCGGAGAACTTTCGAGATTGATCTTACAGGCCTCGCCCAAATACCACACATTTTTGATCTTGACGGATATGATACCAAACAGAATGATAAACGCGCCTGGATATGGTGGGAGTACCAATTAGTCATAGCTAAAACATGGAAGGTACCGAAAACGCACCAAAGACAGCGAGAACGACATTCAATTCGCTAGGATCAAAGGTAGGCATCTTGGCTGTCCGTTGGTGGCTTGACTCTCGATATGCAAGTGGTCTTTGTGTGACGTGCCCAGAAGGTGTGTCGTGCGTTTGCCGAGAAATGCTGCCTTGGCCAGCAAGGGCTTTGAAGATAGGGGTGGTCTCTTTAGCTAATACTCATACGATATTTGCATGGAGTTGCTGGGAAAGAAGGAAAGAAAAGAAATGCTAATAAGTCCTTGAGAGCAAGATAAAGAAATCCAAAACGACGGTCTCAACGAACTGAAGGAAATCCCGCAAAAGATGAAGTCAGAAGGCAAGGACTTGGAATGACGATGAACAACAACGCTTGCTCGACTCCTTATGGTGTGACGGTCACCCGGTAGCTCAGCGCTGCTGATGAAGAGTGGTCTGGTGAGCGGCGGAAGGGCAACTGATTCTTCTGCAGCGCCGAGAGTCAGGATATTTAAGAGTGGTATGTCTACCAGGGGCATACTTAGCTGCGGAACAAAAAGGAGCGACTTGGCTGCAGATCTTGGATGACCAAATTCTTTCGGGAATGGATTCTAATCACAAACGCTTCTGATTCAGAGCCAAGTACGCCCTGTAGATCGTGGTAGGGGGTTATGGCGGCTCTCAATACTAGGGCATACAAAATTCTCGACCTGAAGACACCAAGAAATATGTGCCTTGGCCGTGACTTCTACTAATCAATGCTATAAATGGGGTCGTAGGCAAGGCGTGATGGGCCAAGCGCAGCTGAATCTCGTTAATAAAAGATTCCACCTGCGGATCGACTTTTCTGCAGGGGAGAGCGTTGGATTTCTGGGATTCTGATCAACATCTGCTACTTGGCTGGAGTTGTCTCAATTCTAGTAGTCTTGTCGTGGAGGCATCTGACAGCTTGATTGTTTCTGGGTTGACTATCGGTGGGTAACATCCACGCGTCCCTCCTCCTAGGTTACATACTTAAAGATTTGGCTTCTAGCTGGGCAAAGAATATCATCTGACGGCCTCAGTAGCGTCGTTGAGATATGAGTGTCATAGCAAAATGTGAGGTATGCTGGGTAGTAAAGTCTCAGGTTTAAGGACAGATATGATGTAGATCCTGAAGGCATTGACAGATCTCTCAACTCTGGTAATGCCAGGACGCCAACTTAGCCACCCAACCCTGCGAGTTGAGATGGGACACGCTGGTCGAGATTTCTGGACGATTTCATAAAACTACCTCGATGACATTCCTCTCATGAACGTATTTCAGGCCTAGGAAAAGGGCGAGTAGAGAAGTATGCATAGAAGATGCACAGGGTGAGAGGGCTCACGACCACGGAAAGATTCGGGAGAACGGGAAGTGAGGCGAAATACAAAACTCGCCCAAGAGAAAATAGTGGACTGCCTAGAGTGACGAGGTATGACAAGATTCTTAGTGTCTTAACAAAGTGACTTGGTATCCGGGGCCGACAGCACGTAAAAGGACCATCGTTGGACGAAGCAGTTAAGGAGTAGGTTGGTTTTCTGCCGCCAATGCTTAGCGGAGGAGTCCGAATTTCACGGCGGTGTCAGCGCGGCCTCGGCGCCAAGTGGAGGAAGCAAGTGTTGTTGACATTCTCCGCTGGGCGGAGACGAAAGGGGGCGCCGCAATTGGGAAAGTGATGAAGCCTGGAGCACGCCTTCCGGTGTGACGACCACCTCTGGGTCGGCCAAGTCAATACTTTCTGGCTCAGACATTGTGATAGGATCCCTGTCCTCTTGTGTTTTCTTGGGAGTCCTTGGCTGACGAGGACTATTGGGTGACGTTGGGACCACCCAGCGCTGGGCGCTTTTTGGTGAGGCTCGGCGCTTCGCGCTTGGCGGCTCGTGGTCAGATAATTTAGGTGATCCGACTTTCTCGCGTCGTCCAGCTCGTTGCCATATGACCTAGTGATGGATGCTTACGACATTTCAAGTGGCATAAGAAAGGAAGGAAGGCGGTGACCGGAAGGTTTCTCCGTGCCTAGGCTTCTCGTCTGCGACGTCTCCGACCCCTACCAGCAGTAAACCGGTGGGGTTTGCCGCATGGGCCGCTGCTAGGTAACCCTCCAGACTGCAGCTTGAGGAAATTGAGGTCGATGCTGCAGAATATATACATAACACCTAAAGATAGTGCATGACGGTCATAGATAAAAAGAACTTATCACGTTTCTCTCAGGGGCGATCTGTGTGTGAAATTTGGAAAGTGCCTTAGAACAGATTAATCCCCTCGGCATTCAGCTATGACATCTGAAATTCTTCGCGAATCAAGAATCATGCATCAACAGACCTCATAACGCAGCTCAACCAACGAGCCTTCTTGTCTGGTGGATTTGCAATGAAATTGAGTTATTAATTTGACAAGTCAGATAAGTAAGTCCTTCCGGTCCGGTTTCCGGTACTAAGACTCAGGCCTTGCAGTCATTGCAGTTGGCTCGCGTCCAAGCATATCTCCAGTTCTCATCCTTTTTGTTCTGGTCCATGACTCCATAGCTAATATCCATACAACACGCCAGCTGAGTCCCGGAGCAAGTATATCCGGGCCAAGATGTGGCGCACGTGGCACTGGCGCTGGTGGCGAAGAAGATAGCGGCGACAGCCGCTGTGAAGCCTGCGATCTGCATCGTGGGTTGGAATCCTGGCTGCTACCTCGTCAGCAGAAAGCAGGCCAACAAGACACAATTGGTGATTCTACTTACACGGGATTTTTGATAGAGAATGCAATCGATATAGGCTCTGACTGCGTCGGCTTGGTGAGACTGGTGGTAGTTCCAAAGGCTTGGCTGAGCTCAGGTTCTCACGAGTGTTTTTATAGCTTGATCAATTCGCGCAGGCTGGATAAACACGATTAATTCGCAACATTTCCAATCTGTCCCAAATTAACGCATCCCCAGTCTTGAATCGATCGAGTCAGTATTCAGAGGCAACTCGTACTTTAGAGTCATCCCACCGGCATCAGAAGGGGCGCGTCCATGCTGTAGTGGGAAGGACCGCATCCCGCCGGTGATTGCATACTGAAATACAGCACGCTGAAAAATTACCGTGTCCGTCCTGGGATTGTTTTGAGTAGCGCCATATTCTCGGTAGTAGTCGTCTTAACTTAAAGGTTGAAGTATCATGGAGGTTTGTGGGCAATGAAATGGCGCACTTGGGGCAGTTGGGCCAAATTTGTTGGATTTTCTGCTCGATGGCATACAAGGTTAAATGTAAGGTTATATGAAGAACCCTTAGAAAAACTTTAGACTCGTGGACTAGAAAAATTCAAAAGAGATCAAGAGTTTCTTAGTTCTAAGCCGAGGATGCCAAGGTATGGTGCGTGCCAGGTCAGGGTAGTGATAATTCGAATGCCCACAATGCCACGACGCATCACCAAGATGATAGGCCCTGAAGAGGATAAGCAACCCGCAAACACAGATGATTTATTTCTTCATTATTGTTAACACCAAGACACTTCTTGCAGTCTTGCATGTCTGGATATTCCATCTTGGTAAATTACTAGTAGTAATTTGAGTTCCTAATACACTGCTGTTTCAGAGCTGCAGCAAACGATACTAAAGTTAGCAACCCATGTACCTAAGTAGTCTCAACTAAACGACGAACGAACGATTTCAACCCTTTCATCAGTTCTTATGAATGATACGACAGACCTCAATCGTACCCGAGATCTGATTCATTTAGCCTTGAGTTATCCTCGAGGCTTGTGATCTTCTCTAAAGTACAAGCTGATGCGAGTTGCTAAGCGCCGTAGACTGTCTCAGCTAACTTGACAGTCCACAACTTATTTTGGCCCAGCACAACCAGAACATCTCCGGCGAGCTCAAATTGGACTATTGCCGTGTTAACAGGGTCTCTCGTGAAATATTGTCCATTAAAGACACCAATGACCTTTCCTTGGGAACTTCGAACTACAACACCTTCGCCCTCGCCCGTCCAAACTCTACCCTTATCATCGATGCGGATGCCATCCGGAGCCTGCATTCTCGAAACACCAAATATCCGCTTGTTCACAGGCCACACGTTTTGATCTAGCTCGTAGCTGTAGATCGCAGGCGCTCCTACTTGGGCCGGCAGCCCCCAAATCCTGCTTCGCTCTTCCCCGCCAAAGTCGGTGACCCAAAGAGTCTTTTGGTCTCTCGATGGTCGGATGCCGTTTGCGACGGGGAACTCAGTCCTGCTGATAGCCGGTAACAGCACCTTGTTCTGGGGATCCCAGCGCCACAGACCCTGAGGCAGGCGGTCTGTCGTGGTTGAGCCCTCGGCGAAGGGCAGGATAGTGATGAACATGTACGAGTTGTTTGTTCCCGGTTGCGTGACCCAGGCTACGTCGTCAATATTGTCGAACTTGAGACCAAAGTAGGAGTTGAGCACAGTTTCGACATGGCCTGTCTCTGGATCTACAGATACGACCCCGCCAGACCAGTCCCGAGAGTCATCGCGTAGGCAAGTAAAGTATATGAGACCTTGGTGGTAGAATCCTCCGTTCGGGTTCTCCAATGGCGTTGAAGAGGTCAGATTTCTGATGCTGTTGTTGTTCAAGTTCAAGATTTCCACGTGGGTGGGCCCGTCATTGATCCAAGTCGTGTACCAGACTTCATTGCGGTCACTGATCCACACGCCAGCTTCTCCCGCAAAGTTGCCTGGGCGCTCCTCGATCAACTCAATGGCTGGATTCTGGCCGAGGAGCGCTAGGAACTCGTCATCGTAGGAAATGAAAGGTGCTCTAATGGCAGATTGAAGGAGTTCGTTCGTTGACGCATCCGATGTATTGGTGCCATTGACGAAGCTGTGAAACAAGTTGCCGTCAAACGGTGGAGGAAGAAGATAGGTCAACTCATATGGGATGGAGACAATGCTGTTATTCTGCGCAAGGCATGTCTGAAGAAAAACGCAGAAGAGCCTGGCGTAAGCTGAATATCGTGGCACCATATTTTGCGTCTGGTCTTGGTATAATGGACTTTGTTCTTGTAAGAGAGCCGATGGTTGGGGAAGAAAGATCCAAACAGCCACAAGGAATTAGCCTACTCTAAATAATGGCTTTGTCTCTAGGTATTGTCGAGTCAATTGTATCTCTACTAGAATTCTATCGTAGAGCAGTTGTTATCGCGATACTGCTATCATGGACCTGATTTCTCTCTCATCCGGCCGAGCCAAGGCCGGGAATGATTGTTATACATGACGTTTAGAATAGCTCTCCTAACAGCGATCAAATCTCCCTACCTAATTAGGCAATCGTTACGGTGAAGAAGGTTTAAATGCTCTTAGAAACACGGGAGATGGTGGTCAGTGCATGGCCTAACGCAACCTTGTCCGTCGATATCGCTATTCTACCCCAGAAGTCAGGTCGGGTGAACATGGTAATTGTTTTCGCCATGCTCCACTGAAGAAACCACGGTCGATTCAACCGCACTGGTCTTCTTCGGCGATAAGCCGGATCACGGCCGAAAGAGGCCCGCTGCGAACCTCCGTGATTTCGGCGACGCCGTTGCAGCCACCGGCAATGACTCGAGCTGTCAAGGGGGCTTCCAAGTTCCAAGGCTTTTGAATATTGATGCGGAGCCTTCCTCGCTAGGGATGACTCCCGATAATTCCGCGCATAGCTAAGCATAAGAGTGATTTATTATGACTCTCATTTGAAGGCTTAGGGTGGCAGCATACATGTGCACATTCAGGTGTTGGGAGGGGCAAGGGAGTCAAATCAGCTTCATCGGTAGGCAGTCCGTTGCCTGAGCCTCATCTTCTGCTGCTCAATAGAGATTCGAGCTGCACGAAGCTTCCACAATCATCCGAGATGACTGCATAGGAACTTCTTCTGGAAGCTTCGTCATTCAGAAATGCGTCATAAGTCAGGTCTGATGTCAGTCATAACCAGCTCAGCCTCTCGTGCAGCAGAAACGAGGGCTTGTGAGACACGAAGGTGAGAATTTCCTTTCCACTTAGATTGAGCATTCCAAAGAGCTCGAATGTAGTTTAAACATCAGCGAGCACTCAATGTTCAGAGACTTTCATCGTTCAGGGAGCCGAAAGACTCTACCACCTGGCAGTACATGCAAGCTTCATTGTCGAGGGCGCTTCATTCTTATCGATAACAAGTCGCGATATTTTGTCTGCATTGCCCATGGCCAAAGAGACACTAAAACGTATCGCGATCATCAAGACTCTTTTAGGACTTCTGAAAGTATTTTCCGTGTCTTCTTCAAAAGCATGACTGGAAATAGGTGCATATATGTTTCAACAGCAGGAGATGGTACACAGCCTTCAACTCCTTGAGCACGCTTCACTGACGCGCAGGTGTGGTGATCGTAGAGACAAATTGCTATAGTCAATATGGCGGCACGTATTTGGGTCTTCGTGCAACTCAATATTTCAACATCGAACCTCAAGCCCCATGCATGCAATCTTGCGCAATTGAAGGGGAGAGACGAAGTGCTCAGACGCTGAAGAGCCTGGTGACTGTAGCAAAACTTCTACATAGGACCCAGACAAGCTTGAATAAGAATATCGCTTTCTACACAGGTAGTTACACAACCTAGAAGAAGTTCTTGACTTGCTCAGAAGACTACGGCAAAAGATGGTGATGCATACCTTCAACGCGTGACACCGCATGAAAACGCGCAACGCAGAATATCGCCAGTCCGCGAACCACATCTGTGCCAGACATTACCTACATGTATTTGCCACCGCATTGCCATAGACTCTTGGAGCTCGATGTCGCCACAACGCCTCCAAAAGGCAATTCATCGGTCCGCAACGGACGACGCCGTGCGACGTCTCCGTCTGACATGCTTCAAGTATCTGTGGCATGGCATCCCACCATGCGCGCATGCGTTTTCCACCGTGGCACCACTGACACGAGGCGGGCCTCAAGTCCATGTAACCACAACGGAAACAGACAAGGCAATCTCCAACCTCATGAGCCGTCCCGTGCCGTGCCGCCGGGCTGACTGATCCGTTTGGCGCTTCCCAATGAACGTCGCCATCTATGTTTCCTCCCTCCTGCCGTGTGCGCTGCAGGTTCCAACGGATTCGGTTAGAGATGCATATCCTGTCCGCCAATCAGCCCTGCCTTCATGTTGACTTGGTGATCTGATGCGTGGAGGAACGGAGGAGTGTCGAGCCTGAACTTGCTTATTGGAATCCTGAAGGCTGCTACCGCCTCCTCTTGAGCTCTGAGATGCGGTCGTGCTTCGACTTCGTGTCGGGCTCTGTGGTAACGTAGGCTTTACCGATTCTACCCGGGATTGCCATGTCGCAAGCAAATGTAGCAATGCCAACTCATACGGGTACTTGCGATCTCGGATCAGATGAACATGTGATCCTCAACTCCGCGTCGGGCCCCATCCCAGCCTTATCGGCACTTCATTCGCATCGCCCTGGGATCTTTTGCTGCCCCGTCTGTCCAGCTGGCCGGACGCATCCGAGCATATTCCTTGTTGCGGGCTTTTAAGTGAGGTGGATCGCTGGAGATTTGACAACTCACCGAGACCCCCGCTCGGAAGCGGGAGGTTCCCCGGAGAGAGAGGTGAAGCTTAATTCATGTAGAGTTCTTGTTCGGATTCGTGATCCTGTCTTGTTGTTGTTTGAGACCTTCGGCTTCGCTCGCTGGTGCTATATCGGGTGGTTTTGTACGTTTTCGTCGAGGGTAACGCGCTTGTGGCTTAATCGTAGGTTTTCTTTTCGGGGGATCGACTCGGTAAGACTCGGTAGACATTCACGGCTCGTTTTGAGAGTTTGTCTGGGTGGTGTTGGAGTCGATTGTCGTTGCTTTAGCTATTCGATCGCTTCGAGAGACGCGCCCTTGAGGACGACCAAGGGCGTCGGCGTTTGGTTGTACCACGCAGTCAGTCTAACATCATCAAAAGATCAACAGCTTGTAGGCCGGGAAGAACGCACAAGAGCACGTACGTACCTCGTTTTTCTGTACATAGCGCAAGATTATTTTTGGCTGAAATTATGCTTCGCGATAGGAACGGAAAGAAAAAGTATGCAGTGGCCTGATCAAGGGCTAGTGAACACATCACAACCGAGCCATCAAGGTTCGCTTTCATCACCGCCACCATTCTAACATATCTCGGTATTACTGCGGGTGGAACCCGGTAGCTACCTTGAGCTGGCCACTAGCAAGACACCTTATCAGATGTCGTGTAGAATCTCAATATACTGGTTTCTCCCATCATCAAAATCATTTCTAAAGCTGGACCTCGGGAGTTGTAGCGCGGAGCGTACTATCAACCCGACGCTACTCAGGAATGAAACACATTGCCGGCAGATGCCATACATTGCTTTTTCTGGTGAGACCGATTGTTCACTGCAATGTTAATCCCCCCGAAGGCACCCGAAGGGCCGAATGGCGCTTCAGAACCTATAGACAGGTCTTCCACGTTGACGTGCACCCAAGAAGAACGTGAAGACAGCAATATCGCACAGATCAATCATATCACCTAAGGAATACCCATAGACCTCATCTTCAAGCCCTCTCGCCGTTCCAACGCCAACACAGAAAAACCCCGAAACCCCCGTTGCCAGCAGATCATAGAACAACCTTAGTTAACCACGCGCCGCGCCGCGCCTCAGATAGCTCCCCCAACGAATCGCCGCCAAATCGCCGCCAAATCGCCGCCAAACCACACTCAGTCAAGCTCGCATACCTCACGTCCCCAATCACAAGCTACAACTCTGCCACCCGTTTTCTTGCCGCATGCTTCGTATCTATCTTATCCCGCCTACCTTATCCTTCCTATCGCAACGACATGTTCCCATGTGCCAAGCCACATCCTCCAACGCATCGATCAGTAACAATCAATTAAATCAGTCAGCTGACAGTCGAAGCGCCCTACATTGATAGGTACATGTATCTGATCTGTACACACGCCAACGAACCAACGCCTCATCCCCCGCACCTCCTCTTCCGTTGCGAACCCTCCAACACATACATGCCCGCATGAACCCCGATCCCAACGCCGAGTGGGGGGACAAACCACCACACCACAGGTGCCAGCGAAGTGGAGGGGAAAGGAACATTCTCCAGCTCTCCCGAACGAGCTTGCTGTCATCCCGACCTTCCTCCCATCTTCATTGGAGAGCCCCCCTTTGGAGAAAACCTAACACTCTTTCCCCCTCACTGATTTGGCAAGTTTGGAGACCCGAAAAGCTCCAGTCTCCGCAAATAGCGTCAACCAGCTCAAAGCCATGCATGCATGTCCCGCTTTAGGTAGGCATTCGGCGGGCCGCCCGCCATCCTCTCCAAGAGAAAAGAACGCTCCCCCACTCCACCCCGAACAATCAGATGCCATTTAAATCACTCACAGGATACAAAGCCATTCATCAGTAGCATAAATCGTTATTTGCCCAAATAACAATAGGCTGCATGATTGGGTCACCAGCAGGAGAGATAGAATTTTCCCGGGAATCAAAACACTCGTAGTTCATATTGCCATCTCAAAACAAAACTATCATACCACGAGACGAGAGAGAAAAAAGAATGAAGAATTCTCCATCTCGAGTCCCAGTCCAACCACCAACAAGAACTGCCGGAATTGTCAAGCGTAAAACACAGAAACCCCCCTTGGCCGCATGGCCGTTCTCCACAGGCTAATAGGAGGATCCCCCGTTTCGGCAATCATTGTTGGCAAATGGAACCGGTTCCAGCAGTCAAAGATCCACCCCAAGTCAACATCTTACAATCCTTCCACCCGCGTTGTCGAATGGAGGGCACACAGCTCGAGTTGGATATTGGCTATTGGCGAGCGAGCCGCTTCCGGGTTGTCAAATTTGATGGGAGCAGAAGAGTCATGCTGAATTTAGTGCTGTGAGGATCGAAAGTCAGCGCCTGAGCATCTTGGGATTTCAGGTCGGAGAGATGTGGCTTACGGAGCAAGAGCCGCAAGAGCAGGCAGTGCAGGAGCCAGCGCAGCTGGAGCCGCAGGAGG